GGTCGAGCTCGTGTACGGCCAATGGACTTTATACACAGCGATATACTCCATTATGGGCGCCTTCTGTGTATGACGTCGTTCACCCGACCTCCAAGTCGTGCTTGGAGTTCCTCATGAACGTTGCGTTCACCGCAGTGCATTTGCGGCATGCAGATGTGGAGAAAATATCAGATCGCTTGTTATCATGTCCAATGGCGGCTATTCGGATGCGAAATTCCATCTGCTCATGCTTGGACGACAGGTTGCTACACGGTCCGAGTCAAACGATGGGAGCATATGGAGCCCGTACGTATCTCGTCTCCTGACTGACCTGACGACGCTGTCATCGCGGCGGATCAGGACCCAGAGGCTAGTGAGTACCATTCATTTGCCCCAAAATCCTAATGCCCGCAACTACTAGTACTTCTCGGGGCGAGTGTGAAGCAACTAGTGGAGAGCCGCAGCGCTCCTTGAGTCTTCTATATCCATGAAGGCACGCGAGCGGGATTCAGCCGCCCGGACATACGAAATTATGCTTAGAAGTGTCCCGGCACATATGACTGGAACATGGTTACAGTTGACAACAACAATACGAATTTTATGCCGGCACGCATTCACATTTTGCTCACTAGTGCCGCTATCGTACGAGTGAAGTTCAGGCTGGACGATGTTCTGGCGGTCAAAAGCCCTTCTTGCCGACCCGAGACGTAAATTGATGACACAATATGTTCGGATGGCGCTGTGCACTATTAAATGCTATCGCCACCTTTCGCGCAGCGTAAGGGCGCAGGCTGACTATGGGTGCCGTAAATATGTCTTAGTCAGCGTAGCGCTCAGATGCGCTGGACGCTTTGTTTTGAAGCTTGCTATCATTCTATACGCGCAAAAATTGACGCATACGTTGTACAAACAGAGTGCTATATTTCGGTAATTTTTGGCGTATTCTTAAGGGAGGACTGAGCCTGTGCACCGAGCTGCGCCGGCGGACGGGCCAGTTAACGCCACAATGTGCTTGCCGCTGGCGTTCACGTGAGGGAGTGATAAAGTTAGTCCGGGACCGGCCAGTGCACCGCGGGGGGGTCATACATGTACCATGCCCAGACCGTCAAGGCGAAATCCAGCTTGTGCCTTTCCCTCCTCCAGCCAAGTCCGCGAGCCTGCCTCCCGCCCGGACGTTCTCTGCGATGGCGGCCTCCGAAAAGCAAGGTGGCTCAGAGCCTGAGCCTAGTCCTCACACGGATGTGGCCCAACGGAGCGTGTGGAGGTCGATCGCATTGGTCGCGACGTGTACTATGGCTATGATTCTGAATGTGAGTCGCACAGGACTTTGCATTATGCCCGGGACCCCTTAACAACCTCCCTCAGACCGCTGGCTCTTCGGCGACGTCCATCGCTTTGCCGACGATCGGACAAAAACTGAACATCGTTGAATACAAGCTTCAATGGATCTTGTCCGCGTATTCCCTCAGCTCGGTTCGTGCTTTCATTAATTTTGACATTCTCCCGGCGCGGCGCGCAAACCTAATCATTCATCTCTTCACAGGGCTGTCTGCTTCTGCTCCTCGGCCGTCTGGCAGACCTCTACGGCCGCAAGCTCGTCTTCCAGCTCGGCTTGCTATGGATGTCTGTGTTCCACCTAGGTTGTGGCTTCTCCCAGAACCAGATCACGATCGACGTCCTGCGAGGTCTCCAGGGCATCGGCGGCGCAGCCGTCGTACCCGCTTCTCTCGGCATCCTCGCGCATGCCTTTCCCCCATCTCGCGCCCGCGCCATCGCGTTCTCCACCTTTGCTGCAGGCGCACCCATGGGCGGCGCGGTTGGTACGCTCATCGGTGGTGTCCTCACACAGCTCACGGCCGCAACATGGCGATCGGTCTTCTTCCTTATGGCTGGCCTTGGCGTGGCTTGCTTTGCCGGTGGCTTCTTCGCCATAGACAAAGACTTGCCGTCGACTGAGAAGGACCGTCGAGTGGATTGGCTCGGTGCTTTCCTCGTGACCGCCGGTCTTGTCCTCATCGTTTTCGTACTCAGCGACGGCACTATTGCGCCAGAGGGCTGGGGCACCAGTTATATCATCGCCTTCATCGTCATCGGCGTCTTCCTGCTCGCTCTCTTCGTTGCTTGGCAGTATTACTTGGAGAAGATCCACTCAGACCCCGACCGGGCTGCCCGGGCTGCCACCAAGTGGTACCAGGCCCCACCTCTCATGAAGCTCTCCATCTGGACACGTATGAATGGCCGCATGGCCGCTATGCTTTGTATTTCTTTCCTGGAGTGGTGCAGCTTCTTCAGTTGGATGCTCTGGGTGCAGGTGAGGGACATGTTTACTTCGAGCGTTAACGAGTACGCTCATTGCGTTCTTCTATGCAGCTTTACTATCAGAACTTCCTTCTCCTAACCCCGGTATTAACTATGGTGCGCTTGATCCCGATGTTTATCACCGGCTGCATCTGCAACTTCACCGTCGCGGTTGTGGTCGGCCGCATCGATGTCGTCTTCCTCATCGGTATGTGCTTCATCTTGGCCTGCCACACCTGCAGCATGACTGACACCACGAGCAGTTGCGGGCACCGCTCTGACCGCAGTCGCCAACCTCCTCTTTGCAGTCATCAACGTGCACTCATCGTACTGGGCCTTCGGCTTTCCGGCTGCGATTCTGTCCGTGTTCGGTGCGGACTTCGTGTTCGCCTCCGGCTCGCTGTTCGTCGCGAAGATAAGTCTGCCGCACGAGCAGAGCCTGGCGGGGGCCCTCTTCCAGACCATGAGCCAGGTACGGGGCCGCCGAGCGTTTGCTCCCACATGCTTTGCACACACCGCTCACCCTCCGCCCCTTAGCTCGGGAACTCCTTCGGCCTCGCCATCACGACGATCATCTTCAACTCCGTGCTGGCGAAAGACTCAAAGAAGGCAGGCGTCGCGGTCAACAAGTCCGGCACGAACGCACCCTACTTTGCGCAGGAGGACGCCTACAAGGCCGCGATGTGGGGCGGCTTCGCGTTCGGCGTCCTCGGTGCGCTCCTCGCCGCGGTCTTCCTCCGCCAAGTCGGCATCGTCGGGCACCGCCAGGACGCTGTTAATGCCACGGACGAAGAGGCCACCACGCATGCTGATGGGGAGTTCAAGGCGAGTGAGATGGAGAAGGATCCTGAAGCCTTCCGGCAGTTTGCAGAAAATAAACAGTGATAGTGACCGACCGCCCGCTACTCAATGTCGTGACCCCTGCTCACCATAGACTTTTCACGCATCCTCACGCACTTCTCCTTCACGGGCTTTATGACACGACATCGTAGACACCCCTACATCCGTATTGGACAGCACAAATACACAGTTTTAGAGACCTCTGATAGCCCAATAGTTCACAAGAGAAACTAGTCCATCCTCTGAGAGAGAAGCAAGAGCATACAGAGCCCTCTAGAAGAAGTGGCCGCTGCTGCCACCGTTGCCACCGTCGCCGCCGGTCGCGCTTCCGCTCTTGCTGATGCCGCCGTTGCCTCCCTGGGCGCTACCCACGGTGACATGGCTGCCGCTCGTGTAGACTGAGCCGCCGTTCGCGGACCCGGAGTTGCCGGACACGGCGCTGCCGCCACTGCCGCCACTGCCGCCGCTGCCGGAGGAGATGAATCCGCTGGTGCTGCCGCCGTTGCCGCCGTCGCCGCCGGTGGCGCTGCCCGTGATGCTGATGCCGCCGTTGCCGCCCTTGGCTGCAGACACCCGTTGAGTCAGCAGCGGCCCTTCCGTCGCAGAAAAAAAGAGAAAAGGTGCTCACCAGAGCCGACGAAGACGTCTTTGCCCGTCGTGGAGACGGAGCCGCCGTTGGCAGAGCCCGAGTTGCCCGACTTGGCGCTGCCGCCGCTGCCTCCGTTGCCTCCGTTGCCAGCAGAGAATCCGCTGGTTTTGCCACCGTTGCCGCCGTCGCCGCCACTGGCGCTTCCTGAGGCGGAGATGCCACCGTTGCCGCCCTTGGCTGCGAAACATAGGGTGAGCACGCGCCGGTGTGCCTCGCAAGCACTGTACTCACCAGAGCCGACGAAGACGTCGTAGCCCGACGTGGAGACAGAGCCGCCGTTGGCAGTGCCTGAGTTGCCGCTAACAGCGCTGCCGCCGTTTCCGCCTTTGCCGCCGGACGAGTAGGGAAGGAAGTTTCCTGGCGCAGGGGCAGCGACGGTGCTGCCGATGGCGGCGAGGATGACGAGAGCGACGAAGGAAGAGCGCATTGTGGTATGTGAGCTGGGTGGTGGGAGAGAAGAGCTGCTGTAGCGAGTGTCCGAAGGCTGGATGGTAGTCTCGATGAGGCTGGTTTGAACGAGGACAGCAGACAGGGCTTTTATACCCTTTCGCCCATAGCATGTCCTGAGCCGGGCTCAGTGGCATTCTCTTGTGCTTCAATGGCGTGATAGAGTGCCGAGCGTGCAGACAATTCCATGAAACAGGAGCTCTGCATGCAGCGGGGGCAGGCACCGTGATCGCAGGAGCACAGGTGATCGTGCTCGAGGACATGGTTGAATACTTCTGGTGGTTGTACCTGAGTAAATCCCTCAGCGGGTCGGATTAGAGAACGTTGTGCCCGTACTTACCATTCAAGTAAGTGTCGTGGTACGTGTTTGCTTCATTCGAAAATGAGGACTCCTAGTGGCACCAAGCGATGATCACGGAGTCTATTGCCCGTACTGCATGACTCCTGCGTGCAGGCTTGGGTCGCTTTCCCCAGTACAGGGCCAAGCAGCCCGCACCACAGAGAGTCTGCTGACCGTTGCTCATCTTCCAAGGTTCCTGTTACTATAGGAGTCAGGGGAGTCGCTCGCAGTCTGACTTTTCGGCATTCCATATATATTCAACGTACATTTTAGCTTTACGAGCCCGACAATTGTTGGTTGCCAAATCGCTTTGTGTTTCATCCGAGGTCCGGGACAACCAAGGGGCAACCAACCTAGTCCGCACCAGCCCGTCCCTATTCTTGATGGAAGGGCGATCGGCATCCTATGTCTAAGGGGATCTCCTGAAGCTCTCGTGCCTGATCTGCGTCCGGAAGGAAGAAACAGCGCTACAATTTTGGGCCTAAGGGTACTGAGAGCCAACGGGCCCCCGAGGGCGGTTCTAGACCTCTCCATTGGGGATGTGAGGGGTCTTTGAGAACGTTTACCGCGAACAGCCACACCCAGAAGCAGCAAGCAGGCTGCTCCGCGACTCCGAGCAGTCTGGTCGAACCTTTGGATAGAATGCGGTCACCTGTCCTGAATCAGGGCCAACGTTGTACGAACGCAAGACTGTGCTTACCTTTGCCACAGAAATGATCCTCCTTTAACCCGAGGCGGGCATACATAGCCCGCTGGTCCGTATTCTTCGCTGGCTAATTGCTCGCGTCGATAACCTTTGCCACAATCTAACTCGTGTCACGCCGTAGAGCCCACCAATTGCGCAAGTAATCTGTACAATTAGTGCGTCACAAACTCTACAGGGGATGCAACCAAGCTGGGCGGGCCACCGCGATCGAGACCGGGGACGTGTTTGTCTTTATTTGGCAACGGCTTTAGGTCCTAACAAGGGCAAATGGCACGGTAGCCCTCGCTGTGGCAAGCGATCGTGGGGACGAAGTTTTGAAGTTCAAGCGAGTCCAACTGAAGCTCACGATGTCATGCAACTATCAGCCAACCAGTTCTACAAATATTGTATCGTGCCCCCACGTAATGATGCCATGCTTCACATAAGCAGATCCTTAGGTTGCTACTTTTTTGTTCTACACCTCAGCCGGTCGTAGCGTCCGCCAAATTCGGTCTTCGATGTGGCGCACTTTGTCGGCCGGGGTGTTGAGGCTGAGCATGAAGTACGCAACATTGCCCAGAGTGCGATAATTGATGCCAAACGACGCGTCGTCGTCCTTGGCGGCGACGCGCAAGCCCTCGAGGAGTTTTTGAGCGGAATGGGACTGGTACCCTGCAACCGAAGTTGAGTGCCTGTAGTCCACGGCGCCGGTGCAGAGCTACATACCTTGACTGTCCCCGGCAATCTTCAACGCCAGCACCGTGCCCATCGTCATAACCTCTCCGACGGCCTCGCACTTGGAGAGTGCGCCAATGAACGCCGGATCCCAGAAGCTCCACACTCTCGGCGGCTGGTCCTCGCCTACCTGCCATGCTGCCTTTGCCTGCGCCCACGCGTCTCCCTGTGCCATTTTCTCGATAATCTTCAAGGTCTCGTTTGCGACTTCACATCCGACGGGGTATGCAGTGTAGCTATGTCCGTGAAGGAGCGCGATTGCCTTATCTTCGCCATAGAACGCTGCGAAGATGGACTCATTCGTCAGCGTTACTGCAAGGGGAACAAGGCCGCCCGTGAGGATCTTTGCGTTTACGGAGATGTCCGGCTTGACGCCAAGCACTTCGGTCGTGCTCTCCATACCGAGACGGTACAGGCCGGTAAAGACTTCGTCGAAGATGACGGGCAACCCGGACCAGGAGCCTTCCTTGCGGACGGTACGTGAGAAGCAGGGGGAGGTGCGTACAGAGTCTACTAGAACACGCTGGAAGAGAGGGTCGACGAAGATCATGCCACCCGCACCCATGACGACCTGCAAAACGATATGGTGAGGACAGCTATGAACGATAGCATTACTCGAGGAGACATACGGGTTCGAGCACCAAGGCTGCAAGCTTGAGGTCGCCTTGAGACGTGATCTTGATGAGCATATCCTGGATGAAAGTGCGGTATACGTCGGCAAGGTTCGAGTCGAGTCGGCTCTCTGCATCGTAGATCTCCTGAATACGGCCCTCATTGATCTCCACCTCTCCCGATTCTGTCAGCGCGGCGATGGCTGGTGGCAACGAAACTACCATTTTGTCATTGCGAATACCAATGGTCGGCGGATCGAACCAGTAACCCTTGGCGTCATGCCACTCGCAAGTGTAGACACCAGAATCTTCGCAGGCGTCCATTGCGCCGATGGTATCTCCATGGTAGCTGCCTTTCAGGCCGAGTATGCCAAGGTTCTTCGGTTTCTCGCCGGTCGACTCCTTGTTGCTCCAGTGTTCTCGCTCCCGTACGGAGAACGCCCGCAAGGCCATCTTCAGAGCAACTTCCATGCCTGTGGAGCCGTTGTCCGAGATGAACGCTCGCGACGCCCAGCCCTTGCCGGGACCGGACTTCACCAGACGTTCCGCAAGCCGGAGCGCAGGGAGATGCGAGCCTTGGGGGAACATGACGTGACCGTAACGCCCTGCAGCGCGGGCTGCAGCCATCGTAAGTGCTGGATGTGCATGTCCTAGAGCCTGGGTCCACCAAGAAGCCGAGCCGTCGAATTGAGGTTCCAGTAGTGAGCTGGTGCTGTCCGCGGGTGTTTGAACTCGATGTCCGTTAAAGATGGAGAACTCGTCACCGGAGGCGCTGTCAATAACATTCACGTCCTTTTCCTCCCTCACTAGGCCATGCTGGACGAAGGGCCACCAGATATGGTCCAGAGTCCGCTGCGGCATCGTACTCAGCTCCTCGATGCGAGTCGCGTGACGGTTGTCTAAGTGATTGAGCAAGTCGAAAACCGGGCCCTGCTGGGATTCAGGGACGATGTTCCGGTAGTATTTATCGGTAGAGGATAGGTTCCGGGCGGGGTTCTCGAGCTTGGACGGTGGAGGATCCACTACGGCCACGTTAATATCCCGTTCCGCGAAATAAGACCTCAGGTATTCCCAGTTTCTATAATACTCCTCGCGGAAGACCATGACGGCATCTACGATGTACCCTCGCACCAGGAGAGACTCATACGAGCTGATGGTCGCCGAAATGCCTCCAAGTTTGTGGTCGCCGATGAGGATTGTGGGAAGAAAGAGCGGGCGGTACGCGTCGATCTGGGTGGATCCGGAGAGTGTGGGGCTATGCACGCCTGTAATAGTCGGGAAGCGTAGTCAGCATTGGATTTTAGAGGATGATGTAGGGAGGCAACAAATTGGCACCCCGGTAAGCTGCCTGCGGTTCTCACCTCCTGCAGTCTCGACGTACATGTGAGCGTGTACACGCGTCGCACGCGCACAATCACGGATGTGACTCCTGATTGCATTCACTAGTGTGCCGTCTGAAGGTATAGACAGCTTAGGCACACTCGCGGTCAGAATATGTGCAGAGCATGAAGACCCGGAACTCACCGGCGCCTCCTCCGCCCCATGTTCCCTCTGCGCTGCCAGGTGCGGACTGACTGGGTCGGAGTAGCGAAAAAGGCATCTGCTCTGGATGCTGGATGCCTTTGGCCCAGCAAAGCGCTTTATGTACCTGAAGGCCTTGGGTCAAGCAAAGCGCGACGGAGGCCTGGACGGCAGGACTGACTCATCGTCCGCATCTTGCAGCGGGCCAGTGCTGACGGGCTTGAGATAGTAGACGGCCTTGCCAGTGAGTGACGAGGCGCGTGCGAGGGCAGCGGTGAGGAGAGTTTTGCCGACGTCTGTGTTCGCGCCGAAGACCTGGTGGACGCGGAGGTGGTGGAAGAGGACGGACATGAGAGCGTCGGCGCCACCGCGAGACTCGCACTCGATTTAGATCGCTGGCTGCCGTCGGCATGGACTACTCATGGACTGTGTAGGACTGCAGTGGGTCCGTATGTCTCACCAGTGGCACGTAGTGTGTACGCCCGCACTATCTCCGCGAAATAAGTGTATTGAGGATGTGCACGGCCGAAAGATCTCAAGACTACGCGACTAGATAAGTTATCACACCAGATGCACTTGAATGCCTAGCTAAGTTAGTCCGACGGCGTGAGAAGGGTATGACAATATAATGGGTGACTATCGCGCATATTAGCAGGGCAGGTAACGTCGTGCGCGATTACAACGAAAGATGCTGATCGCTCACGGAGCTCCTCCCTCGGGAGCGTCATACGGCGTTCCCCTCCGGTAGGATCCACCGTAAGACTCGAACCGCTGCGGCTTCTCCAGCCCCCGGGGGGCAAAGTCCGCACCGGTCCTAAAGTACACGCCGCCCTTCGTGCGCGCATTTCGCTCTCTGCGACAGCGGACAAACCAGACGGCGGCGATGATAAGATAGCCAGCAGCCAGTACACAGACAGCAACCAGCAGCCCTAGGGAGAGCGCGTCGGGCTTGCCGTCCGAGCTGGCAATCGAAGCATCTCCCTGGACGTTCGCGATCGCGCCAGATCCTGCTGAGCGGGCATAAGCTCTCTTTGAAGAGGGAGTACCTGACGAAGCCGCACCTGTTGCGACAGGGACCGGGCTTAAGGAAGGAAGAGAAATGGTGGCCGTTGCAGGTGACGAGCTGACAGCGGGTGGCCCATTAAATCCTGACGGCAGTGCATTGCCCGATACACGAGGCTGGCGCTGGCTAGTGGGCTGGTCTGTACGCTTTATGCCACAACGCTGCAAGCACTCATCCGCGCCGAAAGCAATGTTGTCCGGAATCTAGAACATCACTGTCAATACACGCATTACGAGATGATGGGGCGCTAGTGCACTTGCCTTGGCTTCAAGGCCGGCGACCTGCTCAACGCCGATATCTCCAAGGGCGATGTTCACAATATCTGGCGGAAGACCGAAGACTGAATAGACGTATCAGCATGGAACACGCACGAAAAACGCGAGGACAACATACATCGTTGGGCAACCTGCTGGACACCAGGATCCTCGTTATTGAAGGCAGCTACGAAAAGCGCGTCTTCACATCCGTTGTTGAACTCGAAGTGGATAGCTCCTCTCGGAAAGATCGCCGCTTGTCCGGGAGAGAGCTCGTTGAGGACGAAGCGAGCGCCATTCTCCACAAGGAGACCCGCTTGCAGAGTTCCGTTCACCACGAAGTTGAACTCGGTCGCACGCGGATGCGTATGCGGGGTGTTGATGCCACAAGGGCCAAGGAAGCCTATAGTCATCGCCATACCATTGCCGACAACTGCAGGGAAGTTGGCGGATGACGCTTCGACGGTATGTCCAGCGGCGCCGGTTGTCCGGCCAGATGCTGGATGCAGGAAGTCGAACACGAACTAAAAAGTAATCCTTAAATACACGAGAACAATCTATGTGGAGTTCGCTCTCACCTCGCTGTCGTTTAACAGCATGATACGGTCGGTGCTTGTAGGAGCGAGGCGTAAAGCAGCGATTTTATCCGCCACAGATTGAGCGGAAGCACCGAGTGCTAGTATAAGCGAGGCGTAAAGCGAAGTCGTCAACATCCTCAAAGGCGGGGGAGGAAGTGGAAAGGAAGGAAAGGTAATAAGAAAGCGAAGTGCTGATTTCGACCCTCATTAACATTGTTCACCGATTTTATACGCCCGCCGCGGCCAGCGACAGTTTCAGCGTGTCATGCTCGGCAATGTAGCTGGTGGCGATGCTCGCAAAACCCCTGAATTCGCAAGCGGCGCGAGCAGCGAACCAGTGCTGCCCGTAAACGCGAGTGATCGCACGACGCCTTTCAGAGCATAGAGAGGGAGCACGGGTGACTGGGAGGGAAAATCTAGCTCCATGCGGTGGGCCAGGCATCGGTAAAGTGGCCAGGTTGGCAGGATTTTCCGCTTCATGTTCTCGAGGTTGTACGGTGAACGATGAACGATAACAACGGCAGTGCCAGTAGGCGACGAAGCACTGCCTGCAGGGGAGCTCGGGCGGCGTGTCATGCAATGTAGATGGAGGACTTGATGGGGAGTCGTGATGCGCCTATAAACGATGTCACAAGTGCCTCGTGTGAACGTTGAATGCGCTGAAGATTCCGGCTCAATCGCCTACTCACAGGGTTTGATTGGTTCGTACCTTACTGTCCTGAGTGCAACCAGGAAGGTCCTCTCATAGCCGAAGGCAGTGTCACGGGACGCGCACAAGAGCGGGAGTTTGACAAATCTCGAGGCAACTAGTCAATGTTGGACGTATGTCTTCAAACACCGGTCTTGCCGCGCAATAACGTTGATTTAGGATCTCGGCCATGACAGCAATAAAGACGGAAAGCCAAGTGTATACATTGCAAACTCACTACTCCTAACATAATCGGAATCCAAGGTCTATCTCCAGTCCATTACTCTCAAAGTCCACGACCTACGACAATTAGAAGATAGCATTAACGATACCACTACCGATAGCGGCGCCTGGAATATTGCATTGGGTCATTCGCCCGCAAGAACACGGATTTGACTGCTCACCTGCACCAAATCCGACACCTCCGGCAGCTGAAGTAGCCATCTGTGTCGATGGTTAATTCAACACGCCACTTTGATCGCTAGACGAGACTCACGGTGTCACCCAAGCGACCAAAGCGATGCTTCTTCTGTTCTTGCTGTGGTGCTTGCTGTGGTGTTTGCTGTGGTGCTTGCTGTAGGCCTAGAGTGTTCACCTGGCCGACAGCCGCAGGAGGCGGCTGATTCTGAGCCTGATAAACTGCTCCGAAGGGCCTATACACGGGCTTCTGGTCATAGCCTGGAGCATATCCTTGCTGAGGCGGCATCGGCTGTGGCGGCATCATCGGTTGTGGAGGTGGCGAGTAGACTGGTGCTGGCGATGGTGCCGCAGGAGGCGGAACAGAAGCAGGGGGCGAGGCAATCATCTCGACATGGTTAGACGGGAAGAGACCCTGTTTACCCCTGCACTTTCCGGTCCACCAGTCTGCGTTTGTCTCGTCAACAATCTCGATGATTTCGCCAGTGGAGAATGTTAGGTCGTTAGGTTCCTGGGTCGTACGGGATTTAGACAGGGAATTGAAGGTGTGTGCAATCTCTGACATACCCTACCGTCCTCGTTGTACGCCCAAACGGCCCGGGCCTGCTTCACGGGGCGGGGCGGGGGCAGCGGGATGCCGCGACCTGGACCTACAGGCGGTACAGGCGGTACTGTCAATGCCTGCACGCTGCTGGCGAGAGCGGATACTGCATCTCCGTTGTTGTGCTGCGCAGCAGTGAGACGATTTGAGAGTTCGGTGGCGTCGACCGGTGAGATGTAGTTATGAGACGCTAGAAATTCGATGTTCCTCAGGGTCTGAGAGAAGACATGGTCAAGCAAAGCAGCAGCTTGAGAGTCGGAGGGACGGAACATGGTGGTGAGGGCAAAGACGGGAGTTAACCCGTATCTGCCAGTCGCTACCACCGCCCCTACGCGCTTGGATTGCCGCTGGTAACGATTTCTCGGCATTCAGCCGAGGTTTGCTGCGACTGGGATTTACCATTGCACCCCGACCAAGATGGCTCCTCTCATCGTAGTCGATGCCCTCCCTACTTTCATCTCGCCAGATGCACACAAAGACTTGGTTGCCTCGACACCAGCATCCTTCAACGATATTCCCCCTGTCCTTAGACACAAGGAAGAAAACGTCTCCATCAAGCTGGATCCCGCCCTCCCTGAATTTACCGCAGATGACTGCGTGAATGGCTCACTCTACGTGATTGAAAAGTATTTTCACGCGTCTTTCTGATTTTCTTACTGTCTGACATTGTGACTAGTTGTCTCGTCTTCATGTCCTCTACCGGTAAGGGTCTGCAAGTCGAATATCCCTCGATTACCTTGCACGCAATCTCGCGCGCAGAAAACGTTCCCTCCATATACTGTCAACTGGACGAAGGCTCCCCAGATACTGCTGAAACGAATGAGGACGAAGAGACATCGGAAATGAGGGAGCTCATCATTGTCCCTATGGCCGCAGAAAGTCGTACGTGTCTCTCCTTGCTTGCCTCTACCGCGGATTGACAGCGTATTCTAGTGGAGCCTATTTTCGAGGCACTCTCATTCTGTGCTTCATTGCATCCTGACCCTATGGATGAAAACGACATGGACGACGATGACGACGCCTTCATCGACGCGGACGAAAATTCTCCGTTCGAGACATTCAATGGCACGGACGGCGAAGAGCTCAGTGAAGTCGGGAGGGTGCGCAGCGATTTCATCAATAATAGCCGTTTCACGCCATACTAGATAGCCATTCCAACAATCTGATATCCTCCGCTCAGGTTGCCCTTGCTCATCTTGAAAGCATCATGTATAACCCATTCGAGACGAAAGAACAACAAGAGGATGTGGAGCAATACCAGGGTGAGGACGAGAGCAGCCGAGAAGATGCGCCACGTGGGGAGAAGTGATCGCAGTGCGACAGAAGATCTTCAGTACATGTCTGCATGTATATACAACAAAATGAATACAGCCTTCGACGACGTCGACGGTTACTGCTTCTCCTTCTCAAAGTCTTCCGTCACCCAGGAGCTCGACAAAGAGAAAGTCTTATCCTCGTCCTTCTTGGGAGTGGACGGGAATGATAGGGCGCTGTGATGCTCATCGCTGTCCTTTCTCGAGGTGAACGAGAACGGTAACGAACTGCGGCCAGCGTCATCCGCCTTTGTCGGCGTGAGCGAGAACGGCAGCTTATAAGGGGAAGTAGCACCGGGGATTGGTCCCCAGGAGAACCCCGCTGGTGGACTCGTTGCCGATGCCGCCAAAGAGCCAGAAGATTTCTTTAACTGGACTGATTTCCCGTGTCGGGACTCGCGTTGCCTGTGTCCATGGCTGGGCGTTGACGGCTGGATATCGCCTACGTCGAAGGAGGGCTCATTCCGTCCAGACGTCTGGGTTGTCTCACCGTTCGAGTTAAACAGGGACGAGTTCAGCGACAGCTCTTTCTTGGACGACTCTTCCTTGATCATGAAGTCGAGCTCTGACGGTGGGGATGGCGCATCCACAGCTTGCTTATTAAGCAGCGGCTCCTTGCGTGCCTTCAGCAGAGCACTCTTCAACCTCTGAGCCGCTCGCTCAGCGTTCAATGCCGCGGCTGTTGTGGCTGCGACGTTGGGAGTGGTATCGCGCGTCCGCTTGCTGGGGCTCGACCTGAAATCTACCACAGCCCGGTTCGGACTAGTCGTGAAGTTGAGCTTCGACAAGCGCTGCGACAGATGAACGATATCATCTGCTTGCTGCTTTATAGCAATGTCGATATTGCGGTAAGTGCGATTGATGGTATCCAGTGAGGGTGGTCTGGCACACGTAAGTCAGACTAGGAGAGGGATAACGATGACATGACATACCTCAGGCCAGCTTTACCCATCTTCAACTGGCTAAGTCTCTTATGTGAAGCCATGAGATGTTCCTCGAGCTTTTGGATCCTATCACGAAGAAGCTGCGACAAGATTGTACTCGATTCTTCTCTCAAGCACCGATATTGGACTTACTCGGATGCCTCTACGCAACTGGGCTTGTGTTTCAAGGTGCTCCGGACCAAGGGTTCGTGCCTTGAGCATTTTCGCAAACTCAACATCATTGTTGGCCTTGCTGAAACGAACAATCTCCTCTTTGCGCATCGTCGCTGCGGCCATGAAATTGGAACCTGTAGAGACAAATAATATCATGACTCACCTTTTAACATGGCAGTTTCGAGCTCGCGGATAGCCTTCGAGTAGCTGGCTCGAACGTTCTTCAACTCCATGATATCCCTTTCCAGGTATTGCAGCAGCCGCGAGAATTCTTCAACGTCTGCCAGTAGCCATTTACTTGGGTCGCGCAGGTCTACCGTGGTGCGACTAACGTTGCTCATTTTGTAATGCTCTTTCATCCTGTCGCCTAGTTTTGCAGCCTCTTGCGTGAGCTACAGCGCAGTTAGCTTGTACGATGATCGAAGTGCAAACGAACACTCACGATCTCGAGCTCTCGAGCCATGACAATTAGGAGGTTTGTGCACTCCTTGCTCATTCCGTCCTCCATATTAGCAAGCGGTCCCATTTGCGACGTGTTCGCCAATGCTGAGCCAGAAGCAGGGAGCGGTTCAGCAACATGCTTCGATGCCGCAAATGATGTAGGCACGGGAGTGGTAGCAGCCGATTTCGGCGCGAAGAGACCGACTGCAAGTGGGGTTTGCGGTACCGACACGGGATTCTGTCCAACTAAGGCGGGCTGTCCGAAGATAGGGAGTGTCGTAGGTGGGGGCTTCGCAGCGGTAAATGATCCGCCACTATGGGTGGAAGGAGTAGACGTGAACGCCATCGACGGCCTTTGTTCAAATAGCCCGCCAGAGGGCGAAATACCGAACGACGTCGTAGGCCCCTCTGCTTTCGTTGGCATCGGCGGATTCGTCTTCGACGTGAAGAGTGAGCCACCGGGTGTCAGGGAGGGGAACAATGGTGACACGGCGGGAACAGACGCGGCATTATCTACTCTGAGTGTTGGCGTAGCAGGCCTCGACGGAGGTGCGCTGAAGACTGCAGGTCCTTTTGAGAAAGCTGATGAAAATCCAGTGTCTGGCTTGGGACTCGACGAGGCCAAAGGAGGCGATCCAAACACTGGAGGTGGTGATGGAGTAGCGGGGGTAAGTGTGAAAGGAGCCGGCTTAGGCATCGCAGGAGCCGCACCGAACACTGCCTGGAGGGGTGGTGTCTTCGGGCGCGACTTGAGTCCTTCGCCTGTTGGCACGAGAACAGGTGATGGGGGTTTTTCAGTAGCGGATTTAGGTGACAGTGTAGAGGCATCCGCTTCTACAGATGCATGAAATTTGGATGGAGGCGCAAGAGGGAGCCTATCTGTCGTGTCATCATCGCTGTCCCTGTTTATCGGCGTACTGGCCAATGGCGAGCTGCGCTTGGGCTGCGTGGTTGGTCTGCCGAGTAGACTAAGAGGAGATGAGGACGTCGCGGCCACTGGAGATGGTGAAACAACCGCAGGCGGAGAAGCTTGCTTATCGGGAGAGCTAGACGGGGTCCTGATATCGTCTGGTACGGGCTCTTTCCTTTTCTCCGGGCTTGCAGGAGGCGAAGAATCGGTCAGATGAATCGTAGGCCCCGCTGCTGGAGGAGTGGCAGCTTCGGATGAACCAGGCAAGATCAGCCCACTGTCGCCTTCTGCAGCCTCTTCTCTCTCCTCCTCCTCCTCTTCCTCCTCCTCTTCCTCCTCTTCCTCCTCTTCCTCTTCCTCCCCCTCTTCATCCTCTTCGTCAAAAGAATCAGAAAGAAAATCTTCGTCATCGCCATCTTCATGGTGTTTGGCGTCTTCGTCGTCGCCGTCCAACTCGTCACCACGAGAAAGAGACGCAGCTCTATCTCGCTTGTCAACAGGTGCTGCAAAACGTTGAGCAAGATGACGTCAAAAACATAAGTTGACAAAACAAACCTATATCACCCGGTTTCTTGTCCAGGGGGACACCAAAGACGGTTGTCCGTTGAGGCTGTCCTTGCTTTGACAGACTAGGCTTGGGCTCGCTAGTGCTGGCCGCAGGGAGAGGTGGAGGATTGTTGAAGACCGAAGCCGGGCCTTTTGGCGCTTCCCTGCCCTCGTCCTTGCTCTTGACCTTGCCCTTATCTGTATCGCCCTTCAGAAGCTCACTGAAAGACTTTTTCTCCCCAGAGAATGTGCCGAAGCCACCACCACCGCCAGTAAAGTTGCCAAACCCTTTGGTGCTTGCGCTATTGCCGCCTAGACCGGAAAACGCGGACTGCCCAAATGTCGAGGGCGAACCCGGAGACGACAGCGCGCCGAATGCGGACCTATTCTGCTCGGTCGTTGCAGCTGCACCGAGCGCAGATGGCTGACCGAATGCAGACGGCGCACCAAATACTGGTTTGGCGGCCGGTGTAGGGGTGCTCGGGGCTAAAGGTCCAACGGAGAGCGCCAGCGGCGTACCGCTGAAGGCACTTGGCGTTGTTGGAGCTTTCGGAGGGTTAAAGAAGGGCGAGGATGAAGGGGTAGCAGAAGAGCCAAATGCACCGAAGCCGGAATCCAGTTTTCCAAAGCCAGAGGGAGAGCTCACAGAATTGGAGAACACCCCTCCTGTAGTAGGTTTCGCAGAGGCCGACGACGAAAACACGTTGGGCGTGCTCGGAGCTCCAGAAGGCTTCACTGGAGTTGATGGCTGTGTGGGGCTCTTCTCTTTCGGCTGAGTAGACCCAACGGACTCCGAGTCCAGGCTCTGCTCAGCAGCCGTGCTCAATGTGGACGTCCCACTGGCAAACGCAGCGAAGCCACCACTAGCTGGCGCGCCGATGGAGGAATTGAAGGGTGAGCTGGAAGCCGGAGACTGACCAAATGCTGATTGACCGAACGCAGGTTGTCCAAATGCAGACTGTCCAAAGCCTGGTTGGGTCCCAAAGCCTGACGAACCGAACGCTGGTGATGGACTTGCCGGCTTGATAGCAGCAAACCCAGAGGTCCCGAAAGTAGGCGAGGGAGTTGAGGTAGTATCTGCGGCGCTGCCTGAAGAAATTGCACCAAACCCGTATCCAGAAGACTGTCCACCGAAGGCGCCAAATCCGGTGGCGGGCTTGAGCAAGCTGCTCGAAGGCACTGCAGATCCGAAGGGTGTGCTTGTATTGGGAGGTGCCGAGGGAGATGTGAAGGAGCCGAACATGCCATTCCCTGCGGCCTTCGACTTGCCAGAGTCTATTGGGTGGCTCGCATCGTCGAGAGACAGATTGCCGAATCCACTGCCAGTGGTAGAATCCATCGATATATCCAAATCAACCTTGCCAATGCCCGAATTTGACAGCGAGACGGCCATGGGTGATGCCAATGCTGGACTCGTCGGCGTTTGCGACGCTGGAGCACTTGAACCGGTGCCAGATAGCTGATCGAATTTTGACGGCCCCACGCTGGCAAATGCGCTAAAACCTGGTGATGGCTTCGCTCCGAACGGTGATATTGAGTTGTCCGTGCTACCGAATGCTGAGGTCTGGCCAAAGGCCGACGGCTGGGCGACGCTGCTCTGGCCGAACACGGGAGTGGAACCAGAGTGCTCGAGCAACGATGCAGTAGGAGTCTGTTGTCCACTCATAGGCTGATCCGTGGTCTGAATAGATGCGCTAGTTGATATTATGGGCGCGGCCTCAGTCTCCATGCTCTCACTGGCAGCCTGCAGGATAGCTGGAGCTACGGGAAGTTTCATCCCTGAGTACGGCTTGCCAGTTGTGTTGAGTAAATGCCATCCTATGACAGTCCCGTCGCTGGCATATGCGTACAGGATCGGAGGGGGAGGTAATATTTGGTCTTCGCCAGAAGCTGTCTTATGCGTATACGAGTCGGTGTTCGTGAGATCAAGGGCGAGACCAAGCAAGACGGTGTCCATCATCTCCTGATCGAGTGGCATACCTGGCGTGGAGGTTTCTTCGAGCGTGAAATGAGCCCATTGTTCCTGACCATTGACCTCTGTGCAGCCTATGAGACCAACGTCGGAAGAGCTGCTGTCACCAACGAACAATAGATACTTTGTCGGTTCCCACTGACGCAAGAGGATGGTGAAGGCCCCGGGTGGTCGCATCCCGGGTAAAGGCAGAAAGGGTGCTCTCAGCTTGATCTCTGTGATCGTCCCAGCTTTGGCATCCAGAGACATGAGCATATGTGTCTGATCGGCATCCGGAGACAGAGCTTCAGGAGTTGTAAAGATGCCATAGAAGCCTGGATTAGACAGCCAGAATGTGGATAATAGTTTCTCGGATGGTAGAGAGGATGGCCGAGGCACCATTGTTTTGACAGCGGAGGTGCTGTTCGGAGCGAAAGTGAATATGTCGCCGCTCTGCATCCCAATCGCAAGCTGCTTTCCCTTCGGCGACCAACAAACTACATTTTATTTTGATCAATAATCTGTCAGATCTCGCGAAGAGTGTCTTACCTGAAGCCGGCGTAGTATCGGGCGTGCCACCGCTTTGCCAACCACTCACAATTTGCAGCTTCTGTACGTCGAGCAATTCGATAATGGCGGCATCAGGGGGGCTGCCTGGCTCATAAAGTACCACAACGAGGTCAGGTATGTCCCCTGGATTGGCCAGGATATCCTTTGGCGGACGACCTGTGGGAGAAGGGAACAAGTGCAAGGGCTGAACAGTACTTAGCCCGGATGTGGAAATGGACGTGGTGTCATATACGGCAGTCGAGCCAGAGAGTAAACCAACGATCAGCTTGGAGTCGTTCGAAGCAAAGGCAAGAATGTTTGGTTGCGCCGGCAGCGTTATTGTACGACGGGGTGTGAAAGGTATTGGAGCGTCAGAGTCCGATGAAGCGAATGAGCTGCGAAGCTCAGCAAGTCCAGAAATCATAATGTCTATGATGGTCTGAGTGTATTATGCTTGCGCCGATAATGTCTACTCACTATGTCCATCGGGCGCGGTATATGTGGCAGCGGCGAAACAGTCCAATGAGTTAGCAATAGCGAATAATACGCCCTTGCCGGGGAGAGGGTCGAGCTTCACGGAATCAGGGGAGAGTTTGACGCGTGACCTCTTGTTCAGTAGCCGCAGGGTGAGGAACTAAAAAGCAATATGAGGATAGGCCAGGTGCACAAGTAGTCTAGTAGCAGCATACGTCTGCATCCTTCTCCTCTCCATCCTTTATAATTCTCTGTGCAGAAGGAGCGACCGATGCATGTAGACGAGACACGTTCATCGCGGCACGCGCGTAATTGCCCGCAGACAAATCAAGCTAGTCGGGGCGGCGGTATGGAGAGATAGGTGATATTTCGTGATTGTCGTGAAAGTTAGCCCGACGTCGCGTCGAACGGTGCTTAGACCGGACTTTCTTGGCGGCGAGTGTAGGCGTTGTGGTCGTGGAAAGAGGAAAGGCGCCTTCGGGGCCAGGATGCACGCGCCCGAGCCTCACCTTCGCCCGAGGCCAAATATTGACGTTCGCTGCCGCCAGCTTCACCGACTTCATCCTCACTATACGATTACAGCCGCCACAAATTCATGATTACTCGACATAATCTTGCGAGATCTCATCTCTGACGTGGCTTCATCAACGGCTACCACGATGTCTATCCCGGGCCCATCGTCGAGGACGGAGGATATCCTCTCGTCACCACACCCACAACAGCGGCCAGGTATGGCTTTTGTCCAATGGCTAGACCAGCCTTGCACGCTATGCATAAATAACCTCCGATTCCTCAGGTGTAATGACGCGGTTACACGCCTTGTTTCCTTCACTCGAACACCACGGAGACGGAGCGCATTTTCCCCGAACGGATGCAGCGCAACCGAGCAGTCATCGAAGGAGGAAATCACGACCATCGCCTAAGTTCATTAAAGTCAGGATGCTGACTTGGAATATGCACGATTCATTGCCCAAGGTGCGAATAAACCATGCTATCACAATAAGACCACACATTCTGACGGAGAGCTGCAGGGTGACCTCGAGGACCTGCTCGGTGTTATTCATAACGACTCGGTTGTGTCCGCAGCGACAGGGACCATTCCAGATCTTTCTCTGGACGCGGAACATCCGTTTCATTTGGTAGTCGTGTGAGTGGTGAGTTGTCTAGTCTGATCGCGACCTTGACGATCAAGTTCAGCGCAGGCCAGGAGTGTCCTAGTATATCAGGTGTGTTGCGTCTATCTTCGAGTTAAATTAGCGTCATATATTACGAGCAGGAATTCCAATGGGTCTCGGTGCCGGCTTCAAATTGAAGGACAAGGAACGGGACAAGAGCAAGGACAGAGATAAAGATAAAGAGAACATAGACCGGCCTCCTTCTGCTCAGAATGGCGAGATATCCGAGAAAGATAGAGATGAAGAGGCTGAAGATAGGGCTGAGAAGCCGCGAATACGGACGCGTCTGAAGTCCCTTCGCCATCACTCATTTCACCGGCCAAGCCACGAAGAGTCTGCCGCTGCTGGTTCTTCACATGAAAACGGAGGGCAGGCTAGCCATCCTTATGGATGGACATCCATTTTGGAAGACTGGTATGTGAACGGGGGCTGCCATGCCGAATACTCGGCTGCCCCAGCGCGTTCCTCATCGCAGGACGGACACACAGCGGCTGGTTACCTCGAAGATAGCGACGTTGCGTTATCCGCAAAGGCAAAGTCCACGGGAGACCTCAACGCTCGCATGAGTACACACCGAAAGGGCCCATACGAGCTTCTTGTTAAGGAGCGTATGATGGGCCTGTATCTGGCTATCTTCATTCATCGCGATATCAAAGGTCTCATCAAAGGTAAAGTTTTTTAGAAGCCACAACTGACATGCGATCGACTCATTGCTGTTTTCAAGGAACTTCGAAGTCTGCGGTCACAGCTGGCCTTATCGGCGGACGGGTGGGCAATAAGGGTGGGGTCGGTATCAGCTTAAACCTCGATGGCACGACGATGTTATTCATCAATGCACATCTGGCTGGTAAGTTAATGTCTTAGCAGTCTTTTTTATCATCGATACTCACATTTTCAGCACACGAGGGCAGGGTCCACAACCGGATGGCCAACTACAACAAAATTAAGGTCAGTATTTCCAGTGATCTAAGCGCACGCAGGGCCTAACAACCGCCCAGAGCGAGCTTGCCGTCGACGATTTTCTCGGTCCAGAAGACCCAAGAATGATGGCAGAAGGTAAGTGTTGCGGATATTGTTCGTGACAATCAACAATAGCTCACGCTAATTGCAGACATTACTGATCGCTTCGACTTTGCTTTCCTCTGTGGCGATCTCAATTTTCGGCTAGATATTACCCGCCTGCATGCTGACTGGTTGATATCGAGGCGAGGTGGGTGTAGTGATTATATATGTTTCTGTTCTGCTTCATGCTGTCTCCAGAGTATGGACAGGCCTTGGCTTTTGATCAATTGCGGAAGGCCATGCAATCCGGTGAGGCGTTTGTTGGTTTCAATGAGGCCGCTATCGACTTTCCGCCGACTTTCAAGTACGACGTGCTACGATACAAGCGGAGCAAGTATCGTAGGAGTGTTAAAAGATTGTCCAGAACACCTGGCGTGGAGACTCAAACTCAGGAGAAGACACTGACCGAAATCGAAGAAGCACCTGCAGCAGGTCCCGTGGACGAGGATCGTGAGGATCATAGCGAAGGAGAACAGGAATATGAAGGCGAAGCAGCTTCCGTAGCGTCCACAGTCTACAGCGCTAGTCGTTCAAAGTACACTATGGAAGCCGACGACGATGAGCATGAGGATTTTTTTTATGGCGCTCCCTCACCCCGGGCAACTCACAGCGTAGGTGCCCTCGTCAATAAGTCTCTGGCTACGGCTGCCGTGCACAAGGCGAAAACCAAGTGGATGTCTCTCATAAACTCGACTTCTTCATCTCCGGGAACCCCGATCTTCAAGCGGTTCAAGCACAAGCAGCATGAGGAGCACAGATTCGACCGACGCTTTGATTCCTCTCCGTCATTGCCATCTCCACCGCTTACTGTTTCGCTGCCCAACTCTCCTCCTCCCGAGTTCAGGAGTCTCACCTCCCCGCCGACGCCTGGACGAGGAGACAAGCCACTTACAGAACTTCACGATGGCAAATTACTCATGCCTCCGCGTAGTTTGGACTCGAGTAAGCCAGGTATTGCGCTTTCCACACGAGCTCAGTCCACCAAATCAATGGAGCGCGGAGATCTTCCAGAGGAAGAGGAGGAAGTCGAGGAGAGAGGTGTTTACGATACCTCACATAAGAAGCGTGTGCCTAGCTGGTACGTATATATTATCAGTCTCACTTCGCACAAACTCTCACTCCTTTGACGTAGGTGCGATCGTATCCTTTGGAAATCCAAAATTATGCCTGAACCCGAGCCAGAGGAGGACGAACCACTACCACCGCCGGTCCCTCCTCGGTCAAGGATGAGCAGTCTCTTGCATGCCTTCCGACCTGGTTCTTCACGTGCCCGGAAGGACTCGAATACCTCCATGGACGTGAACACTCCCTGTGTGCTGACGCTCGACAGTGCGCAGACATCTCCAAGCGCCGAGGACAGTCCCACCTGGTCCTTCGATGCTGAATCGACACCGGTCCCACGACCTGAGTTCGCGAGTCGACTGCGCCACTCCGCTTCGGTGGAGCACTTCACTACTGAAGAGCGATCCCATGGCTTTCGCGCAAAGAGCCACTTCCCTCTCCTTGAACGTCCGCGATCTCGGCAAGCCTCCCTCGCCTCCAACGCAAGGTCACCTCTCTCAGCATCGTCCCGCCTCGACGACCGTCCACGGAGCGAGACCCCACCGCCCATCCCTCCCAAGGACGACCTGCATAGCATCCAGCCTACAACCTCGCTGTGGAAGAGTTTCAGCTTCTTTCCCTTCCTTCGCGATACCTTACCTCAGATCGAGCAACCGCCGACGGCGAACAGCCCGCCCTCGCTGCAACATCGACGCGGTGACGTGATTTGTCTGGGCTATAATACCTTGGACGATCGTCAGATGCGCCGGCTCGAAGGCAAAAGTGATCACCGTCCCGTGGTCGGGGCGTACGCCCTGTGTATTTGAAATCCCCCCTAATGGACTCGTCATGCGCCATTTTAGAAGCAAGCGACTCTTATCATATCATGTACATAATGTTCTACTTATTCATGCACCATCCCCGGATTTAGAAACTATAATATATACGCTTTTTCTCGGAAGATCTGGGTCTCCGAACGAGAGTACTCATTCACTCGTGACGTTCTGCGAAAAGTTATTGATAAAGACCGATGACCAGTGACATGTCGTAACTACATGAGAGCATTTCAACCGGAGATGGTAACCTCGACCTCGACACCAGGCTCCAAGCTGATAGATGTCTAGCAAAACGGTGAGTCAGCGATACAAGCCAGAGGGGTTCGGCGGTTAACTCACAATCTGCTTAACGATCTCGCTGGAGGAGTGGAGGTCAATGAGGCGCTTGTGGATCTTTAGCTCGTAGCGGTCCCAGGTCTTTGAACCCTCACCACAAGGCTAGAAAACTTGTGAGCTCCAAAAGATCGTAGAATACGTTGTGTCATGCCTTACAGTCTTGCGGGTGGTGATCTTGAGAACCTTGGTGGGGAGACGAACGGGGCCCTTGACACGGAGCTGTTTGTCCTTGGCACGGTTGATCAAGTCCTGCGAGACTGCGAAATCGCTATCAGAGTCTTATTATTACTACAGAGAAAAATTTACGCACACTTCTCAAGGTTCTTGACGTTGCTGCTTGTGAGGGTAATACGGATCTTGTGAATCTTGGCAGTGGGGACTGGGGCACCCGTGGCATCGTATTCCTTTTCACCCTTAGCGACGTAACTCATCCTTGCGGCTTTGGAGAGTCAGATGGTGACTGTAAGGGCGAATGTAAGCGAGACATCTGTGCAAAGCGCCGCGGGCAACCGACCTGAGGGCGTTGGTGGTTAGTGTGGATGGTAGAAAATTAGAGTTCAATAGCTGGGCTACTTTCGGCATTCGCCATAAATCACGTGGATGATTCGGCGTCTAGGTCATCATCCGCAGGTTCGAAGCTGGCAGCGCATTTGTCTTGGTACGTTCCACCATGCAAGGCGAGTCCACTTCTACATGATTTTGCCCCATTGCTAACAATGTTGTAGGATTTAACAAGTACTATCCCCCGGATTATGACCCTGAGAAGCATAAGAGCTTGAACGCCTATAGAGGTAAGCGCACTTGGTTGCATCTCTGGAGTCGCTTACACAACTCCAGGCAAGCACGCTCTCGGTGACAGGGCTCGGAAGATCGACCAAGGTGTTCTAATTACGCGCTTTGAGCTACCATTCAATATTTGGTGGTATGTGTTACGATTTATTATGGCGCCATTCAAGGTCGCTGATGGACGTGTAGTGCAACATGCGACAACCACATCGGAATGGGCGTGCGATATAACGCCGAGAAGAAGAAAATTGGAAGCTACTACAGCACGCCCATATATTCGTTCAGATGTAAATGTCATCTATGCAGTGGCTGGTTCGAGATTCAGACGGATCCCAAGGTTCGCAGATCCTTGTCTCACTGCTCATGTCCGATATCAATGTTTGTCGTAGAACACACGATATGTTGTGGTGTCCGGGGCTAGACAGAAGGAAGAAGGGTGGGACCCAGAAGAGAATGGGGGTTTTGCAGTTCACGGTGCGCGCTGTTCGCGCTCGATAGCCAGCAACACTATTAATCACTACGCTCTAGATACGGAAAGCAAACAAGGTACCGAAGATCCCCTTGCTGCGCTCGAAAAGACGACTGCTGCACAGGATCACATGAACCAGGTTCAAATACCCCGCCTAGAGGCGCTACAGAACCTCTCAGACCACTATGGCTCAGATCCATACACCCTGTCGAAGAAAGCCAGAAAACGCTTCCGGGAGGTGAAGAGGGTTGAAAAAGAGAAACAGGCGGAGGAGAATGAGCTTAAAGGGCGGTATGGCCTACCTGAAGAGCTCAAGCTTACGAGGAATAGCAAGGAAACTGAGGAGCAAGACCGCGAAGAGTGGCGGAAAGCAAGAAGGGAGCTGGAGGAAAGGGAAAATGCAAAGCGGCAACGACTGGAGACTCCTTCTCGACACTCTATCAGGCCCCTACTGTCCAGTTTAAGGACAGCTTCCGGATCTCGTTCTTTGAGCAGCCAGCCCAGTGCTGCTGAGCTACTCAGAGCGCGGATACAAGTGAACTCGGGACATCGGAAGCTTCCTGGATCAAAGTAATAACCCCCCAAATTGCCATTCTATGGACTGTGTTTCTACGCCGTTGTACCTAAATTGTCGTACCGTTTTCATTCCTCTACCTACGCGGTCCTAAGCTGGATGCCTCCGGGTAAACTCATGTATCAATTTATGAGTGCGTAGAATATTGTAACGGCGCCAATTGCAAATGTTGTGCGCCAATTTTGGCGGCCGCTATGTACCAGCGGCGTGTTTACTGAAGTGTTCTCCCTTCTCCACCGCGACACTCAGTGAGGCCTGCACACGCAAACCAGTGACTGACGCTAGGTTCCGCTTGTATCATCTCTGTAGTATTACAATACCCTCTCTGTAACCTGTATGTCCTCGGTACCTAAGCAGCATGAAACCACCCGCACTGCCATAACCATCCCTGCTTCCCGCCTCGCTGTCTGGCACACATATCTATCCTTCGCAGCCTTCCTGTCTGCCTTATTTATTGGCGTTGCTCTGCACTATAAGAAGATTGTCAAGAACGGTGTCGCTGGATATCCCGAAGAGTGGTTTCCATCCGTGTCCGCTACGTACGTTTTGATCTCTATCGCAAAGGACTAAGTCGCGCTGAAGACATCCCAATAGTATTGGAGACTGGTATCCGGAAAGGAACATATTCCAGATACTAATTGCGCTTAACTCTGGTGCGTCTTCGCGTCATATATCACATATCACGAGCTTGCAATTGATTCTTCTACACAGGACCACGCTTTACGTTGCTCATCCTCCAATACTACCTGCAACGGATCCATTCTTCTACGCTTCCAACAGTCCTTTTCGTTGTTGGGGTATTGAGAACACTATCCTGTGGGGGATGGGTCTTCATCACCTCAACTGACGACCATGACTGGCACGATATCCTGATGGTACTTTATATCGTTCTCAACTTGCCCTGGATGTACGGCAATATCTCAGCCACCAAAGACGCTCGCATACGTCGTAAGAGGTATGTCGTGCTTTTGACACATGACTCATCTGACCCAGCTACTCAAGGCGTGTACTTGCGATTTTGTGCGCATATATAGTGCAGCACCCTGTATTCTACTAACTTTGACCGCTTCAGATTCTTCCTCTCTATCGTGCCCATGGTGTATTTCTTCATGCAGCACAAGGTTCATCGGGTACCCGGAGGTGCGCATGATCGCCTAGTTCGGACGAACGACACTAATGTCCACCCTTGTAGCGTATACCCATTATGCTTTCTTTGAATGGAGCCTCATCATCTTAGATATTTTGTATGACGCCGTCGCTCGCTATGATTTCGAAGCGGCCAACCTTTCTGTATGTACTAGCGTTTTCAATTTCTTTCTACGTGAAATTGACATTGGTCAACACTAGGTATCCATCGGCAGCCTAGCAGTTGCAGAACATCAGTCTATGTACAATCATACTCATCGTCTCGCATAGACTCAGTGTTTGACCCGCAATCTTCTAACAGAGCTGCTGAGAAGCTAACTACATCTGAGATCGAACCGCTTAAAGCTACAGCAGCCGTTCGTGAGAAATCATCGTCGCCCCAACGAGCTGAGATAGCTTCCATGAAATCTTCCAGTCCACGGCAGTTCATCCGCAGCTTTGGCTCGGCGTTTGCATTCATATGCGATCTGTATCTATGTAAGTGTATAGCTGAACTGCCTGAGTTTCGATGTGTTTACACATTCGTTAGCGTATATCAACTGGTCGGTCTTCACGTCATTGACCCCGACTCTCTTCTACTTCTCTGTGTGGGAACTTGGCCTCGCTGGCTCAGAACTCTCGCTCCTATCCACTCTCTCCCCTATTGTTCTGGGTATTCCTATTATCTGTGATATCGCCAGTTCGCGAGTCGGACGCACTATTGTATATGTGCTGTCCTTGACTGGACTGCTGGCATACCTCCTGAAAAGCCCAGTACAGCGCCTCCTCGTCGTCGCGTTTGCAAATGCGTTATCATGCATCGGCTGGACAGTAGATCTATCTGCTACACCAGCCTCCGTGGGATATCAGTCCCTAGGTATGCCCAAGTACGATGCATGCAGACACCCTCTGATATCATAGCAGTGTTTGGTCTTGGTCTCGTTTTGTCCTCCCTGACCAAACATGCTAACTATTCGAACAATCCTGGTACGCATGTCACCAGTGGACTTCGCATATCTGCTCTGATGAGCTTTCTCACTAGTCTGGCCCTTTGTACACGAGGTATCTGGAGGATATAACAAGACGGGAATTGCTCTAGCCTGCCTGGCGATCTATAACTACTACTCTCGTGCCGCCCATCCTCCAAAAGAGACTACACAGCCAAAGGACGCAAAGACGCCGTCAACACCACTACCAACTCGTACCAACTGGCTTCGGGATGGCTTTGCTCTGGGCTCCTACTTTTTTACCCTCCACTGCTTTATCAGCGACTCAAGCACCCTTATCGCCTGGTCGTGGACTGGCTATCCTGTGAAGGGCCCGCTTCCCCACCTCCACGGCTCGTTGACGCATATCGCACAGGCAATTGGTCTTCTGCTTGCGGTGACCGTGTCCCCAGATCTACTCGCACATCCCTTATGGTTGCTCTACGGTTCTGCGGGCGCGGCAGTCATGTATCTCTGCGAGGACTGGCTAGGGTACCTCGGCGGGTGGAACTATGCGTTGTTCCTCATGTCAGTTACATCGGTGATACTCGGCTCGGCGGCAGCGAACAAACATATTGGGAAGACATATTGCACCGCATTCTTGGTCGCCGCTCTGTTCGATGTGGCGAATACGTTCACTGCGGCGTACGCGTTTGTACCAGGCGGTGAATACTTCAGAGAACGCACTAATTGGTAGGTACCCCTGACCATACGCAAATGTCATGACTCAAATGTGTCCTAGGGTACTCGCAGCCGAAATGACGTTCATTAGCTTCGTCTTCCGCTGGTCACACTTCGACTCCTCTATACCGATCCTAGCCGTAACCAGGAAGGCCAGATCGTACATCAATACTACGATTGTCATGTTATCTGTCGCTTCGCTTCTCGTGACGATGTACAGATGGCCTGTAAATCCTCCCGTGCCATATCGTCCTGGACCGCGTATCCTCCGCGCTGGTATCTGGACTGTGCATTTCGGGATCGATAATGAAGGAAGAGACAGTCAGAGGCGTATGAGGGACCTCATCAGGTATGTGTCCAGGGTGGCCGCAAAGAGCGGTGATTTAACGACTTTGCAGGGATATGCAGCTAGACGTCGTCGGACTTCTCGAGACGGATCTACATGTGAGTCAAGTGATTCTACTACGTAGTCGCGTGTTATTGACAAGATTTGAGCGTGTCGTATACGGTAATCGCGACTTGTAAGCGCTGAAGTTTTCTCTATTTTCTCGAAGACGACGCTGATCCTGCCTTATAGGACTCGAGTAATGCTGGAAGATATCGGCTACGTGTGTAAAATTACTTGCCAAGCACGATGTGATCACTGACACCACATGCAGTATGTCGACCTTGGTCCTGGGCCAAATAAGCATACTTGGGGCGCTGTTCTACTCTCAAAGGTGAGTTTAGTAATTACTTCCTGATATGCTGCTAAGCCGTCGTGTTAGTTCCCGATCCTCAAATCAACACATCATCTTCTCCCTTCGCCTGACGGAGAGCTTGCACCAGCTATTCATGCCGTCCTGGACGTCTTTGGAACACCTGTGCATATCGTTGTGTCGCACAATGGTCAAGGTAAAGAAAGTGCTTGGTTGATGTGGGCGATCTAACGCACGTTTGCAGAGGAAACTCCACTCGACCGTGAGCTACAGGCAACTGAATTAGCTCGCATAATGTCCGAAGCCTACCCAGAGCCGCTTATCTTCTTGGGTTATGTTGTCACGAAGCCACACGCATCTCGACGTAGGTCTATTCTCCAGGTTCCATTTATGATACTTGTTCTCACCTGTGGACAGCTGCACCATACGACATCATGGTGACTGACGGTCGTGTCCATGATATTGACAAAGATGATTACGACCGTTGGTGCGAGTACATCTTCTACCGTGGGCTCTACCGCACGTCCTACGCCCGGGTGTCGCGGAGCACTATCACGGACACTGAACTACAGATCGGGCAGTTCCAGCTCCCAAAGCATGGTGTCAGGGTCACGAATGAGACGATGGAGGCGCGGTACTTAAGAGCGTGGAAAGAGGAGTTGCCGGCGGAGCATGTGAGCCATTCCGCGAAGATGACTAGTGCATATCCTGAGCGATCCTTCCAGTGGTTCCCGCCAGAGTACCACCCAGAAGTGGGCGGTGTACGAGGACACTTTTACCACGTCTTCAATGCGGTGTGCATCGCTCCCTCCATTGTCCGTCTATTGCACTAACCCCGGCGCTTCCAGCCGCTATACTACAAGATCCCTGAGGATGCCGTGTTGTAGTCCAGATGGTGCACGCACATCTAAGTAACTGATTAGTTTGTATCATGTACTTAGTGGCCTCGTTCGCCTTCTTCCTCTGACGATTTCTCTTCGTCCGACTCTTTCTCTTCCGCCTCGCTGTCCTCGGCCCCTTGATGACGATCCACATGTTCATCGTTATCGTCGCTCTCCTCCTCGCTTTCTTCTTCACTCTCCGTCTCTTCTTCATCCTCTTCCTCGTTCGTATCTTCATAGAACTTATCGAGGTCCATCCAGCTGTTCTTGGCGTCATTCTGCACTTGCGACCCACTGGGAGAGGGTCCTATTGGAGTCAGCACGATAGGCGACGCGCGATTCGACGACGCGATCGACCGCGGTACAGATGACTGTAGTGACTGGGGAGATACCAGCACTTGAGGCATGTCGTCTTCCGAGTCACGCAACGCGGGGTCGACGCCCTGTTCGAGCCAGTCTGGTAGTACTTTGTCACCTGCCATGTCCTTGCCGGTAATGGCACCGAGCGAGCCGACCGTCTGGTTGTCAAAGTCTAGGATACACTCATCTGTCAGAGCCGCATTAAATCTGGTACGGTGTAAGGACCTTACGTAGAACATCTTTCTCGGCTGGGGCCCCTGTCTTCCCCTCAAACAGCACGAGGCGGACCTGCTCGCGGCGTAAGATGACTCCGCCGGGGCTCTCTTGCTCCTCTTCATCTTCGTGCAGGCTTGGAATCGCGCCGATAAGAAGCCCGCCAAGCATACGTGCGCGATCGCGCACGTCGAAGTTCATGTCGTACCGCGCGAGTGATAGTATGTAGCGGTTCAGCAGAATCAGCGTGCGGTCCGCAGGACAGAGGACGAGCAGCTTCGCGCCGAGGGTAACGGTCTGTAATTTGACGATAGGTTCCTGTAGTGAACAGTGAGTGAAAATGACGAAGTGACGTGGCGATGCGCAAACCTCCCGCATGAACGTAACGGCAGATTTGCGGAGGAGGTCCGGTGCCCAGGACGCAACTCCCTCTGGCCCGACTCTTGCACCATTCTGCACGCTCTCGTCCGCTGCATATTGCCCCACAAGCCATAATATGCACGCCCTTGCCTGTGGATGAGTGATGTGATCAAACGAGTATGCAAGTCGCGAGATGATCGTGGTCGAAGAGTACGAGGTACCGATGGCTTGGCCCTGTTGCAAGCTGCTTTGCACAAGCTGCTTGAGGACGACGACGGCATTTCCGACGACAACGCTGTGTTTGCTCTGAATAAAGGACATGAGGATGCTTAGGCATTGCTGCGAGGATTCTGGCACAAGACGGGCGCAGTATCCAATGGCTTCGACGCCATCTCGGACGAGGTCGTCCTCTGCGTCTTCTGCGTAGTGCTACGCAATATGAGTATCAGCTAACGCTCACACTTGCAGGGACGCGGCTTACCGTGAATTCTCGCAGTAATGCCTGGTAGTTCTCGGACGTGATGAGTAGTCGCAGAAGCCGCATTTTCAGCCTTTTGACATGGGGGATGTCATCACTACGGATGAGAAAATAGGCATACGATGGAATCAATAGGTGCTGCCCTCTGAGTTAATACGAGCTTTCGTGCGAGACTACGGTAGTCCAGCTTACTGTGAGGAGTTGAGACACCATGAGCAAATATGGTAGAACAGTGCGTTCCACCTCTGGAGAGATATGCAGTAGACGCAGTATAGGTTGTACTATCTTCGATGTTTCCGAAGGTGGAGCAGCATAGTAGTATATGCGGACTACAGCGAGCACAACCTATGGGTAGCGCGTCAGTATATGCGCGAGCAAAGCGAAGGCTACCAATTACAGCTGGGTTACACGATTGGAAGAGAAGTTCAGAAGAGGTAAGCAGCAGCCGAACGTCCAAATCGACTTCTTCACGATCCCCGGTAACGAGCGGACGAGGAAGTATTGTACGAGCATATCGCAGAAGCAGTGACATTAGGTCTGCCTGTCCCCACTCGTCCATGTCGACAAGTGTACGGCATAGACGTCGATAATGCTTGTGTAGCAGATCAAGACGCGTCGGGCAGACGGCTTCGAACGCGGTCGCGATACTGCCTATTGAGAGCGATGACCGGTCTCGAAGAAGGTTAGATATGATCTCAATGAGCTCAGGTTGCAAGCTAGAGTCAAGCCTGGGAGCAGGATGTCATAAGCGAGTCTTGAGCAAAGGGGTGGCTATCACCAACTTGTATGCTTGGTGGATGGCCATAGCTGCAGCCTTCCTAACGTACGGACTTATGTCCGAAGCACATTTCTTGATAGCTAGCACAACGATGCTGCCAATCATGGGGACCTTGATTCCTGAGAGGACCCGCAGAGCCATAGCACGAATGAGTGGGTTTGGGTCTGAGAGGTCCTTCTGGAACGTATTAATGGACAGCAGAGCGAGGTCGGGCTCGTGCTCTGCGTAGCGCAGGAGGTATATGTAGACAAGCTTCCGTATCTCGAGGTTATGCGACGCGACATTCTTGACGACTTGGGCAAAGAACTCGGATACATTACGGCCTTTGGAGATGAGCTTTATGAGGACTTTCGTTCAGATGGTCGGTAGGGAAGAGGCAGGCGGAACGCACCGCAATCAAGCGTTTCATGGCATCCAACTTTTCCCTGTCACTGTTCGAATCCAGCTGCTTCCGGATGTTCCTAACCTTGTCCTCTGGCGTGTCGAGGTAGGACGAGCTAGCACCGCGAGCTATGGCGAGGTCTCGCGTGTGCTCGGAGATGGTCTCTTGCAGACGCGTTCCGAGCCGAGTGGCATTTTCAGCGATGGCGTTCAGATTCAAGCCAGACATGTCCAGCCGAACGTCGATGTCTTTGCACACAAAAGTCCAGGACGAGAGCTGTAGCAAATCTTGCAAAAGCGCCGGCTGACGATGCACTTCTGATTTGATTAATTTACTAGACAGACGATTCTCGCTTTGCCAGTTGAGTGTGGCTACTCTGCAATGGAGGCCAGATTTACTCGACAAGGCAAGCGGGCAGGGGTAGATATTGCATTCTCAGAGATATTCAAAAATACATCTAATTCTCGTCTATTCTCTAGACCGAGTCACCAGTTCGATTCGAGTTCAATGTCTCGGAGCGGTGACGGTAACCTTCGTAGTATTTAGCTTCGCAATCACTTCGTCATTGACCTGCAGGTGAGCCTTAACAAGCTCAGGAGGAATGAGAGCCAGCCATTGTCCCAAGCTGACATCCTCAAACTTGTCTGTGAGAGGTGGCTCAGGTCATGCACACAACCAAGTCACAACACGTACCTGATTTGAATATTTCGAGGAAGCGAAGGGTGGTATTTCCGGTGTTTTCCACATAGTGGCCTATTCGGTTTATCAGCACTGCCGCTACAGTCGACATTTAGTGAGAGAAAATTCACCATACGAAGCTGGCACATAACCTATGTCACCAGGCTGGAAATTGAACGTCTGCGCATTCCCGCTGGAGGCAAACAAGGTGATGCGACCGGTGCCCTCGCTGCAGAAGGATTAAATCAACCTTGCTCTCGTGACTATTAGCAGAGACGCACAGGAAATAGCTCCATTCATCCTCGGAGGGATGCCACTGAAGGGATACGCGTTAATTAAGATTTTCAACCGCACAAATCCGCATATACTCACGTGGAGTTCTCTGATCGCGCCCGGTTCGACCGTTACCTCAGCAGCTGCAATGGTCTGCGAGATCTTGAAGTTGGATGAGTCAATGATCTTGACGGAGCCACCGGCTAGAGGGGTAGGCGTGAGCTGGGACGCCCTGAAGGTGTACGGTAAAGGCGCGACACCCGCGGCACTCTTTGGAGCCACAGTGTCCTTTGACAGAGGATCTTCGTTGTGCACCATAAGTAAGCTCCCCTCATGGGAGAGAAGGCGTCGCACGTACCTGACGGGAAAATATAGAGCTCCTTCCCGGGAAGCTGTGCGAAATCCTCCACGGAAAGCTGGAAGTTTTTCGCGATGACTTCCTTGGGAACATGGCTCAGCCAGTCCGTGATCTGAACACAGGTCAGTAAGGAGCGGCTTGTCATCATACTAAGACATTCACAGAAAAAGTGGAGTCTTCGGAGAACTCTCCGCTGTCAAAGACCTAGGCGGATGCATTAGTACCCGCTGTTCAAGCCCGATAAGATGAACTGACTAGCAGAAACTCGGCTCCCTCAGGTAGGTCTGCTGTCGCCTGCAGGACGTGAGGTACACCCGGTGGAAAGTACCACAGATCGCCTTGGCTCTGTATAAAACTCAGCGACAAGCTGTGTCTTCTTCTTGAAGGACTTACGATCGTGTCATAATAGTTTTGGCCCTCCGAGTTGACGATAGCGACGTTCATGCCGCCTTTCAAGACATAGGCCCACTGCTTGTCTATTAATCGGCGTTACCAACATCTTAAATAGCTCAACACGCACCTCTGCGGTTGTATGCCAATGCAGCTCGCTATCCGCATTATTAGCAACTGTATTCAACCCGTACAAAAAAGCTTACCGAATTGCGCCGGCTTCGAGACGCATGTTCACACCGGCCATTTCTGTACGCATGGTGAGGTAGTGCCTTTGAGATTGACGGGAAGTGGCAGGTACCTGTAGCAATGGGCATAATCTTCATGTTCTCCTGCCTGGCCCAACCGCCGGTTTGCAAGCGATTATGGCTCAAGCTGAAGGGCCATTTAGCGTTTCCACTGTAAACGCAGTTTGCATCAGCTAACCGCACGCCAGTCAGACGAGACAGGTACTTGCACAGAACCTGCGTCCGTGGACGGCGGCGCGAGTAAGTCCGGGTTCTGCAGGTCCACGGGAACATTCTGGGGGCCGAGGACGGGGCTCGCACCGAGCCCATCACGTACTGGCTGCGGGTCGATGCCGGCTGAAGGTGACCAGAGGACGTGGTTAGGGATCTCTGGGGCATAAGGGAATGTTGAGCCGGCGGCCAGAGCGGACGCGACCGACGATCCAGCTGGGGCTGCGATCGCGGTACCGGCCAGCACTAGATTGGCTAGGAAAGCTTGAGCGAGCTTCATGTGGCACATAGGAGCAGGTATCTAGCGCTTCGAACCACAAGAATGTGGCTTCAAGAAGGCTACGATCTGAAAGAGCTAGAGATGGGGATTGAGGGTCAAGCAAGCCTCATTTTATATCTGCAAGCACAACGATGATATCGCTAAGAACCGCAGAACGAGGAATCCGCTTGCAGTGTGACCACAGTTCTCGCTCATTTGCTTGCGACGTGCACGCAAAGCTCGTTGCTTGCGCCACCGGCCCCGAGCACATACGACGCTGTAGATGATGTACAGACATTTGATGGAAAGAAATGTCTAGTGGATCGACGTATAGACAGGCCCGATGTCAAGAGGGGGTTCTCTTGACCATGGCCATGACGGGGATACTGAACATACTTCAGATGCGAAGTCAGTAGGCATCAATTGTCGAGATAACAGCCGCGGTGCTTGCCGCAGTCGGGTGATATTCTCTCATTCGTACGGAACGAAAGCAGTTTGACCCTGCATGTGATAACCAGGCTGCTGGCATATATCAGAAAACTTGTACAGGCAATGCGAATACCTCGGCCGTTCGTAGACGTGCACGCGGCCGCCGTCAACTAGTCAACAGCGGGTAAGATCTATCTTCCTTTCGAGACGAGTAAATCAGCTGCGTGACTTCTGCGGTCAAAACAAGTACTTTCTATACGGGGCTGCATCAACATTTTCGGGGATGTTGCAAGGATAACTTTTCGGCTCACCGGTGGAGATGAGAGACAGAGGAGATAGAGCGGGGGTTACGATATCGAAGCGATGGCTCGCAGCTGCTAGCTGTGATGCTTTCCTTTTGGTCTCGGTTTCACATGAACAGTATCGTAGGCTCGTACCATCTCAACTCACCCCGTGTCGACCAGTGGATCGCACTATGGCAGAGGACCCGGTAACCAGAGTGTCATCGATAGCAAGCGAAACAAAGTAGAAATACACAGCGCAGGGGTAAAAAGGAGGTAACCAAAAGAACAACAGCAGATGCATGACAGAGTATTGATGGTGTAATACCGAGAGAGATCCTGGGAATGAGTATATAGCACAGAGCAAGCCGACACCCGAATAGATTAAACAGTCAAAAAAAGGGTAGGAGCGCAACCAAAGCATCAACAATGGCAAAAGAATCCGCTCATCGGTCGTTAATAGCCCAGGGCTGATCTAATATTGGCATGGATCCCTCCCACTTCCAGGGGTCCGAGTTGAAGTACGCCGCCTCGCCGCCGCCCACCTCGCTCCAGAAACCCATCCGCAGTGGGTCAGATCCATCCAGCTCGTCTTCAGCCTTGGCATCCGCGATGTGAGCCGTGTCGGGCATCGTTGGAGCGCCGTGGCTACTGTCCGCGTCCGACGCTGGGCTCGGATTGGTCGACGAGGTCTGCACAAGGTCGGGAGTAGGGGCTTTCGAACCGTCCTCGTTGTATAGCGTAAAGTCGAAAAATTCCAAGCCGTCGCATCCGTTTGCCGCAACAGAAGGCGTTGAACTACGGGCAGCTCCTGTGTCATCCAACGACCCAATGCCCGGCACGGCATCCGATAGGTTGTTAAGGATCTCGTTTATCGTATCCGAGATCTCCGCCGGAAGAACCTGTTTGCCTTCGCTTGTAGCCATGACCAGCATCTCCATCGTGTTCTCCAAAAACTTGGTCGCGTCCTCGTCTATCTTGACATCCTCCACGGCCTGCTTCTTCTTGGAGAGCTGTTCACTCTCCGGACCTTCCCATTCTGTCTTCTGCTTCTTCGACGGCGTTTGCTCACCGCTTGCAGAAGTAGACGCAACATCCTCTTCCCTTTTACGTTTAGGGCCAGAATCGGGTGTGGCGGCAGCGGGGGAAGGCTGATCAGTGATAGGGGCGGCTGCGGCCGCAAACGAACTGGACGCAGGTACAGCAGGAGGCTGTCCTTTGATAGACTGCTTGCGTTTTGGCTTGGGCTTTGGGGGCGCTTTGGTCTTCGGCGACTTCGGAGTTTGAGGCGAGCTGACGGCGTGACCTGGCGTCGGTGGGTTAGCTGGTGTAGATGCTGACGCAGGGGGTGTGGAGACAGAGGCTGCAGTCTCAGCAACGATTGTAGGCTTTTTCTGCGCTTTGGCAGGAGCAGGGATGGGTGTGGTTTGGATAGGTTGGGTACGAGGACTTGGCTGCGTCGGTTGTGGTGTGGGAACGTTCAGTTGTGGCGGAGGAACAAGCGAATGTGGCTGCCGTGACGGCGGGCGAGGACTAGGTGTGGGGCGATCGGTCCGCTGCAATGGAGCAAGGTCGGACATCGGTGGAGCCATAGGAGGGCTATTCGCTTGAGGTGGCACATGCGCCGGTAGTTGTGGACGGCCTTGAGGCGATTCTTGGGACATCGACAACAGCCGCTTCGACAAATTCTCTGCAACATTCTGACATATTTGGAGGTATGTGCGGACAGTGGCTAGGTCCAGAATGTATCTTGGCATGCTAGACGCTGACAACAGCGACCGCTGGTGCTGCGTCTGAGCGATCTAGATGGCATCGTAAGAACCGGTGTTGAAAGAAGAAAAAAACTCGGAAGAACAGATACGTACGATCTCAACCAGCCGCTTCACCATCTCCTCTTTCATGTAGCAAGCGAAGATTGCCAGCTTGCTGGGCTGGTCGAGCTCACTTGCGTACTTGAATAGCTGCTCGAACTGGTTGGTGTACTCGAGACGCTGTTCCTCGGGAACGTATCGACCATCATGTGGCGTGACTAAAGATGTGTCAGGGCGCGTCAATCTCTGCCATTAAACACGACTCACCGCGCGCAAGATGTGTGTTGGCAAACACCTTCAGCTGCACGATCATCTGGGCTGCTTTCTGCATGGCTTCCGGAGTAGGCCGAGGGAACTGGTGACGAGCAGCCAGACCAGCGTTCTGAGCCATAGGCTGCTGAGCATTGGGAACTAATAGGCATGGGCAGGTGAGGGCTGAACGGAGTATATGCAGGAGTGCAACATACCGCTTTGAGCAGCCGCCGGAGAAGGCTGTTGCGACGTTCGCATTTGCGCATTGAGTATATTCTGCCGATGCTGCATCGCCGCGAGGTTGTTAGCAGCCTGACTATTCTTGACGTTGTTCTGGTACGCCACTTGAGCCTGGTAAGTTCGCTGGAGTATCGCGCGATGGGTCTCGACCACACTGATGATATTCTCCCCCACGCCTTGCCGTCGTAGTTGATCCGCGCTAAACTGTGAATACTGTAGGACTTGAAGAATGCGCTGATTGTCATTGGTGCCGACCAGTTGACCTATACCCTGTAGATTCATGGGTCCCTGGCTGCCGTGCTGTTGCGCGCCCGTATTAGGATTGCTAACCTGGATGTTGGGCATGGCAACATTTGGCGGAGCGGGAGCCGCACCGCCTCCGAGGGCTTGCGGGGGACCTTGAGGCGGCTGTAAGTTCTGCTGAACAGCCTGTGGCCCGTACCGCTTCGAGAGAACGGAACGCAAGAATGTGGAGTCAAAGGCCGACAAATATTCCCGGTACACGTGCTGCAACTTCTGCGCCACGCCAGGTCCTGACCTGGGAGGGTCGTCAGGTCCCGTACCAGGGAACTGAACGAAATCCAATCGGCCTCCTACAACGGCCCACAGATCAAGGTTGTTGCCGAGCTGGTAGAGGTAAGTAGAATGAAAGAAGGGCAATATCAGATACGCACTCTGTGCATTGTCCCAGCCGCGATGACCTCCTGATGCAACCGGTGCAGATCAATTCTCTTGCCCTCGATCTGCAAGAGCTGCTCGTCGTGAGCAATGTTCTGCTTGTGGCACCACTGGCCGTATGCTGCCTTGAACGCTTCAGCGGGCAAAGCAGGAATCTGGGTCTGAGAGGGGATTTGGCCTTGCCCGGGGCGCTGAGCCTGTTGGAACTGTTGTTGCTGAGCGAACTGTGGCATACCGTTCGAGATTGGAGGCTGAGGAGGCTGATTGGCGTTCGGCGGACTCGCCATTGGCGCCGGCATGCCTGGCGAGCTTTGCATTCCATTCTGCGGCATGTTCATGTGAGATAGAGGTGTAGGGCCGGACCGAGGCGGCTGCTGCTGCATAGGAAGGCCGTGTGTGCCAAGGACGCCAGGGGTGTGATTGGCTTGGGGGTTTTGCTGCAAAGGTGTATTCGAAGGCATTTGCATGGCATTAGGTGGCAGCTGAGCATTGGTGAAGCCGTTGGAGGGGGAAGGCCCATTGTGCGGGAGCCAGTTCGGGACAGCCTGGTTGTTCTGCATCATGGCTACAGACTGAGCCCCTTGCGGTGGCAAATTCGCACCGTTCCTGCAGTCCTATTGTATGAGGGACGTATCAGGACAACATAAAATACGACGACTTACATGCTCGGCTGCGGGCGAACCCCTTGCTGTTGCCACATCGATTGTAACCTCGCATTAAGTGACAGATGCTGTTGGATCTCGTTCTGAATGGCGTGCAACTCGGCTCGATACTGTTGTTCAGGCTTGTTCATTTGCGTACTTTGCAACAAAGCCTCCTTCTGGCGCAACTCATTGAGCTTCGCCGTGGTCTCGGCTTGTCGCGCATGCAACATAGCGACTGCATTCTGAGGCGTGAGTTGCCCTTGGGGTCTCTGTGCCATCGAGAGACCTGGTTGCATGACGGTCGGACGTTGGTTCGCCATTCCGTTGGGAAGAAGCCCGGTCAAGTTGTCGGACGATTGTGACATAGAATTGTTATTGAAGAAACCGCCCTGCCCCGGATTCCCCATCATCTGATTGCCCATGCCCGCTTGCAGCTGCTGTTGCTGTTGCTGCTGTTGCTGCTGCTGCTGTTGTTGTTGTTGCTGCTGCTGCTGCTGCTGCTGCTGTTGTTGTTGTTGTTGGTGCTGGTGCTGGTGCTGGTGCTGCTGTTGCAATTGTCGGAGCGCCGCTACTGAAGCGTTGGTGGTTTGGTTCGATTGCTGCGTCTGACGTGCGAGGCCCATAAGATCAAGTTGTCGGCTGAGGTTGGGTTGGTTGTGCATCGCCTGGAGCATGGCAGGGTTACGAGCAAGGGCCTGCAGCTGCATTTGCTTCTGGAACTGAGAAAAATTGTGCCCCGCCTGGTCCGGCATAGCTGGCGCCCCCGCGCTAGCATTCATTGGGCCACCGAGGCCGAACGACTGCTGCTGGTGCGCCTGCTGCATTTGTTGCTGCTGTCGAGCAAAATGCTGGTTGCGTATGAGCTCAAGTACCTGGAAGGCAGAGGGTAAGCCGTTTGAATTGATCGGACGCCCACAAGAGGTATGCCGTGATGACATAAGCAAGCACGGGAAGCGAAGACTCAAGGCCCAAGGGGAGGCGTAAATGCAGAGAATAAACACAAAAAAGGGTTCGAGGGTATAGAGGGAGGAGAGTGGTGCGATATGAGTTACTCAAGTCGGGGACGATGAAGGTGGACTTGGAAGGCAACGTAGGATGTCACATACAAAGGCCACGAAATACTTACGTTACTCGGCCCACCACCCATATCTCCTACCCCTTGCTGCCTGAACTGCTGCAACTGGTTCATTTGCCATGCACGAGTAGGGTCGCCAAGTACGCCCGGCACGCCTTGTTGATGGTGGTCGACTTGAGCCTGCGGAGGTACCTGCTGCTGGGGCATGCCCTGTTGACCGCCGAGTGTCGGATTGAAGTGTTGTGGCAACATGGTACGTAGATGAAAGTAGGGAAATCTTCCGTCCTACGATACGAACGCTGATACGAGTGGGGGTAGCAAAGTTCGATGGACGGATAGTCGGTCTTCGGAGGGATAGATGATGAGAGGGAGATTCCAAAGCCGCACGAGGCGGAGAGTAGCGTACGTCCGCCGCCTGCAATAGCAATGAGGATAGCAATGTCGTGAACAGAGGGGGACGACGGGGAAGGGGCGGGGGGGAGGTGGTGGTGGGAGAGTGCACGGGGCAGATTTCGGCGAAGCCCTCGAGTCTGAAGGACTGGCTTGCAGTGGCATACACCCGCACACACAATATCCAAATTCGGCCGCGGGCAATCAACTCAAAATAATAAGAAAAGAAACAAGACCCAGGTCCTTAGTTATCGACTCTGACTGCAAGGGTATGTATGTGACACAGTGCAACTCTCTATTTATCGGCCCTTCAAACACTACGGTTATGTTGGAAGAATCGCAACACAATTCCTGGACATATTCGTGTCGAGAAGCGCCAGTGCGCCACGGTCGCAAAGCGGCTCCAGACGCATGGCATGTTGCCTTCACTCTCCGCCGTTGGCTACAGCAACGAGCCAGCGGGCTCTTGCCAACCAGACGACGCTGCAACTGGCATGGCGGAGCAAGTTGGGCTATACACCTGATCCAGAGGCTGTGTACTTGACACCGCGTCGCGCGCGTTCCGCTGCCGCGTGCAGCTGCATCGAGCGCGCTGTTGGGTGCAGGAGCGCAGACCAGACTGTCCATACTCGGGCCTTTCCGACCGAGAACTCACCCGTCTTGGTTCGAAGAATGATTATACAGGATAATACTTGCAGAAGCTGCGTGCTACTCGCCACAATGCAATCGTAATCGTAATCGTACAGAACCATTAGTAACACAACACGTAACCTTTATGGCCGAAAACATCTGGAAATCTAAAAGAAAGAGCGTACAGCAAGAAATGACAGGTCCGTGAAACGGAGTGCGAAACGGCATGCAGAGGAAGTTTGCTATCAAAGGAGGTCCTCTGCTCGCCAATCGCGTACGGGAGGTACCGATGCGGCAGTCTGTGATCCCCCTGTATCGTCCTTCTTGACTATCAAGGCAGGCCCAGCCTCGAGAATGACATCTTCGTCACTTTCTTCGCCCGTATAGCTGTCGCTCTCATCGTCAGAGAGAACTATTAGCTGTGCAGTCTTGCCCTTTACAGGGTCGACCTGTGGGCCCTGTGCAAGAATAACGTCGTCGTCGTCGTGATACCTCTCCCCTTCCAACACTGGTGTCGCTTCCACATCGATGACAGTTTGGAGATGGCGGCTGAAAAAATATCGGAGGCCAACGGGAATCAAGGCACCGACAACAACTGCGGAAAGCAAGAAGAAATTCTTCCAGGAGATGAGGTGGAAGTCGGCCGGTGATGTCATATCGTCAAGGCTTCCTCCGATCGTTGTATGTATCACCGTGACGCCGAAAATGCCGAGCCATGTACTGACCCAGAATGGTACGACACCGATATCCAGGTGAGGACACAGGACGTTGACGACCCAATGGGGAGGGAACGGGGCAATACGGAGGACGATAAGGAACGAAATGAGGTTGTCCCTCTGCGCACGTATCTTGTCCGCCCAGACGTCGAAACGCGCCTTGAACTTGGGTACGGTGAGCAAGGCGGGCCCTAGCGCAGCGCTGATGAAGTAGCAGAGCGTGGCGCCAGAAGCGACGCATGTACATGCTAGCGGAAGCGCGCGGGGGACGCCCCATACTGCGCCGCCGAGGATGGAAAGATACATGGAACCGGGAAGGGAGAACGCTTGCAAGCTGAGATGTAAATGAGCAACTTGATATGCATGCACCCATGAAGATACTTACAAGAGGTATGTTGTCACATAGCAAATCACGATACGGTAGGGGTAGATGTCTCTATACTTCTTGAGCAGGGCGTTGAGTGCCTGGAGTTCTACAAAAGACTTGGGAATCTTAAGATGCGGTCTGTCCCCCCTGTTGTATGGCACAGATGGTTAGACGTTGGCAACGATTGACGAAGGCCCGGACATACTCGTCAAGCGTAGGCAGCGCCAGCCACAGCGTTGCGCCCAGGAAGGCGGTACTCAGCACAAAGATAGCAGCCATTTTCAACGTCGCGGTCATGAGGAGTCGCCTTGAGGAAGGCTGCGAAGGAGGAGTAGAGCCATAGCTGATGGTCGACGAGGAAGAGGAAGCCGGAAGGAGGGCAGTCCGCTGAGTGGGCGAAGGACGGTCGGGAACAGTGTTCAGAGAGTAGGCAGAGCTAGCATCGTGATACGGCTCCTGCTGTTCTTGCAGTGGTTGAGGAATGGGCTGCATGGCGATGCAGCGGGCGAAGGGTAGACACGGAAGTGGGAATGGAGTGAGCGAGCAGAGTGCGACAAAGGAGCCGTCCCCACTGTGGGAAAGTACACTGCATTAGGTAACGTCTGCCGCAGCGCCCCGCCGCCCACGCCGAGCTGACGGCGACGCCACCAAGCCTACTAGTATCCCAACCGACATGGCTAACGAAGCCCATAAATCCATCCCAATTACCGTCTTCACAGGTTTTCTGGGTGCTGGAAAGACGAGCATAATTCTCTCGCTACTTTCTCGCCTGCCCGCAGACTACAAGGTCGTGTTGCTAAAGAATGAATTTGGCGACGTCCAAGGTAGGAAGAGGATCGACAATGACACTTCATGCACTTGACTCATGGCGCAGTCGACAGCCAACTGGCTAAACAGTCTAGTCTCGCCGCTGTAAGTGAAATACTCAACGGATGTATGTGAGTACCTGTCCGACTCTCATGGCCTCGACCCTCATTTTCCCCAGGTGCTGCGTGCTCGTCGGTCAAATGAAAACCGCTCTGCTCGAAATTCGAGGTAACGTATATCATTCATTTTCAGAGAGATGGCACACTTATATCTATCAAACGTCGCAGAAAACTTCCGTCCTGATAGGATCATCATCGAATGCTCGTTCGTCAGCTCCATTCTAGTCCTTAAACCGCTCCGTAACATATTATTCCAGGGGGTCTGCTTTTCCAGCAACTCTCGCTTTCCAGATCCGCGAGCTTGAGAGGGAGACTGAGGCGGACCTCAAGCTGGATGCCATCCTCACTGTCATAGATGCGGAAAACTTTACCGGCTATGAGGATACTTCACCTACTGCACGCATGCAAGCCAGCTATACAGACATGATCATCATTGTACGTACTGCTACGACCATTTACACATTTTGTCTGACGTATTTTGCAGAACAAATGGGAGCATGTCTCTGAACGCCAGCTTGATATCCTCGTCGACCACCTTAACACCCTCAACGACCTAACACCGAAGATTAAATGCGAGGATCGGAACGGTGTGGACCCAGCATTGATATTTGGCCTTGACTCGAAACTATACCTGAAGAAGGACGAACTTACCCTCGACGCCAGTCATCATAACGAAGTGCAAGCCGTGACGGTATATGCAGGACCTAGTTTGGCCCACAGTCACGCCCGCGAGGAGAATGACCCCCACTGCTCGTGCAGTAAGGAGGAGTTTATTGCAACCTCAACGCCAAACTCGACCCTAATCACAGAAGGAGCTTTATCTACCGCACTCGGCAAGCTTTCGAAAGAAGCAGTCTGGCGGGTGAAGGGCTTCGTGCGGACGCAAGAGGGTGTCCGCATCCTGAACTGGGCCTTCGGCAGATACGAATTGACGCAATCATCCAATACAGAGCTGCTATTTGAGCAGGAGACGGTCAAATTAACGGTCATGGGCGAACGAGGCGAGGTGAAACGGGAGGCACGAAAGCTGGCGGAAGCGCTGGACGCAACTTTGTCTTGAGATCGCGATCTAGATTCTAGATCAGGTTTGCATAGGAGATAGAATACAGTGCATTGAGACGCAATCACATGAGGCTCACCCGAGGCTCGTGTCTTGACGACCATGTTCTCCTCTTTCTCGTCTGCCATCCTCAATTCCGGTACGAGCTCGTGCTATCATCTAAAGCAGGCACGTTAAACAGTGTGGCACCTAGCCTCGTCGTATTTTTACTTCCCGGTGAATGACGAGAGCACGGACGACGATGATTGGCTCTTTCAGGAGGACTCTTCATCCAAGCTATACATGCTTGACTGGACTCAGAACCAAACTGAGCCTTCTGAGATCAATAACCCGGGCTTCAGCTACTCCCCTGCGTTCTCTTCTTCCCCGTCACTTGTCTCAGCACTAGAAGATGTACCCCCGCAAAAGCCCAAGCATCCAGTCATAGAAGAGATCCTTTCCAAAAACGATTTATATGAAATATTGGGTGTGTCGCGCAAATCCGCGCTCGACAGGCTCGTGTTGAGACGAGCGTATTTATCCCGCAGCAGGGCCTGTCACCCAGAGTGAGTACTTCTATGCAGCATCTTGACCGCTCGGCCCGCCTGACCTGTAAACGTGCCAGTAAATTTCCCGGGAACGCCGATGCAACTGAAGCATTTCAGAAGGTCAATGTCGCGTATAACATACTTAGCACGCCAGCGTCGAAGCGATGTTACGATGCAAATAAATCACGGAGTTCATACGACTTTTCGACGAGGCCGTATGCCCAGGCGGAAGAGACGTTTCGCAGTGTAGTTCTAGGCGTCTTCAATGACTTCCTCGAAGGCGATTTGGAAACAGTGCGAACATTGCTCAGTACGTTGACACTTCTCCCGGACAGTCAACCAGACTAGTGTTTACAATGCACAGGAGCCATGAACGATCTGAATCCCTCACTGAGCCTCGGAGACGAGGGCATTGACATGATCCTGCATTCCTTACAGTCAATTCGCGAACGTGCGCTGAGTGAGTGCACAGCTACGGCGCTTCCAGCGTCCAGATATCTTGCTGATGACCTCATCGTGCTACAGCATGCCGGGCATGTGTTCTAGCCCTGCACACGGAAGTGTCCCGCCTGATCGAAGTGCAGCACGCCTTCCGGCAGCTGTCCTACCTTGACCTGCGTCGACGGTTCCGCCTTACGCTTGAGCTGACACGAATCGCAATATCGTTGCCCATCGCCCTCGAACAGGCCATCACAAAAGCAAAGGAGGACCGACGTGACGAGGAGGCGAGCGTGATACTGAACCGCCGCCTGCGTTCCATTCTACGCGGGTCCGCTAGGGTCCTGGCCCGTGTCGAGCGATTCCTAGAGTAAGCTCTCGTGCCTGGGCCTCGTGTATCTGATTCCCGTTCGCATGTTTCGGCTGTGGTCATCTGCTACGCACGGTATAAGGGGTGATGTTATCACTCATAATAGACGTTATTCATTAGGTTGTTTTTCTGTAGAACAGTGTCGCGTATTGCACCGTCGGATATGTACTCTGTATCTCAACTTATTGCAAAGGTGTTCTGGAGAAAGGATACTCGGATTAAGCACGTAACAACACGATAAAAGTACACGTGCCCGGTATGGGGCAAAAGAAGTGCATCGACAATAACCTGAGATAACAATAATTCAACGGAGTAGCGTAGGGCGGATAATTCAACAAAATTACAACGGAGGAGAAAGTCAGGGCATCTGGAACGGTGCCATAGCGCGAGGATCCTGTTGCTAAACGACATCAGATATTCAAGTTGATTGGCGTTACATTGGGCTAACGTACTCCAGTTGTAGGCCATACATGCATTCCAGGAGACGCAGGAGGCAGAGAAGCATCCTTCTCTTCCAACACAAATGACTCCTGAGACGGCTGGAACCCAAAAGATGACATGGACTGCGTCGCGTTCAACAGCGCGGAAGTCGCTGAGTTCGCTGGCTGTGACTCTGGGTAGAAGGGGTAGAAGAGGCCAGGGGGGATCTCAGCCAGCTTCTCGTTAGGAGATAAACCCTGCGCTGGTACTCCCTTGCCGCCTGGGCTCTTGACTGTTGGCAGTCCAGCGGGGGACGGCTTTGCGTATGGGCTCTGAGGATACTGAGCTGGCCCCATGTTCGGTGTCCCAGGGTGTTGACTAGGTTGCTTGGGAGAGAGGACACCCTCTGAATCCCAATCGGCTTCGGAAATAAGCATCGGAGGTGTAGTAGGAGCGACTTGATGTAGGTTGACCTTGAGGACTTCTTCGGCGAGCTTGGCGATAAGCGGATGCCCACCCTTGAGATCCTTCCTCTCCCAGCGCCAGCGGAAGCTTGGAAGCATATCAAGGGCCATCCAGACGTCCTCTAGAGCTACCTCCCGTGGAAGGCGCTCACACTTAGACATGTGCCCGTAAAGGATGACCATGGCAGCAATGTGGAGTGGAGTAGGCGAGACGAAGAAGGCGATGTCGGGGAACTTGATGAGCTGATGGTGGACGACGATAATGTTATGGGAGGTGACGATAGCTGCAGCCAGAGAATTAGCGCAGTAAGCCGGCCTCGAGAACGCTCGCTACATACCATCAATCAAAGCGCTAAGGCGGTTATGGAAGGGGAGCTCTTTGGAGCTGAACAAGGCACGGAGGAGCAGAATCCTCGTGATCCCGATTTTCAGAAGAGTCAAGCCTTGGTCCTCAGTGATGTCTTGGACGAGTTGCTTCCGCTTCTCGAGAGTCCAGTCGTCCGTACCGCTAAAATACCACTTGTACGAGTCGGGAAGCTGCCGCCGGAACTCGTACATGCTCTTGATGATTCGAGTAGCGTGACGAATGATTGAGTCTGCTGACTGTCTGGTAGGCGCATACAGAGAGTTAATGATATCCGCTTGGACCTCGGCAATTGGCGCAGATAGTATGAAATGCTCGGAGATGTCATTGCCCTTTCCCCGAGAGGGTCTCGGAGTGTTTGAGTCAGAGGGCGCTATTGCCAATGGGCGGCCGAGCAAGATGGACGTGCCCCGGTCATGAACCAAGACAATTGCCCAGAGGCGTATGCGTAGCTGACACTCTTCCTCCGTGAAAACGAAACCCTCAGGGTTATCATCCGCCGGGGCGACGTGGGGGTCGTGATGCAGGCCAAGCTCAATCGCCAGCCGGACCAAGCTGCCGACAAGGCGCCAGAGAGTCCGGCCTTGTCGCTGCGCGCGAACGTCAGCTCGATTCCCTACAGCAGGTGGAAGGAGCTTACCTCGGTGTACAAATACCAATGGAGTAGTATCAATGCCTGCAAACTTGAGATGGTGACTCGTAAATCAGGCTTTACCGCCAACGCAAGATCGAAAAATTCCTCTTGGCAGGGCCAGTCGGGCGGCATGAGTTTCTTCATCGCAGCACCAGAGCCAAACGGCTGTCCGTCCTTCTCGGCGCCGCTTACCCGATGGTTGAGTTCGCTCAGGGTCCCGAGCGCGAGGACAAGGTAGACGCTGCAGACAAAACCAGGGTCATGCGCAGCGGTGCCCTTGTATAGCGCGTCCAAACTCTTCTCAAACGAGCCCCGAGTGAAGACCGGCCTGTGGAAATTGAGCCGAGCGAAGTAAACGTCCAAAATCTTGTTGACCATGCTACGATCTTTGGGCAGCCAGACCGCTTGCCCTTCAGAGTTCACAGTAGAGCTGACGGGGCTAGACGGCAGCGTGGGTGAAGATGCAGTTTGCGAACGATTTGGTACAGAGATCCACTTGGCAGCATCACGAGGTAGGAGAGGTTGCGAAATGTCACGGTCGCGACGAGACGCAAGGCCACTGTCTCCGACTGCAAGATCTTCGGCGTCGGCGGCTGGTGGTGCGAGTTTGAGATCCTCGACAATGGCAGCAGAAACACCGAAATTCCTAGCGAGAGCCTACACGCTGGGAGTTAGTATGCGGAGCGAGACACCATTGATGAGGGTACATACATGGCTGGTAGATAAATCGTGAGGCAAAGGCCCCGTGCCGCGCATCTCCTGAGTCGATGGGGGACGCATGGTTTGAGTCTGTTGATGAGGGGGCTGCATAGGAGGGGCGAAATGAGCAGGAGGATGCATATGGGGATGGGGATTGAATCCTGGAGGACCTTGCATGGGCGGCATGTGATGAGGAGAATAGGGAGCGTAGGCCGGCATGGGCATCCCCGGGTACCCAGGCGGAGGGGGCAACAGGTGAGGGGGCGGCGGGTAGGCATATCCTCGCGGTGGCGACCCTTCTCCGTTGTGTGGCGGGCCTTCAGAGCGTAGAGGATAACCCCTCCCGTTCGGACCAGGCGCGCCATTCTGCGCAAATGGATATCCAGGGTTCTCTTGGTCGAGGGATTGGATATCTATCCCTGCTCTGGCGGCTATGTCTTCAACGCTGTTGAGGTCAAAATCAGGAATGTGTCGCTTGAGGAGTTGGACACATAGCATGAGTTGGTGCTCGATATGCTCGGTATGCCCACGGGCAACGAGGGTTTGGCGGTGTCGGTCTTCCTGATGGCATTGTACTCCTGCAGAGGCGCATGCTGTGCAGCGAGGATGTTTTGAATCGCACTATATACGACAAGGGGAGACGCGAGATGAGTTAGACGGAGTGAGATAGGCGAGGCAACGGGAATTTGCCGTCGGTGTCGCCCGACGGGACTTGCCTTAATTTTCTTGCTCCTGCACCGCGCACATGCTTCATGCGACCTTCTCAGTCGTCTGGGCTCCGCCGGTGTCGCGGGCTCGCCGCTCTCTGGATCCACCTTCTTTCGCTTTCGGGGAACGTTGACGAGTGGCGGGGGTTGCTGGCCCTGGAAGTGCTGCGGCGGTGGTGGGGGCGGGGGCTGATTGGGGTCCATGGGGATGCCAGCCTGAAGGCCATGCTGAGCGAGGTTAGTGGGATCGCCGTGCGGCGGGAGGTACTGAGCCATAGCCTGAGGACGATGGAGCACAACGAGGAGGGCACAGGTTCGTCGCTGTTATCGAACGGCAGGGACGCCCAGCACACCCTATGTCGACGTACTAAGCGCGGACCCCGAAACCCTGGAAGTTCGACCTCAGACACCTTTTACCGCCCTCTCTTAGGCTCTCTACCCTTCATCTCACTGATGTTGACCGCGCCCGGTGCGTCGTGCTCCGGATATGGCAGCTTGTTGTCGCCGAATTCATCCCTGTGACCCATTAATTTCCGCCTTTAATGTCTCCAGAGGCGTCCGCCACTTGCAAGTTCCGCCATGTCCGTGGCCGCCTATTCAACATCCACTTATCGACACTTTCGCACCAGGGCGCACAGGGCGGGCTTCCCAACAGAGTCTCAATCAGAGGATCAAGATGCAATGTCAGCACCAATGGCCGCGAGGGACAGCGATTCGACCTTTCCGGAAGTAATAAAGACCTCGGACCGTCCAGACCGACTACACGTTGCATTCGGATACATATCGTGCCGCGATTTGATAGAATTTACATATTGAAGCGCAGCAGGGAAATCGCGCATGCCCATGTCTCATAGTGTATGATGGAAAATCTACTCCTCTGCCTCGTCGCCACTGCTCCCCTCGTCGTCGCTCTCAACACCAATAGCTCCACCTGCGGCCTTTTCCTTGACCGTCCGACCAGCTTCCGCGAGTTTGCTGCCGAACACCTTGCGTGCGTCGGCATTCGCGGCAACGTCCCACACTTGCAGCTTCGCTTTGGAACCCGCAGCTGCGAGTGTTAGAGGATCGTCCGGTGACCAAACGACGGAGAACACCTTGCCCTGTAGAGATTGTGAGCTTATATATCATCGAGCAGAATGACACAGCACATACCACACCGAGATCTCTTGAAGTAACCAGGCTGACTTGACGCTTGTTCAAGTCTGCGTCCTCCGTGATATTCCAGATCTTGACCACCCTGTCCTTACCGCCGGTGGCGATGCAGCCGCGAATGTGCGGGTTGACATCGAGCGAGGAAACCTCGCCATCGTGCGCCTGCAGCGTGAACCGTGCCGGTGACGGTTGGCGAAGGTTCAATGGCAGTGTCCGTGCATCGAAGTTCAAGACAATGCCATTCTCTAGCGAGACCTATGAACGGGTCAGGGGAAATAATCAAGCTTCAAAGCTGAGTGAGACTGACGTAGAACGAATGCGACTCCCATGGGTCCCATCGCAAGGCCTCGACATCGGCCCCAAGCATAGCACCAACGCCGGCATCGGGTGCTCGGGAGTCAAACACTCGTACCGTGCGATCGTAGCTACCGGTGAGTAGCACCGTCGGCTCCTTGTCGTTCCACTGGACACACTGAACCTTGTCTTTGTGTGTTGAGAAGCTCCGCAAAGCACCCTGCCCTTCCTCGCCCTCGTCACTGATCGTTGGATCTCGGCTGAGATCCCACAACTTGACCGTCTGATCTGCGGAGGCACTAGCAAGGAGGTTTCGGTGGGTCTTGTTCCATGACAACGACATAACAGCATCGACGTGGTAGGCGGAGGAAGTGGCGCGAGCTTTATTCTTCCTACGCTTCTTCTTGCCAGTACCGATAGGTACAGGGACGTGCGCAGCGGTCTTGTCTGGACGACCGAGCACCATATCCGGGTACATGGCCTCGATAGTATCCAGTGACCAGATTTCAATCTCGGGTTCCATTGTACCCACGGCGATGTAGTTGCCGAATTGTTTCGCTGGTCTATCGGCCGTCACTTGTGCTGATGGTGACGTGACAGGGGGGAAGTCAAGCCATTCGAGGCACAGCGGGAACGAGGGAAGCATGAAGTCGTGATGTACATAGAGATTTTCTTCGGACTCGTCATAGACATAGACTTCTAGCTGCGAAATCTCGTCCTCAGTCTTGGCAGTCACGAGTAGGTTGTCGGTGTGCAGAATCTCAAGCTCCTTTCGCTCTTCCTCTTCGTCATCCTGAATAGAAGCTAAGTCTCCAATGATCTCCAACATCCCTTGAACTATGAACATACCTCCTTCAACGTGATATACGGATCCTCATCATTGTTGCGATAGTACGTAAGGCCTTTGACACTGCTGAATGGTCCCATAGCTTCATGCGAGCATTAGACGCAAGATGCATGCGTAGGTGAATAACGTACCTGGTGTGGCGCCGTCCTCATCGTAATTTTCGAGGTCATACTGCTTCAGCTCGTCCGCCTCGGTCTTTGGCACTGAACCATCGCCCATATCGATGTCTTCGTTCATGACATCTTCATCTTCACTTGAACCTCCATTTCTCAGTATGGCCTTCGCAAGAAAAGGCGATCAATACTCACTCTACCCAGGCATTTGCGTTATCATCTTCTCCGGCATCATCATCAGCTTCCTCCCCCTCAGCACCCTTGCCCATTGTTGCAGCAGCTTTGTGAGCTCGTTCAAGCTCCTTCTTAGCATCCTCGAGCTCCATGCGAGCAAGTGCGCTAACTCGCTCCAACTCCTTGTCATCTAGGACATATTTTTCTGGATGCTGGGCAGAAACACCTCTTTTGACCCTATGTGAGAGTCAGAGTCTTGGAAGCTATTAACATCATGCACCACATACCATGATACACAGGAGATTAAGCTAGTCATCCGGGAGCCTACAGGATGCTGGGAAAGCGAGAAAAGAATGTTTCCCAAGCAAAATCTTTTGGCAAGCGCCCTCTCCTTTGTAGATTAGATTAGGATCCCACCTGGCGATGGTTGCTCAATATTCAATCTCTAGGCTCCCAGCAACTTATTGCAATTTTATTTCGTCCCTACACCTGCTGCTGTTGGTATTCTCCATTTAACTTCCTACCCACAATTCGCAAAGACAGCACGCGACGGGAGGCGCAATTCCGCGTCTCAATATGCACGTGATTGACTCGGCCACCATTCCGGAACTGCGACTCGAGTCGTTCCAAAGTTTACCGCATCCTCTTCTCTTCCTCTCAGCTTCCTCTCTTTCTCGACATCGTCCAGAGAATGCCAACTGCAACGGCCACCATAACCTCTGAAGCACTTTCCGACGATACAACATCCATCCTGTCGTTGAAAGCATCAAAGCCGGTCGTAGCAGAGAGTTCCACTGCTGCGACACTACGCTCGCTCTATCCCCGAGCCGCCAAAGCGTTCCTCCAGCGAGATTTCGCCTTGACGCACTCGTTGGTGACCTCCGCCTTCGCCCTCGTTGGGCCTCCCACATTGGCTGTCGAGGACGACCTGGAATTATCTAGGCGGAAGTGGGACATCCTCCGCATAACTCTAGAGATCACCGTTTATACATCCCCGTTCCCGTCAGATGATGCCAATGCATTTCCAGCTGTCTTTCGTGCCAACCAAACCATGTCCCCCCCATCTCTCTTGAACTCACTTTACACACGCTCTGTCCAGCTATTCACACCCACAACACAGGCCGGGAACCCAGCGTATCTACCGTACCAGATTCTCTATACTCTCGGGTCAGCAGGCGTCAAGCTTGGATGCAGTGAGATGAGTAGAGGTATGATCGAGGACTGGCTAGCGCGAAGGGACTCGGATGACAGCGAGCAGGGGCACAAGGGTTATGCAAAAGTAATCGAACTCTACTGTGTGCATGTCCTGCCGCGCGTGAACGAGTGGCGTTATGCGGAAGACTTCCTGTCGTGCGAACCGGAGCTAGACAGCGAGACTCGTAACGTGAGTCTATCGTTCTACGCGGCCGGCTGGACATTGATGGTTTTATATATAGAATATGATTGTAGCTGTCCGCGAATCGCAACAGCGCACTTTGGAGACACGAAGCCTTGTGGAAGCGTCATCACAAGCATCCAGAAGTGCTGAGTCTTCTTCCTCGTCCGCAGCTTCGTCCCGGGCACTCTCACCGGCTCCGTCAACATCATCGGAGTCTAGTACTTCCACACATACGGCCACTCCGAGGACACCGCATCCCGAGCAGAAAAAGGGAAAGGGGAGAGGCAAGGTCGGGAACGGTACTCTCAATGGCCTCACGTACCTCACACCTTCCGCGTCCTCTTCGTCAACGGAGTCTATTGCCACTGCGAAGACTGTGATCCCTGACACCATCAATAAAAGGCTTGTGAATGGACGGCGAGACGCGTCAAGAGGCCGTGCGGATACCTCAAAGCCAGCCAGCCAGTCCCACTCGAACGCTGTCAGTTCCATGTCACAACCGTCGCGCTCATCTCTCACCCCTCCTGCCATTCGACCACCAACTACGTTAGCTGTCGTGCGGACCTACCTTCAAAGCGTGCTGGGAAATACCTCCAGGACCAAGATCGCTGCACTGTTTCTCGTTTTTGTCTTGTTCCCCTTGCTGTCATTTTTCCTTCGTATGCGGCGACGTCGGATGATCACTGGCGGCAGCGGAGCAGCGGACCAAGTACGGAGGAGACTGAGAAGGATAGAAGGCGGCGCAACCGCTACAACCGGATTTGTCACCAATCTCTGGGGCGAAATGGTCAGAGCTATAGGAGATACGATCAGAATGGGTGGTGGCGGTCTGGCGTAAAAACCAGCACAGTTGCTGGTATATCTACCCTCATGTCAATCGCCTCGCTTGCTTATACCAATAAAATTAATAGTACCCCTCCTAGTGCAACAATTGTACGAACGACAACGTGAGGCTTTGGCCGGTTGACCTGAGGCCCTTCTGAGCTGTCATGTCCGACGCACGGGCGGGCAGTCCACACAATAAGCGAGAAAAAACAACGTGCACAGACAGCAGCGTGCTACAGAATGGTAATCGTCCATAAGCAGAGGGACAACTATGCAGATCATGCGGCACAAGCGTATGCGGGCTGAGAATGATCCGGCTGGGCTGCAGGAGTGAGCAGAAGATGTAGTGAGGAGGAGTTCGCGCTATAGTAGTCGAGGGAACTCCCGAGTTATATAACATCGCATTGACATCCGGACCGTTCACTCCGTCTTATCCGGTAGCTGAAGTACGAATAACGAGACATAGCTCGCCGCAATTGAAGAAAGCGCAGATGGTGTTGGAGCGAACATTGCTGGTCAGCACAACGTCCTTTTTTCTTCTGGAACAGAGAATCTGACCATGTTGAGTCAGCGCGAGGAATTGATCTCATCAACACCACAAGGCCGACGTGAGCTGCCAGCGATCAATTTCTCAGATACCCGAAGTCACACCCTCCTGCCGGATGACTATGAAGGACGAATGCGATGTTCATTAATCTGGAAGAGAATAGTATGTAAATTTGAATAGGAATACCATTATGGAAGTTCGGAATGAGAAGGATGGAACCATTCGGAGCGTAACATTGACAATGCCGCAGGATGCCAATCGACCAGGTCGTCTGTAAGACCATGCGAGACTGGATAGTCATATGCGGGCCTGCGATCGGGACTTAACTAGACGTGTTGTTGTAGTGCGGCGGTTCATGAGGCTCGAACCAGAAGCATCAAACGACATGTTTTCTCCGACTTGAGCCTTCCGTGTCGTAGTCAAGCGCAGGACTGCGTCTAATAAACACACGTCGTCAGCCTGAGTGCTAATCGAAGTAAACAGCAACTGTATTTCCTCACTCTTCAAGCTCGAGAGCGACTTACTACGTTGCCAGCCCTTGGTGTGAGAGCTATTCTTGCTTGCCTGCGTAACGACGTGCTCGTCCCCAGACGGCAATGCCACAGTCACCACGGGATGATGATTTACTCTCTTTTCGTGAGAGTTATGATTCGACTCTAGGCGTGTAGCATTTTTAGTCGCTAACGAGAGGCAATCAGCTACGGCATAGCAGAATTAGACGAGACACTAGATACTTGGCGAGTGAAACTTGACTAGCTTGGCTCGTAGTGCTCGATCTTCCTCGGGTTGAGACTCGTATGCCGGCGGAGGACATTCTTTAGCTATTCTTTGAGCCCGTTTGGGGGATTTATGTAACACAGAGCGAGTTGCTGGAGCCGCTGACGGGTACATGGGGGAGGACTGAGTGTTTTGGTAGGGCGACGGTGGTCGTGGGAATGTAGTCGCACGGATGTCATCGTCTCCGAAGAACTCTCCGGGAGGACTTAAACAACCAGTTTTGTGCGTGTACGCAGGATACTGTGAAGTGGACAAAACAGGCTCCACCCGCTCAGCGTACTGCTGTCGATCTGTTCAGTAGCATCGTTTCGTTCAATGCCGTACTGGAGCTAGAGGGGTGCACAGACGTACGCGACTCGTTGTACGACCTCGCAAGTACTTTTAGCTTTTCCAAAACCTGTACCGCAAAGGGCCTGGCTCTGGCCTCCTTGTCCCAGCAGCGTGTAACGAGTGCCCACATGGTATCATCAAGCCCTAGCCCGGCGATCCGGGGATCAATAGGTCGCAGAGGGCGCGTATTGTAGCTGCAGACGTTGTGCTGTACATCTGAATCGGCCACACCGGAGAAGGGCGGGCTGCTGGTGAAAATCTTGAAAGAGAGAAAGTACCAACCACCGTAAAAATATTGATCAAACAGTTAACGTGATCCCTACCTCGTAGATCGTCATTGCAAAGCTGTATACATCGCCTGGCTTGTCTGGCGAAGCGCCCTGGATTTGCTCAGGAGACATCCAACGCAATGCTCCTTGTAGGACTGGGCCACTCGTGTTATGCACGCCATAAATAACCGAGTGGGTCTTGGTCTTGGATAAGCCGAAGTCTGCCAAGCAAGCAGTACCAGCTTTATCAATCAAAATATTGCTCTACCACTTTGATATTAGCGTACGTAATAAACCCACGGCGATAGGCCCGTACCCCTTTGAGATCGCTATGAACGATGTCATGGCTATGTAAGTGGACTAATCCCAAACATGCTTCGTAGAGCTGTTAGGAGAAAGCTGTTTAACATTGAGGATGATTCAATTACGTGATGCGACGTACGAGCTTGCGACGGTCAGCTTCGGGCTTTCTCCGCAAGTACTCGTTGATATTACCATTCTCCTTGTATTCACAAATCATGAACGGTGGGTCGGCAAACGAACAACACCCATAGAATGGCAAAATGTGCGGGTGTCGCAACTTCATCCAAATCTTGACCTCAGCATCCATCATCTGCCGAAGAACACGAGGTCAAAACAAGATACTCTTGCACTTGCGAGAGAGTGTACCCTGTGTGGCGTGCCTTTCCTGAGAACCTTGACTGCCACGGTCGCACCATGGTAGGTACCAAGGTATACAGACGCATACCCTCCAGAGCCGATCCTTTTGTCCGGAAACCAGACGCACTCTAGCGAGGTGATGACGTACTGGTCAGGGAGCGTAGGGATGTTTCGAGAGCGCCTCTCTGTCTCTTGCATGGCACGTTCGAGGAGTTGTCGCTCTGATGACTCGGGAATGTTGGGCAGCTTCTACAAGAAGGCTATTATCTCGGGGGCCAGTCGAGGATTGATGCAGACAGACCTTGCGTAACGCTACCTTCGCCTCTTCGATGTTGTTTGGCTTAACCCCCAGGCGCTACAATGACAGAGACGTCAATCTCTGACTTGTGTTCCTCGCAAGCACAGTGAACATACGTCCAGGATGTCCCTACTCTGCATAATCTTCTCGCAGTCTATCTGAATGCTCCTGGTGTCTCGTCGCTTGGCCTCCTCTCTCTGTTGGTTCATCATGCTTAGAAGATCAACAGTACACGCCAACTGCATTGATCTCAGTTAGTCCTCGGACGAACACTGTACAATGGGGAAGACATACACCAAAGTCCCGCATAATTCGATTCATTTCTTCATATAAGCCTTCGATCTGACGTGAGACGCTGTTGTGCATTAGAAAGCGATAAACCTTAGATCTCTTGGACAGGGTATCTACGGTCTTCTGCAGCTCAGTGACCTTGCTACGGGGATATTAGTAGCTATGACCGAGACTCGGCGAATGAGTGACTGACTTGATGAACTTGGAGATCCTCAGCATGGCGTCGTCCGGAAGCGACCTGCCTCCCCCGATTTTCCGCTCCGCCTCCTCAAGGAAATTTATCATGTCTTCTGCATGTCGGGTGAAAGCTTTGACTTCTTCCCGATTGATCTTGTAGCTGCTTGAACAGCTCCAGATGCAATAAATTACTTGGCTCAGGGCCCCGAGAGTTGTAGCGATAGCATTGATGGGGTCCATCTTTCTGGATGAACTGCGTTTCTCACCAGAAGGATTTGACCACTTATATACTGCAGCGCTGAGGCGTGGCTGTTTACAAGCCTATTGTCCTAACCCGCGAACAACAGCCTGCTATCGCGTTTCGCAGGACGGGCCTATTATAACGAGCGTCAGTCAAGAACCCGTCCATAGGATGCCACAATCGGACGGCGACGTACTCACGACCATATCTCGAAGGCTGCTGGGCGGCTCGTACGAATGCTGCCGAACTCTTCTGCAGGGAATACGGCACATTGCTAAGCTGTATCAAGGTGGTAGGATCGTTAACTACGGATTCGATGTCGGATGCGCATGAGGTAATTCGTCGGATTTACGTAGGGCGCATCCACCAGCTAACATCCAAGAACGTAGAATCTGTTCGCCAGGCATCGTGCAGAAACACCTATCCGTGTCGTGAAGCTGGATGTCCAACTAGCGCGTACTTGATGGCAAGCGCACATGTATGGCTTCGCAAGATGTACTCCTTTGAATGAGGTTATTCCAGCCGCAGTGGCACGGCGCAAAGCGCGCACAGGGTCACCCAGAACGGATGATCATAAAACCTTTAAACATATTCCTCGAGGCAGGGGCGAAGCAGGACCTTGAGGCCGAGTCATGGTCCAGGGTGCCAGCAAGCCCTGTTTTGATTCGAAAGCAGTGGTATCGTACAAGACTTCACTGAGACGAAAAGAAGTAGGTCATTCCAGGTATAGGGACCTCCTTTCTGTGTCTGATTTACACGGAAAACGTCAATTCAATGTCTGAGTACACTAATGGAGAATACTCACAGTTCTTTTACTGTTGGTGTCGAAGGAGCGAAGAGAGTTCATTAGGGTAACAGAAGCTTGCACGATACCAATAATGCTCACCACGGATGACAAAGTTGGCAAGTACGGCACAGAAAAGCAGAGCGCTGATAATAATCGGTCCAATAATCTGGTCTACGCGTCGCTCTAGCGGGGAGGCAGATCCATCTGTCAGAATACGCACCGAAGTGACCGGGATCCCTCTTGCGAATCATGGTAATCCGGCGTTGGTAGACAACATATCCATAAATCTATGAAGCAAATGTTGATAATGACACGACTGACATCAGGATGTGACTGCACTCACAAGAACACCAACACTAATAGCAGCATATGTGTACGCAAAGTTCCGTGCAATCTGATCCTTGGAGGCATTAAAGAGTGCCAGAGACAGTGTACCGATTAACACGGCAATGTTCAGGTATGAGACCCATGCTGCAAAAGCGAGATAAGAAATATTCAGCCCCCAAATAGAATAGTACCACACACTTCGTTCATTCGCAAACCAGACCTTGCCTTCGACCTTAATGGGCGTGGCAATCTTCTTGGGGACTCTGACCTGGGATGGGACAGTGTTGATGGAATGATAGTCGCGGACACTGGGCATCTGGCCCTGCTCATCCCGCCCAACCTCTGGAACATTGTCTGCACGGGTGTAGCGAGGTCTGCGCCTGAATGTCTTCTTGGGCAGGGAGGCGAGGGCAGAGGGAGAGAATGGTGAAAGGACCTCGGACATGGCATGCCAGGATCGCCGTATGAGAGAGTTGTCGCGCTCGTGGGTGGGGGTTAGCTCACGAGGCTGCAGAGGGGCGGTTTCGCCATCGCTGGTCATGGTGGAGGACGACGAGGACGACGGCGAGAAAAGCAGGGCACCTTGCAAGGGTGCTGACGGCACGTCTAGCATGTGTGCAGACTCTGTCCCAGACTGCTTCCTCAAAAGGAAATGTTCTGTAACAGAAATGAACGACGTCAGAGATTGGCGGAGCGGGTTATTCTGGTAGGTTCTGGTGTGTACTACGGCCCCCGATGTACTTGAAGGTCTTTCGAGCTGGCGCGGTCCCGCCCGCTGCAGGAATACTTAACGACCCAGCCCCTTTCTACCTCCATCTTCCAGACTGTCACCAACAATTTCAGGCTATTTTCTTCGTTTCTTTTTGTTCCCTCTATAATCTACTCTTCCTATGGGCACCGACTACTACAAGCTCCTTGGCGTCGATCGGAACGCCAGTGAAGATGACATTAAAAAGGCTTACAAGAAGATGGTGAGCATCCCTGAGCCTATATCCCTCTCTGGCACTGTTGACACTGACTGCGCCTACTTTCAGGCATTGAAATGGCATCCCGATCGCAATGCTGGATCAGAAGAAGCCTCGAGGAAATTTAAGGAGGTAAGCTCTCGGTATCGTCTGCAGACGCTGGACTCGCGACGCTGATGTGCCTCTGCAATCCAGATTTCGGAAGCTTTCGAAGTCCTCAGCGACAAGAACAAGAGAGCTGTCTACGACCAATTCGGCGAGGAGGGTCTCAAGGGCGGAGGACCCGCGCCAGGCGCTTCGGGACCAGGAGGCTTCCCTGGTTTCAGCGGTTTCGGCGGCTCTGGAGGCACGCCGTTCACCTTCACTCCCGGCTCTGGAGGCTTTGGTGGCGGCAGAGGCGGATTCAGTCCGACTGACCCGAACAAGATCTTCGAGTGAGTACTCTTTCCCGGTAGCTGGGCTGCACACGCTTTGAATACTGACGCCCTGCTTAGGTCGATATTTGGCATGGGCGGCATGGGTAGCATGGGCGGCATGGGTAGCATGGGCGGCATGGGTGGCATGGGCGGCATGGGCGGTATGGGCGGTTTCCCCCCAGGCATGCGGTCGACGATGTTCTCACATGGCGATCACGACGATGATATGAACGGGTTCTTCGCAAACTCAAGTGGAATACCGGGAGGAATGCCCAATGGGTCTGCGCGTGGCCGGCGGCCAGCGTCCCCCGCACCGGCCGCGGGTCCCTCAGAGATAACACGACCGCTCAAGGTGTCCCTGGAGGACCTGTATAATGGCGCAACAAAGCGCCTCAAGGTCGGGCGCAGACTACTCAATGGCTCGACTGAAGACAAGGTCCTCGAGATCCAGGTGTACCCCGGCTGGAAGAGCGGCACGAAGATCCGATTTCCTAAGGCTGGGAATGAGCAATCGACCGGCGAGGCACAAGACCTCGTGTTTGTCGTCGAGGAGAAGCCACACGACCATTTCAAGCGCGAGGGCAACGACCTCGTTTCACACGTCCAGGTACCATTAGTCGACGCGCTTACAGGTGGCGGTGGTAAGAAGGTTGTCGAGCACCTTGATGGACGAAAGCTGCAAGTCCCCATTCCGAGCGGCATTGTCAAGCCAGGCATGACAACAACAGTCTCCGGCGAGGGCATGCCAATTCGGAAAGAAGGCAGCGCGAAGAAAAAGGGTGACCTGCTCGTCAAGTGGGACGTTGTATTCCCTAACAGCCTAACACCCGCTCAGAAGGAAGGCATCCGGAAAGTTCTTGGTTGAAAGAGGAAACTATTGGACCGCTAGCTGTATTATTTTGGACGCTTTGCATCGCATGTCACACCGTAATATTTGCATATAATATACCACTAGTGTAGGAATGATACCCAAGCATCGGTATGCGCGGTGTGAGAGCTAAGTTGTTACTGTGCAGTGGGTGTCAGTAATAGTGAGCCTCCAGATCGCTCAGCTTGAAGTCGTTTCACGTCAGATCCGTTTGGGACCTTAAAGGGAGCCGAGCATAGATCGGAGTTGTCATGCTTGCTCTTCACCGAGAGACAATGGGTCGTGGATGAATTGTTGCTGCATCATCTGCATACACGTATCGATACACTGCGCTTCGACTACGCTTGACACGATAAAACGGGCAGATACAGTATAGCTGGCAGTAGTACGTAAGAGCTGCTATAATCTGACCGCTCAGGACTTGAGAGCCTTCTTCATTTGCTGCAGAAGGGATGCGAAATGAATACCACGAGCGCAATATCGACGAGCGACTCAACTTACCTCCTCCATTGCGTCCAAGTCGTTTGTCTCAATCCGTATTATCTGCTTCCCAGTCGCCTTCTCGATCTCCTCCATCTGCTGCCACGTCCGCTTGTCATGGACGAAGTTAATCGAGATACCCTTGCGTCCGAAACGACCCGTGCGACCTAACAATTTCTGCTTCAGATCATGTTTACACTGAAAACTTTTTCAGACATACCAATACGATGTATGTAGGTCTCGATGTCTGGTCGTAAGTCGTCCTTGTTCTTCCAGCCGCCTTGTTCGCCAAGAAGAGGGAGGTCGTAATTCACGACCAAGTTGACCTGCAGGATGTCGATTCCACGCGCGATGACGTTCGTGGTGATGAGGACCTTTTCTCGCCCTTCACGAAAGCTATCGATGACCGCGTCACGCTCGGAAGCGTCCTTGGCACCATGTAGAGAGGCAACTTTGTGACCCTCCATCGTCATACGTTGTGAGATCCGGTCTGCGGTGTGTCGATGCTACGGAAGTGTAAGCGGCGTGTCAAAGGCCAGTCAGAGAATACAAGGCAGACCTGACAGAAAATAATACTCTGACCGACGGTAAGGAGGTTGTACAACGAGACCAGAACTTCATATTTATGCTCCTCGTCTCTGCAGTCCATGTAGAACTGCCGGATATTGTCGACGGTCACCTCAGTCTTCTGCAGCTCGATCTTGTTTGCATTGGGTGCAAACTTGTTCGCGAAGTTGCGGACATTGTCTGGGAACGTGGCAGAGAAGAGGACAATTTGCACTTGGCTGCGAGGAAGCATGCTGAAGGGCGCGATGTGCAGTTAAATCTCAGCGCGGAACAGAGTGTAGCATTACGCACTTCTTCACCCTCAATGTCTGGTCCCCGAGTCCATCTTGGTTCAGCATCTCGTCAGCCTCATCTAGGACAAAGATCTTGACGGCCGAGGTATCAATTACTTTGCGGCGAATGAGGTCGGTCATAGTACCAGGTGTGCCGACGATAACTTGCGCAGTCACCTTGGAGGCGTTGCGTGGCAGATGGTCCTTGATCGCGTATTCGGTCTGCACAGGAGTAAACTTGCCCATCGCCACCACGACCGACATGATTTGGCGGGCGAGTTCACGAGAGGGGGCAAGACAGAGAGCCTACGGGGTCGCACTCAATGTATCTTTCGTTTCAAAGCGGACCTTCTCAATCGACAACAAGCGCACCTGTGGCTGATTCCTAGAGAAGTCTATCCGGCTGAGCATCGTTAGGACGAAAGCTGCCGTCTTTCCCGTTCCTGATTGGGATTGACCAATCATGTTCTGCGGACTGCGACAATTGGTGAACGGACCAGCTAAATGAAAGAGGAGTGCTGCACTTACGGATTGGAAAGGAGAAGAGGAAGGGCACGCTCTTGGATCTTGGACGGCTTCGTGAAGCCCATGTCATAAATTCCCTTCAAGAGATCTTGATGGCTATTGGTCTCAAGACATGAGTGCCCGGTATGCAGACAATCCAGGACTTCACTACTGACAGACCAAGTTGTTCGAAAGTCTTAACGCTATACAAGGGCGAGTTCGGGTCTGCTTGCTGGTCTGCCAATGTCACCTGGGGGACTGTCAAGACACATCTCGACAAGGAGAAGTGATGAGCGTACCGACACTTCATAGTCCGACTTGACGAGGTCTGTTGCGCTTTCTTTGGCAGCCTCTACTGTTCCTAAGGAGAGATGGGGACGTGTATGTGGTGTCAAACGACCTGCACCCACCGGTATTCTTGCTTTCGGTGGCTTCAGGCTTGTCCTCGTTCTCGCCAGGAGCTGTGTGGCGCGATTAGATTGGTCGAAAAGATATGCGATGAGACGCACCATTCGCCGCAGGAGTGTAGAAACCTTCAGCATCCTTTTCCATGACTGCTATTTTCGCGTAGGTGGCGGCAGTGTAGTAGCGCAGTCCGAGTCCGATGATCAATGAGCACACTCAGAGCATAAGCGCGAGAATTTAGAGAAGCTGATCTAATCTTATCTTGTTCACCTTCAAATCTTGCCCTCGCGGTCACTCCACTCGGTATCCAGGCCCAGAGTTGAACGTTGAACGTGAGCAGCAACCGTCCGGCCCACGTAAGTCGCTGAAATTTTCAGACATCGTCCCCCACTAGCATCATGCTGACTGTGAGATGTCTTCACAGTTCCCCAGCATTTGCCAATGATGCCAGCCCGTCTCGAAGGCCTCATCCACCGCGTGAAACAAGGCCTTTCCGTGGTGGAACTTGTACACACACCCCACGACCGATGGCCTCTGCCAAAAAATGTCTCCGATCCACGAAGACCCTTGAGAGTATCCATCCTCGACTCGTCCTTCAACCCACCGACGCTTGCTCACCTCGCGCTTGCGAGCGTCCCTTCATCTGTACAGGCTACCCCTGCTGACGTAGCTGGCACACCACAGGACATTGCGGACTTTGATGCAAGGCTCCTTCTGCTATCTGTTCGCAATGCGGACAAATCGCTCAAACCAAACGACGCGACATACATACAGCGCCTAGAGATGATGATCCTGCTCGCCAAAGATGTCTCATCGTCGCAGGCCCAACAATCCCTTGCAGACACCAATTCCGGCTCTGCCACGTCTCTGGGGGCTCCTACAAACTCGAGCATGGCTATAGCTATCATAGACGAGCCGACATTTGCTGGCAAGTCGCGAGTACTACGCGAGTGGCTGCAAAGGCGGCTAGCCTTGGTTGCAACATCACAGACGTTGGGCGAACGGCCAGAAGACAACGCATCTTCGTTCATAGCGAAGCCTGAGCTCACTTTCCTAGTGGGCATCGATACGCTGGAGCGTATCCTGGCTGTCCGATATTACGGGGACAGCGAGGAAAATATGCACCGATCTCTCCAACAGTTTCTATCTACGGAACAGGATAACTCTCGTCTCATTTGCTCGAGGCGGATAACTCCAGGATCGCCTGAAAACCCTGAAGACCGGGAACGACGAGTGTCCGAGCTGTCTCGAGAGTATATCAAGTCAGACCGCGTTGTCATGATAGATATTGGAGAGAAAGTCGAGAGCTACAGCTCAAGCGAGGTAAGGGAGAGGATTGCGCTCTCAGACACAATCTGGACGCACATGGTCTCCATTTCCATAGCTGACTACATACGAAGAGAGCATCTATACTTACCGTCGGATGAATAATACTGGCTCAAATTTTCGAAGCTGCGTAATGGCTCATATCGCTCCAGGTGACAAAGAGATCTATGTTGAGAACGGCAGTAATACAAAGAATATTATAGAGTAACCTTTATGCATGAGAGCGTGCGATATAATGACAACAAACAATGCGGTACGTGAGAGCCAAGCCTACAAGAACCCACCAGAGACGAAACACCCGAAGAGAGACCGAAGGAAGATCACGCAGTGGTAGCTTGAGCGAACGCGATAGCGGTTGTCTCGGAGTGGCTGAGCGAGATGTGCACCTTTGAGATGCCCTTGGCCTCGGCCGCCGCCTTTGCGTCACCATGGAGGACGACAGTCGGGACGCCAGACTCATCGGGAATGATCTCGATATCCTTCAACGGAGCCGCGGCACCTTTGGAGGAGACACCCAAGGCCTTGAAGACAGCTTCCTTGCCGACCCACCGAGCTGCAAATGATGCAGGGGGTGATGGTTGCGACGTGCAATACGCGACCTCCGCCTCCGTGAAATTACGCTCGACGAAGGTCAAGTTCCACGAGGGTACAGCAGAAATCAGCTCTGAAGAGGTATATCAATAACTAGCTTACAGAAATCTTCAGCGATGAAGCTCACCTTGATCAACACCGACGCCACTGGCGGCCTCCTTGGAGAGGATCTCAGTCATCGCAGGAGCATTCGACACATCAAGGTTGGGCGCATTCAAAAGCTTTTTCGTGAAGGCGTAGCTGCCCGTCTTGGAATCATACGTTGCTCGAGCCATGGAATTGAGTAGCACAGGACCCTCAAGCTCCTTGGTGTAAGGCGGGGCATCCTTGATACGGACAAGCGAGTTGGTGATCATCATCTCACTCATGGCCTTGTATGATAGGCGGTAGCGGCGGCGATTCTCGACTCTGTACTTCTCGTACAACGACGGCTCGATGGCACCGAAGAGGAAGCGGGGATGAAGAATCAAGCAAGTTCCACCGACTTGACCGAAGCCGAACGAGGACATCAGGCCGACGCGGATGCCATCGGTGTGGATCGTCTTCGACGGGAACATGAGGTACGTGTGCTGCTTGAAGAGTGAGTCGATGTTGCTGCAAACTAGTTAGTAAATAAGCCGAGTAAGGCAGAACAAGCAAACGCATACTCTGCATTGCGGTTGCCGGGGATAATGCCCGAATAGACACTCTGGAGGAGACCAGCCAGTTGCCAAGCTGCCGAGCCACCCTTGGAGTGTCCGCAGAGACCCTTTTGTGCCATGATTGGAACAGCGTTGCCACGGGTACGATTGAGTGATGTGAAGACGTTGTTCCAGATGTCAGTCTCGTTCTTCTCGTTCGCACCAGTCGAGGTACCATGGATAGAGAGGACTCCGACGTCATCAGCAGTGAGGCCCCAGACGGCGAGTGCGCGGCGAAGAGGAGCAGTACGTTCGTCCTGGCCCTCGAGCATACCATAGACGGCAAGGGCATCCTTCTCTTGACGAGCGGCCTCGCGGTCCATGTCAGCGACGCGAGACGAGAGGTATTCCTCGTCCAGCTCCTGGCCCTGGCTCTTGCGATACTCGACTTCGCCTTGCAGAAGCTCACGCTCGTTCTCGAGCCACTGTGCGATCTGCTTGCGACGGAAGTCGAGCTGGCGGCGGCGGTACTCGAGGTCAAGGATGGGAACTGGGTGCTTAGACGGCACTTCGCGAGCGATGGAAAGCGCACCACGGCCTGGGGCAGGGACGGAGCGACCAGCCTTGTCACTAAACACAATCCCGATTAGCACAAGGAACAGGAAGTCGAAAGGGAACTAATCTTACGACGAAGTCGATGTGAAAGCGACGATACCGCGAACCGGAGCACCAAGCTCAAGCGCAGTTTTGGCGCTCATAAGGACATGAACACCAGTCCCTTGCGACTCCATGAAGCCCGAGCGAGTGGTAGTCGCGGGGCGAGACATCTCGGTTGGCTCGCGGCCCATGGCGAGTTCCGTCTCCGCATTGCTAGTAGCCTTCATGTTAGCGAACTCGTAGGAGCCCTCCTCAGAAAGATCGTCGAAGCCGCCAGCAAGCATGACCTTCGCTTTGCCAGACAACAGGGTGTCACAGGCGATCTCGAGTGATTGTAGAGCGGTGGCACTAGAGAACTAGTGAATAATTTGCTGGAGAGAAAATGTCAAGACGCACCAAGCACCCACGGGGATCTTGATGGGGCCACTGGACGAGAGTAAGAGCAAGTTGACCCAGCCCGCAGTGGTATTGATGAACGTCTCCTGGAGGATATCGTTCTGGACGTCCTTTTCGTCGCGACGGTCCTTAAACATACGAGCCAGGGACTCCATACCACCCATACCACTACCCAAACTCGTTCCAACCTCAGATGGGTGGACGTGCTGATAGAGCTCGTAAGGATCGATGATACCGGACATATTAAGGGCCTCCGCAGCGCAGACGAGAGCCCAGAGGGTAGTACGATCGGTTTGAGCGACGATGTCGGCGGGGATACCATAGCGTCCCGCGTCCCAACCAGTAGGGATTTGTCCAGCCACAAGACGATTAAAGCGGACAGCCTTGGGAACGAAGATTCGAGCGCCCTTCTTGAACTTGACGAACCACTGGTCACCTTCACCGGCCCAGATGTCGCACTTGTCGCCGTGCTCGTGCTTGTACTTGTGCGCCTCAGCCTCAGCAGCCTCGAAGGGCTCAAGGTCGTGGATGAGCTCGATCTCCTGATGGAAGACTTTCTTCTTAGGGTCATAGCCGCGGAAGAGCTCGGGTTCTATCAAGATGATTAGTGACCAGGAACAGTACAAGTGAATGCAACACACCGATCATGCGCGCGCCGGCATGGGCGAGGATATCCTTCTCGTAGCGGGCGCGAACGTCCTTGTCGTCGACGGGCTCACCAGACTTCGCATCCACCCAGCCAACATGGAGGGAGCCGTCCTTGAGACGACCGTCGAAGTGCTTGATGAAGCCCATCATCCAGGCCATTTCGATGCAGCCTTCAATGGTGAACTCGCCGCGTGCCTCCATCTCCCAGCGAGTACGAGAGCTGCCCCACGGACCGACCTCGGCAAAGCCGGTGACCACAATGACCTTGTCAAGATCAATCATGCCGCGGAGACGAGAAACATCTTCGAGCGACTCGAGTGACTCGAGGGTGGGGAACTCGAATTTGAAGTTGGCGCGAGGGGTGACGTTAACGGTCTGAAGAACACGCTCAGCCTTATCGCCTTGGATAGTCTTGAAATCGGCAGCATTATCACGGGTAACAGCGCGGCGCAAGTCGCTCTTCTGCCTGAGGCTCATCCGGATCCTGGTCGTGATTTCGGCGAGGTCAGGCAAGCGGTCCATGCCACCGTTCAAGTCAGCCCAGATGGGTTCGACTTGAGTAATGCTGAACAACAGTGGGTGCATGAGACCAAGAATGTTGAATGCCATCTCCTTCGCGGAGAACGTCCTGACACCGTAGCTCTCGAGCTCGTGTGCGACAGTGTTGGTGGCGTCCATGATACCGGTGCCTCGAGTCCATCTATAACAGATGTTAACGAGCGCGTGATACGGAAGAAGCAGCGTAACTTACCCAATGACTGCACCCGCGAGACAGAGGTATTCGCCCCAGCTCTCCGAGTTCCAACGGTTGAACAGAGTCTCGAGAGAGACCTTAGATTCAGAGTAGAGACCGTCATTGCCGAATAGACCATGGTTGGGGGATAGAGGAAGAATAACTTGAGTCGGGCGAGTGACGAAGTGGCGGCTTGCCTTCTTAATCTTGACCGCTCCAAGGAGACGGAGGAGGTTGACTAACATGATGCGGTGCGCGAGCTCAGACTTGTCGTCGAGACCGTCGATCTCGCGGCCGTTCTCTGGGACGGCAGCGAATGGCAAGACGTAGTCGAGATCCATGCCGAGAGTCGAATAGATGTAGTCGACGAGCGCCTCAACGTCTTGCTTCGAGCCTTGGTTGAAGGGAACAACGGTAAGCGCAGAGCCTTTGCTGCCATAGCGTTGGAAGATGCTCTGGTAGTATTCGACAGTTGCACGACTATAGCGCGACGTGGTGATGACGACGTGAGCGCCACCGGCCAATAGACCCTTAAGGATCTCGATACCGATCGAACCCTTTCCAACCCCAGTCAACAGTGCGTTCTTGTCCTTGAAGGTGGTACCGGAAGTAGCGATCTCGTGGAGGATATCGAGGTAGACACCAGTGAGGTTGCTGCTGTACTCCCAGCTAGTGCCGACCTTGCGCTTAAGATGAAGAAGAGGAATCTTATCGGCAGTGACAGAGGCAATGCCAGACACTTGGGGGCGCAAGAACTGCGAGGAGGAGCGGCGGGCACGGGGAGCACCAGCACGGGGACGAGACTCCGAGCGCTTGTGGAGCGAACGAACAACACCCTCGTACAGCGCTTTGACGCGGTTCTTCTGCTCGTCGCTGATCTCAGGCTGATTCTTGACAACGTTCCAGAGCTTGAGAACGTCATCTTGAATCTTCTGGATGTTGGCTGGAGGCGTGACGGTGTCGCCGCTGGCCATCTCCTCGACGTAAGCCTCCAGCTTGCGAACGTTCTCGCGTACGACCTCCGAGTAGACGATATCGCCCTTGTCGGTGACTTCCGTGTGCGGTGCGGTGGGGAACGTAACTAACAATTCGGTTAGAATATAAGAGCATCGAAACTAATGAATAACATACCATCTTTGTAGAGGGGGGGCTGGCCAACGACCTCACGGCAGTTGTCGATCAGCTGCTGACCGAACTGTTTGGCAAGCTGATAGGTCTCGCCGCGGTTCGGATCGCACCGGTCGATATAGTACTGCATGTAGGTAACAAGCTCGGGGTCGGCACGGTTCATGATCTGGATGCAGCGGGCGGTGATTTCTCGATCGACGGTGGTAAGGCGACCAAAGATAATGTCGTAGAACATAAGCAGCGCATCCTGACGAACCCAGTTCCAGGAGGAGTCGAAGTGACGGGCCTTGAGAGCGTCGAAGACCGGCTGGATGCCGTCAATGTAGGTGTCGCCGTGCTCCCTCGAGATCGCGTCGAGACGGGTTTGGAGCGCGGTCACGTTGGTCTTTTCCGCGTCATACTTGATCTCGCCAGCACGCGAGTCCTGCTTGAGGTAGCGCATGTAAAGCTCAATCTGCTGCCGAGCGAAGGTCTCCTGCTCCGCCTGGAACTTGAGGAACTCCTCGCTGTTGATGACAGCACCTCCACCACCTCCACCACCAGCACCACCAGCGGCACCTGAGGAGAGAGACACACCAGCGCGCTGAGCGTAGACCGCGACAACCGAGTCGAGCCATGCTTTGGCCTCAGCTTCTGCGCCGAGACGCTTGGGCGGCTCCATCGTTGCTCCAAGGAGGAGGACAGCATCCGCGCGCTGAGGGCCAAGACCCCAAGTCTTATTCAGGTAGGACTTGATAGTAGAGACGTTGAAGCCACCAGGCATCTTTCCGCCGACCAACCGAGAGACGAGGCCGGAACTATGTTTGCCGAGTGCGCCCGAGTAGCCAACGCTCAAGGCGGAACCAAGTTCTTCGAGAGGGAGCTCCTCGCCCTTCTCTGGAGCAGAGGAGAACTCAAGCTGCAAATCGCCAAGAATTTCGTTCTGCATGGTGGACTTGCCTCCGACGAGGTCCTTGATCGATTTGCTGAGAGGAATCTCGCCAACCTGCTTCTTGAGTTTCTGAGCGACGATGGCGACAAGGACATCGGTGGACTTGAGAGGAACGTCCTCGATGGCCGCAGCGCCGCCGGCGGGAGGCGCAACTGGAGCAGCAGCCGCAACAGGGGCGGCAGGGACGGCGGCAGCGGACGCAGCAGTGGGCTCGGCCTCGGCCTCACCTTCGGCAGGCGCCTCGGCTTCATCTTCGAACTGGTAGTAGACTTCCTTGGTATTCTTCGCGTGACAAAGGACCAGACGCGTGTGACAGACGGAGTCATCCTGAGTCTCGTACTTGGCCTTGAACGTGCGCGTTGCCATGCCTGTAAGCGTGGGCGACGGGCCGATCTCGATGAAACGCTCAAACTTGTAGTGCTGGAAAAGAAGATCCTGGGTCTCAATCCAGCGGACGGGAGACGCGAACTGATAGGCGAGTAGTTCGACGAGAATGACATATGCGAGCTTCTGACGTTGCTCATACGAGCCCCAGTTCTCCTGGTCCCATTTGCGGAGCACCTTGTCGAGGCGAGGCGAGAGTGTCTGATCGTAGATGAGCTGAGCGTAATCTTTGGTGACATCGAACGGCTTTGCGACAAGGTTCGGCACGTATTTGCCAATAAGACGATCAGGATCGAGGTGTGCAGGGTTGATCTTCTTCGAGAGGTCTAACAACGAAACTTGTGAGCCAGATGTCAAAAACGCGAACGGAAATACTTACATGCGCGGAACGGCAGGACGCCAGCCCAGAGATAGCGGGAGTGGAAGGGGACATCGATACCGGGAAGTGGGATAGTGGCGTGGCCCCGCTCGAGCTTGATATAGCCATCATCTTTCTGCTTCTCTTGGGCCTTCATGAAGCACGAGTCAATGATCTTGGCAAGCATAGCCTTGACCTGGTCGACAGTGAGCTTCTCCGTGAGCTAAGAAAAAAAATGAGCGCATTAATCACAGCGCACACGCAGCGAAACTAACCTTCTGGATATCAACCTTCTCGATCTTGAGGTAGTTGAGCACGTTGCTCAGCGTCTCGAGAGCAACGAGCTCTCCGGCGCAAACATATTGTTGACCCTAGGATACATGCAATCAGTGATACATTGACCTACGGAAAATCGAGAAACTCACCTCAACGTTAGAGTTGACGATCTCCAAGAGGCAGCCAGTACGGTTGGCAATGTTATCAACGACTTCACGGAGCGCAGCGTCGGTGAACGTCTTGGAGATGCGGCTCGGGTTGACAGCACACATCGCGTAGTTGGAGCGGTTGTGGGCGTCACGTTCCACAGCGCGTTGCATGGTGATACCACGGTAGAACACAACATCGGCGAGGGCAGAGATAGGGAGGACATCAGCGATGGAAGCGAGAGCGGAGTACTCTCCGAGGGAGTGACCAGCAAATGCCGAATCGTTCTGGACGAAGCCCTTCGCGCGCATGTCCTCGAAGGCAGCACGCTCGGTGACGACGAGAGCGATCTGTGCGAACTGTGTTGCGAAGAGAAGGCCAGCGGGGTGGCTAAAAGTGTAGCGCTGGGTACGAACGTTGATGTCACCGAAGAGAGGGAGCGTCTTGACATTGCCGTCCTTGTCCATCGTATCGTAAGTCATATCCATGTAGCGTTGGCGAATAGCCTGGCCCTTGATACCACCAAAGTGGATCGTCTTCTCCTTGGGGTTGTCCTTGACAATCTCGATGATCGAGAAGCCGTAGACCGCAGTCAAGTGGGCGTCCGCAGCATCCCAGACGGATCGAGCAGCAGGCGAGTTGTTGTACAGCTCCATACCCATACCCGGCTCCTGCGAACCTTGGCCAGTGAAGACGTATGTCGTAGTCGGCTGGGCGACCTCGGCAGTGCCTTCGAGCACCTTCTCGCCGCGCTGGTTGACGGTCTGGACGTTGACGACGATGTTGCCGTCGCGCATGCCAGTGTGCTTGACAGTAGCCTTCAGCTCGTCTCCGGGGAGAACCATACCGACGAACGTGACGTCGTATCTGCAGAAAAAGGATAATGAGCACATACTCAAGCATGGTATATCGATACTACTTACGCAACAACACGATCAGGTTTGCCTTGAGCGACAACGGTCTCGATGTATCGCCGAGTAGCGGCACTCGACCACATGCCGTGAGTGATGGTGCCAGGAAGCGACGCGTAGTCAGAGAAATACGGGTTCACATGGATCGGGTTGAAGTCGCCGGAGGTCTTGGAGTACGGCTCGTTCGTCGAAGGCGTCGTGAACACTGTTGTGCCTGGAGGCGTGGTCATCGTATAGCCGCCGTCGGGGAGCAGGCAAACTTGACCTTGAGGTTGGCCATGACGCTTCAGATACGCTACGACGGGGTTGCCGCGGCTGTCCTCGTGCTGGAAGTCGATGGAGCCGACTTTGACGAGGCGCTTGATCTGGTCACGAACGAAGATGTCGCCGGAGACGTTGACGGACTTGAAGCAGGTCTTGTTGCGATAGGTGACTTCGGACTTCACACGGAAGACGAGTGTGATACCGGCCTGCAGGGGCTTCGTCTCGTCGCTCCAATCGAACCACTCCTTGGATTTCAATACGCCGACAGCAGCCTCATCCGGAACCTCCACGATGTAGTCGGGCTCTTCGACGAGCTCGAAAGTGTTCTGGAAGTCGTCGAAGCGGCCGCGGTACAAGAAGGAAGACACGACTTCGATGACGGGCTGGTCGTCGCGAGTGACGAAGCCCTTGACCTTGACCGCCTTGCCAGTGTCAGTGTTGGTAACGGAAACGATGCGAGCTTCCGCCTTGCAGACGTCACCGGCCTTGAGAGGACGAGCGCCGTTGATGAGGCGGAAGCCGTTGCTGAGGTGGACAAGCTTCAAGAGATCGCCATCAATCGACTGAGGGAAAATCGCCTTCATGATAGCCTAGAGACACAGTGCATCAGTACTTGATGATTAACGCATTACGATGCACTAACCTGCCAACCAGTGACAATCGCGAAGTCCATGGGGGCCTGAACTTCCTTGGTGCGAACAGTCTTGAACGACTCACTCTGATTGCCGACAATGCCGCAGAACGTTTCGATGTGAGACGCTTCGATGGTGACCTCGGGACCCGTGTACGTCGCGCGGACATCGATGTCAGGCAAGACCTCGTCGTCGCCGAACCAGAGCCTCCAGTAAAACTCCTTGATACGCTTGTTGCGGTTATCCGCAATCTCGTGGATAGGCGCGAAACCCATCGAGGGCTTGTACTCGAACTCGAGGTGGAGAGGGACGGCGACGTCGCGACGGTCTTCGAAGAGAGTAACGTGGATGTGACGTGATGCCGATTCATACTTGACCTCAACGGCCTTGAAGTCGCGCTTGTGCTCACCGTGAGAGCGGGCGGCGCCGTAGAGCGAGATTCCGGTAGGGAGGCCGTTCTCGATGTCGATGACGACGCGCTGGTGCTTGCGCGGTGCGAACAAGCGCCGGAGGGGATTGTCGATATACTGAGTGCCTTGGACGATGATGGGAGCGACGAGGAGAGCTCTCAGCCAGTCACGACGAGGCCCAGCAAGGGTCTCGAGCCACAGAGAGGACTCGGGTAGCGACTCGCTGACCTGATAGACGATCTCTTTCTCCGCGATGGAGCGCTGGACGCCGAGGGCGGAAGCGATATCCTCCGGCAGAGCAACAGGCCTATTACCAAGGAAGTCGACGACGGGCACCTTACTCTCATCGCCACCGTAGAGACGTTCGAGTAGCTTCTGCGCGAGGAGGCTCGTGATGTTGCCGAGCAGGTCCCTGATAGGCTCATCCTTGACGATCGAGTGCTTGACGGCGACGGGGCCTTGCAGAATGCAGACACGCTGAGGGTCTTGGTCGAAGACACCGTCGATGTCCTCCGCAGCCCATAGCGAATCCTGTAGTGAATATCTTAGCACTCGGACTCAATTCCATATATGAAGCCACACACCTTCTTGAACCAGACTTCGAAGCTGGCGTCGAGAATAGGGATGAAGGGCACCGGCTTTTGACCCGGACGCTGCGAGATTGCCAGGAAGTACGCCTTATCTTCGGTAGCGAGGAGCTGCTCGGTCGCAAGAGGGTATGTCCTGAAGAATTCCTCGATGAACGCGTGGGGCTTGTCGAGGATTGAGAATGACTGGATGATTGATGCTTTGGAGCCGTTGTCGACGCCCGCGAAGCGCTCCTCGACGCGCCGGAGCCAGTCACCAGTGAGGTTGCGAAGCGAATTGTCGACCCAGCGCTCCTGATGCGCGACGTACATGAGGCGGACCATCCTGAGGACGACTTCCTCGTAGGTCATGTCGGCGAGGTCTTCGACGACGGAGTCATCCTTCTTCCACCCGAACCAAGGCTTGTTGAAGTTCTTGTTGAGCTTGTCGATAACCTCTGCGCGGTGCTCCACGAGCCAGGCGGCTCGCTTATCCTTCGGCAACTTGAAGACGGTATCGTCGAACTCCTTCCATAGCTTGACCGCGCGGTTGGCGATCTTGTGAATGGGCTCGCCCAGCTCCGAGCGGACGGTGAGGACACCCCCTGTCTCCTTGGCGTAAGTGCCCTCCCACTCGGCGTCGTCGACGCCCTTCGCGGCGACGATGAGGTCCTTCACCGACGAGCTGGTGTGCGCTTCCTTAGCTACCATGACTCGAGACGCGAACAGGAAGCCGTCGAATGGCATCGGCTGAAGATCGAAGCGTTCGACCGACCAGTCACCTGTGAGGTAGGGCCAAACGTCGTCGGCACCACCGAACCCGGAGCCGGCAATGAGGCAGATGTTGCGTTGCTGACGGATGGAGTTGTAGGTAGAGATGATCGGCTGATGGAAGTCCTCGCACGAGTGGTGACCACCGGCACGTCCGCCGGTCCATTGAAGGATGATGGGGAAGTCGGGGTTGGCAGCGGCAATGTTCACGACCTGGCGGATACCCTCAACGGAACCGGGCTTGAAAGAAACGTGCTTGATGCCGGCGTTCTTCAAACCCTCGATGATCTCGGCGGCCTTGTCGGTACTGGGAATACCGGCGGCAACACAGAAGCCCTCGATTGGGAGACCCTCGCGGCGCATCTCCTGCCAAAGAGGGAGCTGGAAGCCGAACTGGCGCGGGTTGATGTAGAGAGAGTTCAGGGTGAGACCGACGCCAGAGGGGATCTGGGCCTGGATCTCGGCAACTTTCGCGCGGAGGGCGGCGGCATTGTAGTGACCACCACCCGCCAGCTCGACGTGGTATCCAGCGTTGAGGATAGCGGAGACGAAGCCGGCCCTGACGGTAGACGGTGTCATACCCGCGACCATGATTGGTGGCTTACCGAGGAGACGAGAGAATGGTGTGTCGATGTGGAGTGTACCGTCGCTGTCACCGGAGTCAGTATCGTCCTGGAAAACGAGCATGCCTCAACAAACCTAGTCTTAACCAAACTGGGCATATATTTCTTGCTCCACCAATCCTCGCGACGAATCTGCTTGCCGTCGAACAACTCCGCGATGCCTTTGCCCTTGTCGCCCAGAATCGAAACGCGAATGCCTCGACCATCGAGATTACGAGCAGTCATCCCACCGCAGCCGTTGAGACCCCCGGGGCCGAAGTCAATCGCGTGAGTTGCGGTTTCTGGGAAGGCAGTCGCTTTCATCCAGTGAAGCGGCCTCGTGAAGATTAGATCGCAGAGAGTAGCAGTCAACGAGCCGGTCGCGTTCCTGAGATCGGTGCCTAGAGGCCTCAATGTCAGCATTGGCGCGAAATTATCCAAAGGGACCAGACGCGCACCGTCTTCCGTGTTGTACACAGGAATGCCCAGATCCTGCGGAGTCCACAGCTCCTCACCACCCAAATCCTCCTCAATGAGCTTCTTCGTGGCACCTTCGAGATAGTGGCTGTGATATGGAACATTTACAACTAAGAAACGCATGCCAAACACGGGCTTGCGCTGGGAGAACGGGGTCTTGCTCTGGTCGAGACCACTGGGGGCCTTGATCTTGCGCAGGCTGGTGACGAGACCGTACAGAGCGCGTGGTGGACCGGTGACCACAAAGACCTTCGACGCATTGTGAAGGGAGATCTGAAGCTTCGAGTTCTCGGATAGGTGCGCGTTTGTCTTCTTCACGTGCGCCTCAAGGTCCTTGAGCCGAAGACCCCCGACAGTCAACATAGGGGTCGGGGGGCCTTCACCACCTTCGATGGCGTCTTTGACAATGCTCGGCTCTAGAGCAAGGATGGGGAAAAACTCTTGCCCACGGAGGCTCGAGAAGAAGGACCACTTGAGCATCTTCTTGGAGTTCTCAAAGAAGGATTCGAAAGACACCGAAGCTGAGATGGCAATAGCAGACCCGAGGCCTTGCGAGTGTCCGGTCGTTCCAGCGAGGAGTGAGCGGAGCTCTCCAGGAGTGAGGTTCGCGACTCGGCAAACAATGAGATACTGTACGAGCTGGGTCAGCGCGATGAGTGGATACGAGATCGGAATCGATGCGAGGTAGGGTATTGAGGGGCGCGGGCTCTCGCCAGAGAGCCACGAGAGGACGTCCAAGCCATATTCATAGTAGTTGGTGGATTCCCACCTGGTGGCAAGCGGTACCAGAATGCTGCTAACCATAGCAGCCACGAAGGGAGCAACGTAAGGCGTGTAGATATCGTAGAGTCCTTGAAGCTCGTCCATGTAGACCTCGTTCGTACCCTGGCCTCCAAACAGGGCGTAGATGCCCGCTTCGCCCTTCTCGGCGGCCTGCAGAAGAGCTGAGGCAGGCGCCCGAGGAGCGGAGATTTGCTTGTCTTCCAGAGTAGCAAGTGCGTAATAGTAAGCGGAGAGGACCGTCTTGCGAACATCTGAGTCGAAAGAGGCTGAAACATTGTGGATGTCTTGTTCGGAAAGGTAGGTGGATGTGAAGTGCTTCAGCGCGCCGAGGAGGAGCGCGGTGCGCGCAGCGGAAGATTGGGGCTCGTCATCGAGCTTTTCGGCGATGAATCTAAGGAAGAGGGCGAACAGCTCTACGCTCGCCTCGGCTACGTCGTCGATCTCCGCGGTCGTGTCTATGGTGTCTTGTGCGCTACGTTTTGCAGCAAATTGGTCACGGAGAACCTCTGCAACGATCCATTCGTCGCCTTGTGAAGGAACAGGGATGGAAATCTGTGAGGAAGGGTCAATATTCCATCTAAGCGTCAAGACAGCTGAGGGAGAGTTGGAGAAAGCGAAAACGAAAACGCTGGCGCGCACGATGTGCTACTGCACGCGTTCTCTCCGACAAAATGCCCGTCCTACATGGAGGCTCCTTCATGCGCGTCCGAAAACACTAGCTCGTTGCTCTCTCACGTCTCATTTGAAGAAGCGCGACGTTCTCCGCCAGACCTGAGCGAGGACGTGGAATGGGGCACAAGACTTACGGTGACTGGGCCTGAATGAATCAAGATGGGGCGGGTCGTGATGCCCTGGCTGGTCGATGGGGAGGCCATGGTCGTCGTCGCTGAGAGTGTGGATGACGACGGCTGGGGCAATCCAGAGACGCAGACGGTGAGTTTTATAAAGTGAAGCCCCAACCTCGTTCTCCCCAAAGAAACCGGCCAGCAGGCGTCAAAATCATCGATTTTCTGCTGGGCAGGTACGGGCGGCTGGGCTGGGGGCAGGGCGCTTGGCGCGATCAACGTCAAAATCATTATCAATCGCTTTGAGGATCTGTGCGCGACGCACGACATCCTCGTGCTGTTCTCAGCATGTGTTGGGGCAGCCGAATTACGCCGTAGTTCTGCTCTCACGTATCTCGCACGAAACACTGTGCGCCAGTTGTCCTCCCCGACCCGCTCAAGCCCTCTCCTCGACCGATACTTTTAAATTTTGAGCCCGCTTTGGGGCGGGGTTAACCGCTACCATCCGCCCCTTGAGCAGTGCTGCTTTCAGAAAACTACAAAGCACGGCTGACTGTGCACAGTCACTTGCGTACGTAAGTGTGGGTGCATCTATTCACTGCGAGATCAAGGCCACTCCTTCGCTTCAGCGCGTGGATCGATGACACATTGTAACGAATCACCAGTCGGACAGGTCTTGGAAGCCGGTAGATGCCTGCGCGCACCGTTCAGACCTGGCAGCGCAGGTACTCAGCGGGAAAAATACGTCGCCGATGACGACGAAAAGCAGCGGCCCGACGCGCCCTGTCATCAAGCTGTGCATTCGCAAGAGCTGCCCATAAATCGTTGTGTTAGACATTACTGCATCCCCAAGACTTTGCTGCCTGATGGCTCGGGGTTTCTAAGCCCGAATGGCAGCTTGGTCAGGTTTACAAGCTACAAGCAGAGCTCTTGTGAGCCAGCGGGGCGATTAGGTGCGCTTCCATAAGCGTGAGGACGAGTCTACACACCCGCCAGGGCTGCGTCTCCGAGCACGGCGCACTTCTCTCAGCCGGCGCATGAGGAAGATGATATCTGCGGTGACAACGCAACGCGGCATTTGCCCCACGTTCGTTTGCATGCTACTCGGGCCCATCTACAGTACTCGACGGCTTCCATTGGACAAGCGAAGCCTGACACCATCAGCTTAGATTGATGCATCTCGAATCGAGGTTGCACACATTGACGCACCCGAAGAACATGGTCAAGTGAACAGGGATGTGTGAGAATGCGCCGGTACATTATATAAAAGACAGGAGTCGTGCAGGGAATATTAATGTCCATGTCGTCTAGATTCACAACCTGGGTTCTATGATTTTTCTACTCGCTTTGGTTTTTGTATTGCGGCAGTTCCCCACAGGACACGGCGTCCTAGCTCAGGGACGGCAATCTCGTCCGTGCGCCATTCCTTCTCGACTAGTTGCGTCTTGAACTCGCGCAAGTACAGCGCCACCAAGCGCTTTGCATCATCGAGGGCGGCCTTCAGAACTTTGTCGTTGTCGAGGAGTTCCTGGGGCGTCGATTCCGCGGGGTCGATCTGCATGACGTTGTGAAGATGACGTTGTAAAAATGCGGCATGCAAGACGGATTGTATTCGATCGTCGACTGTTGCTGAGGGATGGAGGAGCACAGCAATCTTGCACTCCGATTGTTGCATCAGGTAAGGATAAAGGAGGTACGGTTGATCCTGTTGAAGACACGTATCAAAGACTGAGTAAGAGATGTGCTTGGAGGTCACTTACATTGAATGCTTCCACACATGCGTCCCATCGTGTACGCGCACCAAGGTCTGTTGGGCTGACGACCGCATCGAGATCTGGGGCGATCTGCACGTACTGGTCCTCCTTCGTCTTGAAGTACTCGCCGAACACACCAATAGCTCTTTGCCGCTCCAGCTCGCCCAAGGTGGGCAACTCACGTTCAGCTTCTGGCCGACTCGCACGAGAAGCGAACTCTCTCGCAAGAAAACTGAGACGTGGGAGCGTTAGCAGCTCGAAGGTCGCGGCGCGGAGCATCCACTGAGTTATCAAGAGGTGTATCGGGATGGCGAGGGCAAAAATAGTGTAGAGGTAAGGCGCGGAGTGCGAGACAGTCAACAGTCCGACGCCTGCGGCATACCCAGAAAGGATGCCAACAGACCCTTGAGACTCTGACTTGGCGGCAACATCTCCCATGTTGCCTTGTCGCGCGAAGAAGCGAACGAACTTGATATGGGTCGTCAGCCATACCTACAGGGAATCCGAGTCAGCTGAACCTCCCCAGATTGAACTGGACCAGCTATACGCACTGCTCCTCCGACGCATTTGAAGATATTACCACCAGCTGTTGAACGAGTCTTGAGCTGGGATCATAAGCGAAAGCACACGTCTACTAACCTGCACAAAGAAGGAAATTGAGTGTCGTAGGTGGTACAACTAGAGCTGCGATTTGTAGACCAGAGCCTAGCAGACCCATAGTCGCTCCAGTGAACGTGAACGTTTTGGGATGGCTAGCAGGTACACACACTAAAGTGAGTCTTCGACAGGATCGTGTTGAATTCTTGGCATACCTGTCGAAGTATGGAGAGAACCTCCGAATGACCCATAGCTTCGCTACCTCCCCCGCGCCGTCCTTTATGACCCACTGAACGGCTACAGCGCCGAGTATGCTGCCCTCTGCGCTGACCCCAACAGACACAAGCAGAGCCTGGTTGCAGAGCACGCCGACAACGGTGCCTACAATACATTCCATGAACTGCAACAAATGGAACTTCAAATATCTGGACACGGCTCTCAGTCACACGAACACTTCAGCTCTCCCCAAGATACGCACGACGGGTGGACCGACTGTGGGTAGTTCGTCGGCAAGAACATCTGTCTCAGCCATGCAGTGAGACGGCCCAGTGGCGAAAACCTGCTAGATGCTGTGACGGCCTTCGTATCGTCGTTCCTGCCTCCGAGCTCCCTCCACTCTTTCTCTATTCCTCCGCTCCCCGACCATGACAGATGCCGTGCTCGGCCGTGAATATGCTCGATGGCAAACAAAGCACGGGTTGCAGGGCGCTGAGCAGTCGCCTGAGATTTCTGTTCATCCGATGCGGTAGCTTTAGAGGACTGCAACCTAAGGATGGAGTGCTGGAATGACGGTGGGCGAGCGAGCGATGGGCACCTCGCGCATCTCGGCGGAACCCGAGCGAGAAGTAAACGCATTGGGGAGGGGTAAATGACAGACTCGAGACGTGCTCAGGACGAGTTACACGGGTGTCTGTGACGCATGTCGCACAAGAGGGATACAAACCAAGGAGCGGTAAATACGAAACAGCCTAAAGTTCATTGCAGGCGCGTCTCTGCGCGTCTACTAGTGATGAGCTGGCTACACTCTGCAACCCCAGCCTTTCAATTTCCAGGGCGATGCAAGGTGTGAAACTCTAAGGCCTCTACTGTTGCAAAAGGGTCTATGGTACATTGCTATTCTTTCTATCTCTACATCTACTCGTTCTTGGTCAAGAGGGAACGTCCCTCCATTTCTACAAGCGAATGTCAGCTCTGGTGAGTAAGTGGGCAAACAGTTTACTTGCGTACCTTCGGGCTTTGGAAGACCCATGACGTCGAGGATAGTGGGCGCGACATCGCACAGGGCACCTTCATCTTCTTCGCCATCCTTCTTGTCCTCGGCGAACGAAAGTTTCTTCGGGTCGCCGGTCATAATGAAGGGAACGGGGTTTGTAGTGTGCGCGGTATGAGGGTTGCCGGTTTCGGGGTTAATCATTTGCTCAGCATTGCCGTGGTCAGAAGTGATGAGGAGAATGTATCCGGCCTCCTCGCACGCCTTGTAAACGATACCGACAGCCTCGTCGGTGTGATTTATGGCCTCGACGGCGGCGTCGTAGACACCAGTATGCCCAACCTATAAAGGGCAATCTGAGCCAGCGATATCTCCCGGATTGGTATAGAGAACGCACCATGTCCGGAGGAGCGAAGTTGCACATGACGAACTCGTGCTCGCTCTTCTTGACAACCTCCGCGACCTTCTTAGCGACATCCTTGACGCTCATCTTCGGGTCTTTATCATAAGTCGCTACCTTCGGCGAGGGGATCATATGGCGTTCTTCGTTCTCGAATTGCTTCTCGACACCGCCGTTGAAGAAGAATGTGACATGCGCATACTTCTCAGTCTCGGCGATATGTGCCTGCTTAACACCCTGCTTGGCAAACCACTCGGCAAGGACGTTGGTCATAGCCTGAGGCGGGAAGGCAACCGGGAAGCTCCACTCTTGGTTGTAGCGAGACATGGTGGAAACGTGCTACACTTGCCATGTGAATCACACAAGCAGTTGTAATGAGACATAATGTACGTACCAGATCCTTAGGAATGTCGACCTCGGTGGGCTTATCAGGGAGGCCAAAGAGCGCGACAATTTCACGCATGCGGTCCGAGCGGTAGTTGAAGAAAAATAGGGTGTCACCATCTGTAACAGAATGTCACAATCATCTTCAACAAGACAGTCTAGATACGTACCCTTGACGCGACCCTCGTCGCCGTTAACAATGATGGGCTTCAAGAACTCGTCGGTCTCGTCCTTCTTGTAGCGCTCCTCAATAGCCTTGACAACATCCTCGCCCTTCTCACCCTCACCCTTGACGAGACCCTCGACAGCGATCTTGACGCGCTCCCAACGCTTGTCGCGGTCCATAGCGTAGTAGCGGCCAACGATGGTAGCGATCTGGCCGAACTTCTCCTTCTTTAGGAACTCAAGCAGGTCCTTTGCATAGCCGGCAGCAGAACGGGGTGCAGTGTCACGGCCGTCGCCAAAGAAGTGGATATAGACGTGAGGGACGCTCTGCTCTTTTGCTGTCTCGAGAAGGGCCTTCAGGTGGTTGATGTGTGAGTGGACGCCACCATCGGAAACCTAGAGGTGAAGCACGATTGAGACACAATGTGAGCAAGCGAAAGGATGGCACATACCAGACCGAGAAGGTGAAGGCGTCCATTGCCCTCCTTGGCGCGCTTGCAGCTCTCAAGAATAACTTCGTTCTTGTGGAACTGGCGCTTTTTAATGGAGACATCAATCTTGACGATGTCTTGCCAGACGACACGGCCTGCACCGATGTTGAGGTGACTAGTGTTATTGTTGATTTCTCGCAACACGTCCTCCATAACAGGTGCACGTACCCGACTTCAGAGTTGCCCATGAGGCCGTCGCTGAGACCGACGGCGAGACCATGTGCGTGGAGCGTACGATGGCTGTGATCCTTGGCAATAGTATCCATATTCTCGGTAGTTGCTGCCGCAATGGCGTCGCCTTTCATATCTTTCTCGGGGGCGATGCCCCAGCCATCGTGAACGCTGCATTCGCGAATTAAGCAAAGTATGCGGTAGAGGACAGCAGTTGTATGCGCACATGAGGCAGACCTTGTTCTTGACCTGGACCATTTTATTCGTCTAGAGGGAGCAGTATGTATGTGAGGATTATCGGTCTAACGGGGGAAGCAGGATCGCGGGCAATGCGCAGGGGACCGGCACAAACGAGGTGATGATTTCATCGCAAAATCTTGTGAAGCGCCCATGGGCTAGGCCCGCCGTCATCTTATCGATGCCGCCCTAACCCCGCTGGTGGGACATCCGCGATGGGGTTAGGTGCAGCGGCACCTCCCGGACGCCACAAAGACGAGGCACACGCCTGTCTCGATAATTCGTTGCAGTTCTCCTTTCACCGCGCACCAGCCTCATCTCAGACGCAACCCCTTCGCTCGTGAAGAAGCTGATGTGTGACCTTGAATTATTAATCAGCTCACTCGGCGCGTCGGCTTGTTACAACCCTAGTACTGCGTGAAGGTTGGCTATGATTGACGTCACCTGAGGAGCTCCCCCTCCCCTCCTTTATCACCTCGACGCATCTGCTCCGAAATGCTGCACGCCGTATACAAGACCTTACACTCGCATTGAACGATGCTCGCACGCACAGTTCGCTCCCTCATTCGCCCGTCGTATGTCGCAACTAAGCAGGCGCAACGGGGGATTGCTTCAAAGCCTGCATTCACATTCCTCCCCTCTAATGCTCTCCCCTCGAAGCCTCGCGGCAAGGGTCTTACCGAGATACGCGGACCATACTACTATCCTGTCACTGCCACGTACTTGGACGAGCTCCTCTCAGACTGGGGTGCATACGTTGATGGAATCAAATTTGCTGGAGGCGCCTTCTCCTTGATGCCTGAGGAGAGGCTGAGGCTGCTAATTGAAGTTGCACACAAGCATGGTACGTCAGCAACCTTTGTTGGTGACTATCGTCTCACAAAGGACACGTAGACTGCTACGTCTCCACCGGCGGCTTCATCGAACGAGTACTATCAACTTCGGCAGGATCGCCACAAGTTGTCTCGAAATACTTGACGGCATGCAAGAATATGGGTTTTGACGTCCTCGAAATCTCTGCTGGCTTCCTCTCAATTCCCACTGAGAGCTGGATCAACCTCGTTGAAGACACGAAGAAGCATGGTTTAAAACCGAAGCCTGAGGTTGGAATTCAGTACGTATTTCTTCTGCGCCTTCCGTTTCGCAATACTAAGGGACGCATCAAGATGGGGTGCTGGAGGAGACGCGTCTATTGCCGAGCTCGAATCTTCAGGAACGCGCGATCCGCGTTGGATGATCGATCGTGCCAACGCTTTCCTCGACGCGGGCGCATATGTATGCCTCATACTTCCTTCACTCCGCACAATGACTCAACACCATTCTGCAGATGATCATGATTGAGAGCGAGGGGATTACTGAGAACGTGAAGTCGTGGCGTACAGATGTTATCTCGGCAGTCACCTCGTCACTTCCCGCTGACAAGATTATGTATGCGGCATTCTGACTGGCTTCACCAACGTTCCATGCTCACATGTCCTTCCAGGTTCGAAGCCGCTGACCCTGAGGTCTTCGCATACCATATTCAAAACCAAGGCGCCAATGCCAACTTGTTCATTGACCATTCTCAGATCGTGCAGCTCGCATGCCTGAGGAAAGGGATATGGGGAACGAGGTCGACGTTTGGCAAAATCATTACCTACGGAGAAGATGGCCACAAGCACAAGTGAACACATATGCAGCACAGTGTACGTTGCCGTTGAAGTTGGCTGTCATGCTCGGCTCAGCGGTCTCCCTTCTGCGCATTAGCGACCTAACTGTGGGATATTTACTAGAATCGCCTGAATTACCTTTCCGTGCTATCGTAGGATCAACTTCGATGGAATCAATGTTCTGCAGTCGAGTAGCTGGAGGGAATTGCCGACAAACAGAGATGATGATCGTTCCCCTTTGCGGTCACCTGCGTTACCAACTTTTGTGCGGAGTAGCAACGACAATGGGCGTTGCGACAATAATGCAGCTCAGGTTCTCGGAGTTCTAACTCCGGAGGTGATCCCGTACCGCTGAGGCCGACTCGGTACTACCTGCTACTTGTCGTCCTCCACACACGCGACTTAGCTTGCAGCCATGCCTTATGCCTCGGCGAAGCACTACTAACCACAGTGTCCTACAAATGCACCCCTAAAACTGTGATGAGCAACGTCGGGAAATCGTCCTGGCAGTTTCTCGAGTGCAATTAATCTGTGAGCATTAACACTCGTGGGAGCACACACACTTGCTGATGTGTCGCTTAACTTTTCCCGTGTTAGACTAGTGTAATTCATCACTTTATGGCATGCTCTGATAATGCTAATGGACGTTAGATTTATGCCTCAGGGCATCTATCTATGGCAAGTGGCATAGGGACTTACTGCGTGTCTGCAAGGTGAGGTCGACGGTGGTTTTAACGGGAAGAATGAGTTACTGCCATGCTGAGTACATTGTTCGGTCAACGGGCGATGATCGTGATAGATCGTTGCGGAGAGTTCTCAGGTCATTTGAAGGAACGTCCCCCACGTGTCCAACCGTATTCACCTCCGCCAAGTTACCTGTACTCGACAATTTGGCTGGATTCTCCCGTTTGTCATACTTAAGCTCCCCGCGTGCTTGGCCCAGGAGACTAGCAGTCTAGTCCACAACAATCCGCAAAAGGCAGCGGCATGACCTTCGCTGGTCGCACAGGACGAGAAGGGCGCGACGCGGAGCACGCGAGCAAGGTGGGAGTGCTATGCGAGATTGTAATGGCAAGCTGCATGGGTGTCACCAAAGGCGGGGGCGACTGCCGGCTCCGTGAGTGTTTGTACAACACAGTATGAGCGCGCGGGAAGAGCAACGCGGCTCCCGCGTCCGGGTCCTCAAGCTCCAAGGCCTCCGCACACCGAGATAATTCGTCTGCTGTGCGTACCGTTGTAGCCCGCTGGGATATTCTAGTCTGCACGTTGTGTTCCTAATGTCAAAGATGCTCACCACTGCCACAAACCCGATGATTGTGAAGGATCATTAGCGGTAATACTGAACAGATCTCAGAGGCGCCTGAGGGCCTTTTCTCAAGAGGATTGTCCACTAGACAGCTGACTTATATGTGTTTTTCTTGGCCGTGAAACGGTAACAAAGCTATATTTGTGTACATAGTCGACCGTGGGCGATGAATATATTTGTGTTCTGGTCCGGATCTCGACACTGCACCTCGGGCTATCGGCATTCGCCGTGCTACAGCACACAGTATTTCATAGACGTCTGACCCCGTCCCTGAGTCAAAGTCAGGATTGTAATGGTACCAGTCGATGTCACATGGCGGAGGATACCCCTGCTCGATGCCTCAGGTCATAAAAAATCAGAACAAAAACTTTGAGGATTTTCTTATGCAACCGTGCCCGAACCTGCAAACGCCACAAAAACTCTTACGTAACTTTCACTCGGTTATGGAGGAGGTTATTCGTAACATGGATATGATTCTGTCCATTGCCTTGTGCAAGCTGCATTACGGTATCTGTTAGTTCAGGTGTATTTCTACAAGTAGTCTCGTTCAGCACTAGCTTAAGCAGTGGATCTAGGGTGCCTGTTTGTTAATGACAGCCTGGAATTGACTGAGCGGACTGGATCGAAACTGCGGGGCCTGTCAGCAAGGTCAGCCATACGTATCGTACTATAGAGCTTCCAATGATCTCATCCATCTTAAGCTCTCCTTGTGTACATTGTGTTTCGTGTTTCGTGACCATGCCTCCCTTTCATGCTTTCTTGCATGTTATCGCTTCCGGCCTTCGCTTTCTCCTGACTCTCTACAAATCAATATTCAGCGACGCTCCAAACTACACTCCTACTCGGGACGTAGAGTGTGCCCTCAGAAATCCGCAAGTGCGCACAACGCCGCTGTCAATAACAAGTACAGCTTCGCATCGATGCCATAATCTACATCATACCATGGAGCCCCTTCCCTGCCGTAAGCTTTCCCCGCTAGTAGCCCGGCTCTGACTAACTTGTGAGTAGATGACGCGATTTCTCTCGAGAAGATTGTACTAGCTGAGGCGAACTCCGATACTTCGCCCGTCCAGAACCCCTTTGGACCCTCACCAGTTGCATCTGGATCCTCTGGCCATGGTACCAGCGAAGGTGCGCCTAGGGCCCGAAGGAGTGGTCTACTTATCTGATAGCAGAAGGATATACAGACGCTGGGAATGTGCAGAACGTACGAAGCATCTGGGATCCTCCGAGGCGATCACCGCCGCCTGAACTCCTGAAGGATCACCCAAGCCTTCGCGAGGTCATGACGAATGAAGCAAACTCATCCACGGCTTCCGAAACCGCAGAGGTGCTAGATCAAAGGATTATAGCCTCGTCTGAGCCAGCTCGGCCTCGTGGACCAGCGCCGGCGACACCGGTTGCGAGGGGTGAATCGGTGGAGGCGCGAGCTGATAACGGTACCATGAGTCCCGACGGTCGTCTTCCGGAAAGCACTACGTATTGTACGACGAAGAGTCTCGTTGAACGACGTGGTAAGCGGCCCATGCAACTGTTCGTAGCCAATTGCGGGGATCTTTCGCTGCGGGGCGAACAGACAAACCTCGCCCAGCGCAGAACACCGCCGGAGCTGGCCCAATGGCCAACTTGTGGGTATTCCACCCCACTTCCTCCGTATACCTCATACATCGGCAATTTACCTCCCGGCAGTCCGGTCAACGAACCTTTCTTCGAAGATACCAAGCAGAGTCGCATCATATCGTACGTTTCCCGGCAATGGAAAGCGCACAGCGCAGCCGAGGGCTCAGATGAACAGGACTCAAAGGCCCAGGCGACGCCATTGAAGGAGCCACCGCCGTATCCATCTCGCAACAAGCCAAGACCTGACGAGGTTGGAGATATTCTTCCGACCGCTCGTCTCGCAACTGGTCCCAGACTCCGTCCTTTGATCCTGCCGACGCGGGTCGCCAAACGGTCTGCGGAGTATGGGCCGGCCCAGAGGAGAGAGCCAAGTCTGCGTCCACTCCTACTACCGCAGGACCTCGAGGAACGCTCCCAGTACGAAGTAACAGCGAGGACCGTTATTAGAGCAGAGTGCGACTCAGTGAGTTCGACCATCTCGACCGTGCCCGAAGCCCATTCATCGACATCGTATACGGCGACCTCAGGAAGGATAACGAGCATTTTGGCGTTGCTTGACGAGAGTGGAGTGACGCATTCAACCCCGATATCGAAGACTATCATCCCTATCTTGCCGAGCGCGTCTCTGGGCGGCATTCATGGCTCTGTCGCGTCAGTGGCGTCCACGTATGGGACGACGCCCAGCTGTTCCTCTACCTTCCTGTCGCAGCAGAGTAACGGGAGCCTACTCTTGATCTTGGACAGGGACTGTCAGACAGACTGGGAGGGCGAGATAATCAGCGAATACTGCGACTGACGACTTGATACATGGAAACAGCCCGCTGTGTCTAGCGGCTCCACCGCTCTACGTATACCATATCAATGTGATTACTCACGATCTTGAGCTAAGCTGTTGTAGTAGTGTAAGTCTAGATCCCCATTAAGCTTCGTGGCTGCGGATGAAGTCGAGAACTAGCTTCTTGAACTCGTTGGGCCTGCAAAGTCATCAATCAGGTGAAAACTATGCGTTGGGGCTCGAAGTAACTACTTCTCTGCATGTACTATGATTTGAGGATTCAGTCACGATTATTACAATTATTACAGTGAATATCCGAGGACTTACCCCAGTGTCCGGTTTCGAGGTTCTCGAGTGCCAGGTTCGGGAAAAATTGCTTCGCGATTGGTACATTACGGTTGTTGATATATCTAGATGACCGTCAGTGCAGAATTGCAAGTTAGAAGATCCCACGCACTTGCTCCTTTGCCCCTTGATGAACAGTGTAGGTCCGTCCCAGCTGCGCTCAGTGGGCTCGTATGGGAAATCGCCAATTTCCACAATGGCTTTACCGATGATATCAATCGGTACTCGAAACTTCAGAGGATGGTGGTGATGATCGTGTGCCTGGGGAAGGAGGTTTGTGAGGAGGAAAGCTCGAGTCATAGCATCCTACAGTCGTGGTCAGTGTTTCGACTCTACCCGGCCAACCCACAACCTACAGGCTCGTAGGGTGCTAATATCTTCTGAGCCTCCTGTCGTGTAGTCACATGGCTATCTTCTATCTTCTTCATGGCTTTAACGTAACCTTGAAACTCCGATGATAATGCACCCTTTGATGGGGCCATATCTGCGATGATCAGATGCGCAAGCAGCTCTCTGGGGAGCTCCGGGCTTAGGGCTACAGACATCGCGACCTTGCCACCCCTATGAAAATGAGATATTGCACTAAAATATCCAATGTCGGACTCACATCGAATGACCCAAGAGAGAGACGTCTCTAAGCGAGCGTTTGCGACAGAACTCTAGAACATCTTCAGCCATTGCCAAGTAGGTCATTGGTTCCGCGTGAGGAGATGCTCCGTGGTTTCTCAAATCCTGCAGGCTTCGAGTTAGATCTGACTTTGTAAGGGTAACACGTTGGATGACTTGCCAAGGTGTAGATTGGTCGGTCGAGGTCCCTGAGGAAGGCCTTGGCGAGTGAAAGCCAGTTCCTCTTCATGCCGCTAGAGATCGCGAGTTAGCCACGAAGTGCGCCAATATTCTCGCCTCAGCACCCACAAAAGACCGTGCAAGATAACGAGAGCATTATCCGTTTCGTTCCCACTCGGGGGGACGAACTTGTCATGCTCTAAGTCTATCGGCTCTGGCCGGGTTGATAAGGGCCGCGCACAAGGAGCCGTGGGATGAAGGGCAGAGTAAGAAGCAACAATCCTCCTCGCACATAATCTCTGTCCGAGACCTAATAACATCTTTTCAGTCAGCTCAAAGTCACAAGATGCAACGAGGGTACAAGGTCATGTCACCAACGACGCCTACCGAAAGCGGCGCATCGTGCAAGCTCGGCAAATGCCGGAGCTCGCCCTAAAGTACCGAGCTCAAATTTCAGAGGCGCGCTTTTGCCTCAGGTTCTCCCCGAGGTCGTCAGCCAAAATCGTGAGTGTACCCGTCCCACTTCTTTTGTCCATTTCGAAGAGATGATACCTTTCGTTTACCTCGAGTGTGGGGTTTCTTACCAGTGCCCCATACGATGCTTTGAGAATTTGTCATAGTTACACTGATCGGTTTTTACGCCTCATTCGTTGGGATCTCGCTGACTTGCCTTGTCGCAGAGTTATGTCTTCATCTATCCGATAGTTGTGCGTGTTAGGAGTGATGGAAGCGGATTGAGCTTGGTGGATGGTGAGTTCCCTCCTTCCTCACTAGTGTTCCGACACCTACACGTGATGATCCAAAATCATTCAAACTAGAGTATCTGAGAGCTCATTGCTCGATGCTTTTATCTTTATCTGTCAATCCCCTGATACACTCAACCTATATGTGTGTGTTCCTTGGACGCCTGGCTGATCATATCCTGTCGCCTAGGTAGCTTGGAACGTTACGAGCACTGACAAGTCAGTTGCTGGGTGGTCTAGGTTAATAGGTGTGTATCTTCACCATGCGCGTTCTTGCCGCTACGATGCAACAAATGGAGTTACCGCCTGACCTCGCGCTGCAACGTGAAGGACCCGTGACGACAATTCCAAGGCTGTTTTTTTTTAAATCTTACTGAGCCTCCTGTATTGAACGTCGTTCGAATCGCCATCTGACTCACTTTTCTAGGTACCTTCTCATCACATGTGTCTTATAGTCTCTCGAGCGTGTGGTAAGTGTCCTGTTCCGACCCCTGTTCAATGATGCTTCCATCACGACGGTCTTCGTATCCACGATGCCGAAAATGCCCGCGCAGCTCAAAAACCTCGGGCACCCCCTTCTGACTCTTTCGTCAACGCTAGTTTTCTTCATCTAATCAGTTCACTTTGTAGGTATTCCACAAGCCATTCAGACGGTGAGTCATCGCAGATGGCTATATAAGCATTGTCTTAAACTGGGATGATTGCTCTTCAAATATATCAACTAGAAGCTGTTGATGAGCTTTGCTTTGATTACCTTTTGCACTTGCTGACCCTTCTCGTATTACATTCGGACTTGTCGTTGACGGCTCTTTCTGTAGGTACTTCTCTGGCGAGTTCGTCTCATTCACTCTGACTTCAATTCATGTAATATACGTCCGCATTGCCATCATTCTCAGTACAATGAATCTGACATCAATACGCTGGTACATGAGTATCCCTATCTTTGATGCCGATAAAATCAAGAAGCTGGATATCATAACAGTTACAGGTGAGACTACATGAACGTCCCTGCACGGCTAAAGTTCGTAAAAATGTTGCGCGATATTTTGCATGCCCTTTATACCGGGCTGTCGTTCGGTCTGTGACCGTTTTCTCCGTTGGCGCCGTCGGGGACACCGGCATGACCATTGCTTGACTTCTCCGTACGCTCCGCACGGTCCCGGTCTTCACTGCGGCTCCGCCGCGACGAACGTGTCGAGCGCGAATGCATAATGCTCTCCACTGGGCCTGGCGGCGACTCCTCAGAGTTAACGGTATCCTGACCGGGGTTCAGACGCCAATAGCGGTAGCTGCGATATTGAGCATCGAGGTGCAATCTCAGAAGGACGTGCTGTACTTACTGCTTGAGAGCTGCGTACAGCGCTGTCGCGATAAGCGAGCCAATGCCCGGGCCCACCCAGTAAATCCAGTGCGAGCCATGCGGAAAGCCGGTCACGACAGCGGGCCCAAATGCTCGCGCGGTGTTGAGGGCACCGCCGGTGTAGTATACCGAGAACAGCTCTCCCGCAAAGAGAGTGAGACCGATGCCGATCTTGGGGTGCGTCAATTGGTGGGTGTTTGTGGAGACGCGAATACCAAACATACCGGTGCAAATGGAGTCGCGACGTGCTTCTCGGCCGCAAGCATGAGTACTGCGAGGCAGAGAATGGCAGTCATGAAAGCTTCCATCCATACACCCTGCGCGGCATTAATGCCTGGTGCAAGGGCAGTACTGTGACATGGGTCATTTCACAGTATGGCTTACGGGATATTACAATGTAACTCACTTTGAAGCCAAGGGTCCCGGTGTCAATGCCAGAACAAGGGCTGCCGCAGCAATCCCTCCGATGAGCTGAGCGATGCAGAACAACACAAAACGCACAGGCCCAATGATGCCCGAAAGAAGAAGTGCGGAGGTGACGTTGGGGTTAAACAAACCGCCCGTGACGCGGAAGAAGAGCCACGCGGAGATCAGCAGGCTGAGGCCAAAAGACAGCGAGATGTACATGACGCGGACGATACCCGAGTCACCGGCTGCCCCTGAACTGCCCTGCTCTGACACTGTGGCCTGTACTGCTCCGAAGGCGAGTATGAGGAACACCGTTGTGCCGATGAACTCCAGCAACGCGGCCTGGACGTCATCCTTGAATGTCGCGAAAAGGCCTGCCCGCGTTAGTCGACTGTCACCGGCGTTGACGCTGCCATTGTTTGGTGAATTTTGTCGGGGAGATTGAGACATGCTAGGGGTAGAGGGAGGATGGGAAAGGTGTGGGGACAGACTACAGATGTCGTGTATGTATAGTCACTGTGGGGAAGCCTAACCGACAGGAGTGGTCCGAGATCGCGTATCTTGGCGTCATAACGGAGTATAGTCAGTGCAACGCCGCAGCGGAACCAGATGCCCACCATGACGGTCAACGAACAGATGATCTCGATAGGAGTGTATTTGTACAGTCGCGGACTGAGCCAGCGATGCAAAGGGGCATAGAACATGCGAACTGTGAGAGCCTGGTCTAACACTATTCCAGAACGAAAGAGCCACTCACATCAGTGTGTTCCCACTCCGGCTGACAAAATAATCAGGCACACGAAGAGGTATTTACTAGGCCCAGTCGGAGCCGCCTCTGCGAGTCCGCTTGACCTCACTCCGTTTGTCCTTCATTTGCCTCCGGCGTGCCTTGTCGGCTGCCTCGAACCGTCGTACCCGCTGTTTCTGTTCCTCGGAAGGCTCCGTGATCAGGGCAGCAGACGATGCGGAGAGGATCAACGCATGTAGCTAACAGTCGAGAATCAAACGCAACGCGGAAAGTGATCGACGTGGTCAGTGAGAGCTTGCAATTAATGAATCACGGACCACCGACTCCGTATCGAGGTCGAATCGACGTCATAAAGAGCCACTCGCCTTGGACAAGCATTCCTCTACATTTTGCGCCTGTGACCTGTGAACTGTGGAAGTAACCAACAACGTTTCGCTTGAAGACACGTAGTTGCTCTGCCCCCACAGCAGGTTAATGCATTTGGTCTGAACTCAAACCGCAACTACGCCCACCGATTTCTTCAGAACGTCTCGTGCCCATGACGGGATCCATTTTTCATACAACGAACACCTCAGCGTTGCTTTAGTGTTGACCTTATTTACATTCTGCAAGAGCCACAATCAGCCACCCAGGGAGAAGGAGATCAAGATGACAATGACCTGCCCGCCCGGACCTGAGCTCCGTGAGAAAGTTAGCTCCACGAGCTCCCTTGCTATCGACTGCGTCTTGAACCTTTCAATCCATGTCCGCGCCCGCTGATTGTCCTCCGGAGATTCCAGTGCTTTCAGATCTGGAGGACGAGGAAGGGCCTGGCTGCTCGTCCATCGCACTGAGCCAGCAAGAGCATATGGAAGTCGTATACCGCCGTGAGTGTGGAGGACAGTCTGGACTAGTTTGAACGCAGTAGATACAGCCAGCATCTAGACGGAATATGTTGTAATAGAGGGTGAGCTGGCAGTAATTTCACAGGGGTGCAATGTTAGGAGTGAACAAGTTGTGCGCCGAGTTCCTGGCCTGTTCTCGGTTATGTAAGCGTCATCATGCGCGGCGTCGCCTCGGGGATGTGCTCTCTGCTTTCATCTGTTCACAGAGGCCATTCGCTAGCTGTGTGTTTCTGATGTCATCTTTACAGCAGAACAAATTCATCTAACTCTAACGGATCTCGCAGAACCAATTCCGGGGAGGCATAGTCCGATGCCCATTTGCACCAATTGCTCCCACCCTACACCGTACCTGTACACGGTGTACGACTCGGAGGACAACCTCCGTCTGGAACAGTGCGTGAGTCTGGCCTGTCTCTCTTACAAGTTCATTGACTTATGTCGATGGATTGAATCTCCTCTAGAGTAGCTGTCATGCCTTTGCTGACCCCTACGTCGAACACGATGCACTAACGCTAGGGATCGACCTGATGCTGTTGAAGCGGGACGTGTTCAGACACCTCTTGTTCAATCGCGGCGCAGGTGCGAGAAGGCTGAGCAACAAGAGCTCTGGCGAGGCTACTTCTTCAGAGAACCCTCAGAGCCACGAGCTGCAACGCGAGAAGGTCGGTGTGTTTTTGCTTCCTCGAACTTAAGCCCGACGGCGGCACGCCTTTTTCAGGGACGCCGGCTGCAAATCCTGAGACTGGGATTCTTCCTAGTGGCTGTTGACGCATGTACGTAACGTGGCGTGGTTGTTCTGACTGCACATTTAGCTGACTACTTCAGTCATTCGATGGACCCATCTCAGTACGCCCATTATTTTGCATTACGCCTTAAACTTACGTCAGGCTTAAGATTCTAGCGCGATTTTGGAAAGAAGCGGACGAAGCCCAGGCACTGTGGAGATTGCGCAGTGGAATCAGGATGCTCTTGAAAGCTACTTCCGCGTCCTGACTGGCTGTCTAATAGGTATAACTTCATCTGCTCTCTCACATCTCCGCCTCTCATGACCTGTCGCAGAGACCGTGGGCTTTCACGTCGGCGTGACTCTCGCGAGCTTTATCGTCCTTCACGCTCTTGACTGGTTGCGCTCACATGGTGACGCGCAAGCCCCCTCCGGCCTGCGCACGCAGTTCCGTTGCTCACACATTCCGCTCACGATTCTCTACTCGTCCCTAAACAAATTCTTCCTCCTCTTCCTCCTCACGATCTGGCGCCCCAATTCGCAGTCTTCATCAGCCGACTCATTGCAGTCGCAGTACAATGCGACCAATTTACTCAGTCATCCAATGCTGCGAGGTGCGTTGGAGATGCTCGACGACGACAAGTTGGACCGCGAGTGGATAATACGGAATGTTCTCGGGGGTATGGCAACCGGTTTTGGACTACGGGGTACGAGCGTACTCTTATACATCACGGTGAACCGTCTAATCTTCGTATCGCTAATAGTCGTGCTGGATTGTCATCCTGTATTCACCACAATGATCATTCTGACAGGATGGGCAGTTAAGACAGCCCTTGCACACCTCGTAAGTGGTTGGGTAGGGGCTAGTATCAGTATTCAAGCCGGAAGCGAAGGCGCGGAAGAAATATGGCTTGCATATAGCATACCATAGTTCGCTTCTTCACTTGCAGCTGGCCATAGATTACAACAGTTACCGCTGTAGTATATAGTCTGGCGTCTTGCAAGAAGCAACAACCATGTAAAAGGATATCGATGTTGTGTCCGAAATTCAGTCTTCGACTAGAAGACGAAAGGGATCATCTTGTATCGCTTTGGATAGTCCTTACCGAACTCCTTCTTGTAGTTTTTGTGCTTCTTGATCGCCCAGATTGCCATCATATATGAGCCAGCAATCAGGAAGACCCAGGCTGTGGCGCTCATTAGCCTGCGCGCTGGCGAGACATAGAAGAGACATACCAGCGTAACTGCCCGTCATGGCGCACACGATGAACCAACCAATGATTTCGAAGAAGTAATTCGGGCAGGTAATCATGTTAAAGCCGTATCCATAGGGAACAGCTCGCTTCTTGGTCCCTGCAGGGCGAAGGTCGCGCAGAATCAAGTGGGTCTTGAGATTCGATACTTCAGCCCACTGACGGACATTGTCAATTGGTTTACAGGCATCAAACTGCAGATTAACCCACCAGCCAAACCGCAGCACAAGCTTTCAAGAACATGGGGTTGTCGCGGATAGTATCCAGGATGTAGGATGAAGCGGCGGAGTACGTAGGGCTGTAGACGGCGTATGCGAGTGTCACTCCCCCAAGGATGTGGTAATGGAAGGAACTGCAGTAAAGTGAGCCTCACATGGAATCGTTCAAGTTGGTTGACGTACTTGCGGAAAACATAGGCGAATGGCATAGTACCATGTGAATACCGATGTACGAAGACGGATTCGTATTCACGTTTCAAGAAGTGAGCCATAACCATTCCGTACACGTATCTGGACCACCACACATCAGAGCCAATGGTTGAGACGTGTAGACACGACTTACTTCTGCAGAGAGCTATGTTGAACATCCTGGCCATAGAATAGCTTCGGGACATGGTACATAAGAGGATGCACAACAAGCGGCCCCAGCTACACGCAAGGTATAAGCCTATTCATACCGGCTGGTAAGTAGCAAAGACACTCACGTATTCAATCACAAACACCGTCGTCCAGCTTATTTGGGGACCCAAGTCCTTGACCGCCAGCTCACCACCGTCGCTCAGACCAATGCTGGAGAGCGTGGCCTCATCTGGCAAGGATTTACTCTCCCCTTTGAGAGACAATTTTTGACGAGAAGGATAGAACTAGCGGAAACGTGAGCACACGACAGGCACGGTCTCTGAAGCAGCAGACATACATTGGGGTATTTTGCGGTGAAAGCGCGTTTTACGTCTGCGACAGTGACCACATCCGCGCTTTTGCCGGAGAAGTCGAGGATGGCCGGTAGGCCCTTTGCAAGGGAGGTGGGTTTTGTCGAGGAAATAGTGACGGAGACCATGTTGGCGAGCGCAAGACACGTCCAGGCGAGCACTGAACGCGTCGAGCCGCGATCCCCACAAGTTCCACGGCCCTCGGCAATGCAGTTGTGGGGTACTGTCGAGACGGCCGGGCCACGGTACCATGGCGCAACGGCAGCGCGTCTGGTCCTAGCCTCTGAGTTCAAATCGCTCTGGCTTCACTTCTTTTTGCACTTTTTGCATCGTTCCCACGTGGCCGCCACGGCGGCCCCCCACACATGGGCGCTCAGCGCAGCCTGCACTTCCACCGCACTCAGCTATGCCTCCAGCAGCTCCTGCGTCGTCCGGCAAGGCCCTCAACGCCATCCTGCCCCTCATCGAGGCCGGGCAGCCTTACGAAGCCCACCAGAAAGCCAGGACTTTTGCATCCAGATACCAGAAGTCGGGGCAGTACGACACCGCCATCGATGTGCTCTTCCAGTCCGCGCGCGAGCTTCTCAAGGCGGGTCAGCAGGGGAGCGGGACCGATCTTACACTCTTCCTCCTCGAAGTGTACGATACAAAGGGCGATGAAGTGAGCGACGAGACCAGAGGTCAGCAACCGCGATAAATTCGGTGTGTTCCACCGCTCAAGCCACTCACCAGCGTCCTGCTCTCCACACCAGGTCGGCTCACACAGCTTATCGCCTTGACGGGATCCTCCGGCTCATGGCGCAAGACTATCATTGACAGATCCACTGCGTACGTCAGCTTTGTGTCGCATCATGCCACTCGCTCACTAACCTGGGCTCAAGATGGTCGGCAAAGCACGGTCCCTGTCCTTCCGGTGATCCAAGCCTCCAGCATTACATTGGAGAACTCCTCTACAAGGGTCCGTGGGCAAAGATTTTGATGCGTCCATGTCACCATCTTACGTTACGTCTCCTTCGCAGAAAACGCATTCGAGGCTGCGGAAGGCCACCTTCTCGCAGCCGGCAAGCGAGACAGTGCCCGAGTGCTCGCCGACATGTATGTCCAGTGGGCCTCGACGGGTGGTGTGCCGGGGGCATTTGCGCTTCGAGGAACTATACCGTAAGTGTCTTATTCTACCGCATTGATTCACATCAGACCCTTCACCATCCCTCGAACCTTGCCATGCTTGTCCCGTCAATCCGCCGTTGCCATGCGGGCCAGCCTTGCAGATGGAAGAGAGCTGACCCTCCGCATTGTAGATACCTGCTGAACGGGAACATACTGGCCGCGCGCACCTTCTTGTCGCGGCTCGTCTCGCAGTTCGCGTCTTCTCGTCCTGATTTCGTCTCGCCGTACCAGCCGTCGACCATTCCCGTCGGAAACCCCGTGAACGGACACCGGGACGAGGTGGTGTTGACAAAAGACTCGCTCGTGAACTTTACCCAGCTAGCCGTACGCACGTGTCAGCGCGCCCAGGGCGACAAGAACAAGGCTGTGCGCGAGGCATGGGTGCGCTTGTGTGGGACGTATCAAAGCAGAGGCGGCGTGCTGGCGGCTAAAGAAGTCCGGCAGGTGCGTCTTTCGTTCCCCGAGTGCTTTTCTGCCGGACCGCGCTGCTCAGCGCGCCCGATTCGGGGCTAGCAGCTTCCAGACTCTGTGTCTACCCGGCCGCTCGTCTCTTCGTCTCGCTTCCTGCGACGCCCGCTGGGCTATTCGGACGAAGGGCCCAGTTCCACCTCCGCATTCACTTCATCGATAGATCCTGACAAGTGATGCTGATCCATCATTTCCTTCTCCCGACTAGAACCTCAGCGAGATATCGGAGCTGTTCTTTGCCATCACCCCGCCTCGCGCGCAGCAGGCGAACCCGCTGAGCGACATGCTCTCGGCCATGCTGGGCGGTGGTGCCACTACGACGCAGGCTCCCAGGCGTGTGCTGACACCCGCTCCGGGGGCCAGCGGCCCTGGAGTGGACTAGTTGACAAGTCGACAAACGTACTAGTATCTTATCAGACAAGCACGCTGAACCGAGATATATTTTTGTATTTATCAATCGAGGAATGGTCGGGCCTGTCGGGGTTGCTGGTATTTTTCTAATAGAAAGATCCTTTCAATCCTAAAAGTGTTGGTTCCGGGACGAATAAACTCGATGAGAGATTGAGGTCGAGAAATGAAGAGCTTCGCTGCCCCGCTCGACATGGTCGGGACATCGATCGGAGGGGGTGGCTTATGTCAAGGGCCTGTGGGGCTTGGTCAGTACCCTCGGAGGTGCCGCGCAGGTGGATCCGCCCATGCGCCAGTAATGAAATGTATTAGGTATCGTTCAGTGGCTAGTGAATTACGGTACGGGGTACAGGGTGTGATGTAACAGACGGGAAAGAGGGCGGTATGCAGGATCCGGTTCGAGAAGCAGCGGGAGACTCGGCGTTGCATGCCTGAACGCACACGCTTAAGTGCTGCCCTTGCGCTGGGCAGTCGGGGACTGCGGCAGGCCAGATGCGGGGGAGGGGCCGTCGCCCGAATTGATGATATCTTGGATAGACGCCTCCAGTGCGTCCACCCGGCTGGACATTTGCATCACTGCGGAAGCGAAGAGGAGGCATCGTTGATAAGCCGCGCGGTGGAACGTTGAAGAGAAAATGGAGGTGGGGTCCGAACTCACTTCGATCGAGGATCTGGGAGGACATGTCCTCGAATTTTGCGTCAAGCTGCTCGAGGAGGTTCTCGACCTGCGGGTGGGAAGCGAGCAGAGTGGTCAAAAGCGCAAAGTCAGGGAGCGATACGCGGACCGGCGGTGCTGGCGACTTACGAAAGCGGTCAGTTCGTGCGGGCTGGAGATGTCCGACGAGGTGCTCGCGGGCTTCGTGCTGTTGGAAGAGACCGCGGTGGAGCTGCTGGGCGACGGGGGAATGGGAGAGCGAGAGGGTGTCGCAGGCACGTTCAAAGGCAGTGCCGCAGACGATGGAGGAGCCATGGCAAATCTGGAAACTGTGAGCGCCTTGTATTGGGGAGCACGACGGCAACGGCAATCATTTTTGGAGGCCGTGTCTTGGATAATACGTACGCGCGTATATGTACCGGGGACTACAAAGATGTTTCCGGCTGGTGAGAAAGCAACCTAGAGACACTCGGAGCAGACTTACTTTCGAGGCTGGAGAGAGCCACTGACTTGACAACTGGCAAACCACAGCCGCCCGTTTGTGAATGCGGTAGATCAGATCGGAGATGAGATGAGTCGGATCACGCCGGCAAGCGCTGGGGCATGCGCACCGAGATCCAAATTGGGAAGGCCTCCGCAGAATCGTCTCAATTATGCGATGCGCGCACAGCGGCCCAGCGGCGGTCTTTGCCGTCGCTTTCCTCCCACTGGATCACAGCTCGCCGCGCTTTCCGAGAGGCTCAAACATGTTCTCTCCAGAATTTGTCAAAGTCAGGGGCTGGCGTCTTTGCGGCGCATGATACACGCTCATGCAGAGCATTCAGCTTCTCGACAAGCCGACTTCTAGCAGCGATGCCTCCAGCGGTAGAAGTCTGGTTTGAGGCAGGCGAGTACTCAATTTGTATTGGCCACCGTCCTGAACCCCGTGCTCGGACAATGTCTCCCGGGACGCCTCGCAGAAAAGACGACCGCCGGCGTGTCGAGACCGCGTATGGCGTCCACTGGACTGAGAGCAACGGCGATCTCACTTTTAGAGTGTCCTCTGTCCTGGGCGGCAGCAAGCACGCTAGAATCCGGCTTTGTCCAACTTGAGCGCCTGCTAGAAGAAGGTTAGAGACGCTACACCTTCGTATCTCTTCCACGGCCGCTCAGCCCCTGGAACTCGACGCAGTTCGTCGCCAGAGCGCCTTCATCGCCGCTGCTATCGGCGTATTCGGAGAGCGCGCCGGAGTATTGAATACAGCCCGAGTTTACACTAAGAGCCAGGGCCTCCTCTGGGCCGGGACGGGACGGTCGCAAAGCGAATCATCATCGGACAACACTCCGTTCTTTTGACGCTGACAATAGCCATTTTGCCAGAGGTGATGTTCGAGCGACCCAAATCGCAAGGAGCAGCTCAGGTGAGTTGTACTCCACATGGTTAGCTGGCATGGGGTGTACGGTTTCCGTTACCGGTGGCTCGACGCTCCCACCTGCCCTCCCCCGCAGCAATGGTGGCAAAACGTCAACTCTAAAAGATAGCAGTCGTCCCACCTCGGTGGCTGTCTAGTGTCGGGACTATCATCATGTGAGGGGCTAAAGATGAGTTTCTTTCTGACTTTACCCTTGACGTATGTCTGAACCCTAAATTATAGCTGTGCACAAGTTCATGTGTGATGCGATGCGTTCGCAACACAACAGGAACACGGGCTGTCAAAAGCTCCAACATAAATCTTCACTGCTGCTGCACACTCCCTATTCCGAAAGCTTACACTTCTTGCACGTAAGCTGATCATAAGGATTACTGCCGTGGGTGAATAGGAGACCAGGCACTTCGTCACTACCCCAGAAGGCTGATTACGACTGCACCGCTCGGTGAGTGCCGAGAATAAGCTGACTCTCTGCAGCGTATGTCTGCCATGGATCAGTTGCAGGGCAACCGTTCTCGTTATCTATTAGAATTTAACGCTCATTTCGTCTTGTTCAGGAGATGGGTATTCTAATCCCTAGTGAGTAGCACGATAAGAACAAGGTAAGAACCATATTCATGCAGTCTTTTCGCCCAAAATTTGTGCTTTTCCCGTTAGGATTCGCGGTGATCTTACTACTAGGTTGGTGGTAAGTTTTTTTCTCCTCCTTATGTCCATACTGAAGATAATGCATTTCGGCCTCTTTCTGGGCCTGTTCGCTCGCGGAATCAGAATGCGGAGGCCCGAGTTTGCAATGCTCACGCAAACGATTTGAAGAACTAAGCCACACTCCTCGGCCTTGTCGGTAGCTTGCTGACTGGCATGTCCGTCATAGTATTGCTCGACCGCGGACCCGAACAACAAATACTTGCTTTCGTCGGATGATTGTCTCTCACGACATCACATGGTGACGTTCAGGGATCGCTCAAGTTGTTCTACCTTTCCATGCTTGCGCAATGATATACAAGTTGTCAGTCTGCTTCGACGCTGTACACGGCTGCTGAGGAATCGTGGACACGAGTATGACTCGAAATCAATGTCCTGTGACCGTGATTACTAGTGCATCTTAGTGACGCATGCGGTTCTCAGAGCAAACCTTGCTGGCCGCCGGGCGTATCAACCGTGAGTCTTGCCGCATACTTCTTTTCGCGAATACAGTGTACTCGAGCATAGACGTTCTAGGTCGCCATATGCGCTCGATATCGGAACCATCAGGGAGAAATACTGGGCGAACCAGTGTCTATATCAGTCCATGGGCTTGCCCAAGAGACTGCACCATTCTCCGGCAGCAGACGACCACTACTGTCGGGTGAACTTACGAGTCGTGAGTGCCTCCGCAGGCGAAAGTTCAGCACCGACTCCATGATGCCACTGTGGATTCACCGGACCTGTTTCGGCATCGATATCTGATGAATGAGCAAGTGCTGCTGAGCCGTTCCCGCACCTCCACTGCTGATGTTCCCAGATGGTAGATAGGTCACAACGTGATACTCGTGCCAGCAAGCACAGCCGTTGGCATGCAGACCGAATCGGCTGATGCTAACCTGTCCAATCTAACAAGCTTTGAGAGGCAGCCCGGAAGCGAGCGGTGGTTTGTCTGCAACCCTGGGTAGGTGGTGCAGCCATGTGCAGGGGTGCTTATAATACTACTCGGGAGTGGCGACGCCATCTGTCGGGCGATGTATTGGAGAAGGCTCTGTGCTCTGCGGCCTAAAGTGGACCACAAGCAGTGTGTCCCTCAAGCTAGTGCGAATTCGGAGCAAGTTGTTGATCCACGCGTTGTTGGAACGGAAGGCAGACGGTACCGCTGGCCCGGGGCAAGCTGGTAAACCGAATAGAAGTCTATATAGAAGCCAGAAGTCAATATATCTATCCGGAGTCGAGTCGAGACTGAATTCTCTAGATGTCGTCACTTTACAAAGGGCCTGAACCCAGTGCCGTAAGGGGCAGACATGCACTCAGCGGGCAGCCGTTACACGATATACACTCCATTGTCTGTTTATGGCCCGTCCCGACGAACCACGGTCTGAACTCGCTCCCCCGCCAATGGGAGCCCGCCACGGTCCCCTCCTGTTCGCTGGCCGCGAACTTGGTGCGGAGCCTGTACTTCCTGATCTTCAGATCCCACGATGTGGCGATCACTCGTTGTCCAATGCTATGCTCGCGCTGCCCTCGTCTGCCATGTTTGAGCCTGTGTGCCCCAAGTTTTCGAGGCTATCGCTTGCCCACGGATTGCCATCGTGTTTGATGCCTCAAGTCGTCTGTTTACGTTCGCGGGAGTAGCCGGCGGTAGCATTCTCTGCCTGCCTGAGGCGTTCCTGCCCAGGGAGAGCACTCGCACTGCCTCTTTAGTCGCCAGCAAACGTTGGGTTCAGAGCCTCTGTGCACGCATCAGCCCGGGAGGACACGCGTTATTTACAGTTCAGCGTGCCAAAGAGGCATGCCGCTGTCCTCAGCGGCCCTACATAATCAGGGTAGAGCAGACCAGCCCATGTGTTTCGGATCCTGGCTCTGATTGGCTAGGCAGAGCGTTCCACAGCAGACGGAGAAAGAACAATGGCACGGTCCACTAAGCGCCCTCGAAGGCCTAAAGGCCGCCGGTTTTGCTGGGCTCTATCTCCTTCGGACCTGCTTGATCTGGTTCAGACGGCCTCACGGAGCGTCCTCCAGAGTTCAGACATCAGTTGGCTAGACATCGTCTGACTTGCAATTGCCGCTGTCCGGCAGCTTTCCGGGCGTCCATCCTGGCGCACTCTTGCGACCGGCGCATCGATAGGAACAACCCAGGCGCCCCGAAAAATATACGGAGAGGCACTCATTATGCACGGCGGAGCGCAAAGCGTGTGTGAAGAAGGAGCACCGGATCCGAGGAGCCTAGCACGCGGCTTCCCTGCTCAACCCGGGGAGAGATCTCCAGGAAGTGTCATTTCTTTCTTCGTTCGTCTAGAGATCTTCCAATGAGATGGGCCTGATCAAATCATATTCTGACAAAATCCGAGCCGGTGGTGTGCCAACAGTGTGGGTGTTCATACATGACGGTACAGGTACAGCTCTCTGTCGCTCGCACTATTAAAGGTCCCTGCCACCTCCACAGGTCAGTCCAGTCTGCTGCGACCATGCCTCCGACCTCCATCCGCCCATTCTCTGGCTACGTAGAGACCACGGCCGACGCGCTACGTCTCATACAGGCCGCACGGTGTGGGCTCATTCCCCGCATTACCCGCCGTCTCAACGAATTAGAACGTCGCTCCATGATCAAGAGCGGCGCCATCTTCGTCTTCAGCGTTGACGAGAGCGGTATCAAACGCTGGACAGATGGTAAGGTGTTTCAGCGCAGCTCGTTGTATCATATTGACCCTTGCCCAAGGATACACTTGGACCCCCAGCCGCATATCAGGCAATTTCTTGGTCAGTCTTGCCTGTAGCTATGTACGACCAGGAGCCTGGCTGACATTCTGCGCGTCAGGTGTACCGTGAAGTCACCGAACGTCCCAGCAGAGGTACATATCAGGCTTCCTACCCACCGGAAATGGCCCAGCGACTGGACAGCTCTGTGGCGCTCAAAACACAGGGTTTAATCAAAAAGGTCCGTCACAGCTTTGGCGGACAGGACGTAACGACTGAAGCACATGCTGTAGACCATCACTGTCAAAATCGCAGGCTCTGACCATCACCTCATATGCTACTATACCCAGGAGGACGTCCGATCGGGGCGACTGCAGCGGCCAACCGTCGTACCAGAACTCATGGCTCTAGAAATACCCCACGAGCTCATACAGTCTACAAATTTTCGATACCCTCCGAAGCTCGAGGCTGGGCCCGATGGCCGGCTTACGAAAATGTGCGTAATGTTCACTCTCTCAGGGTCGCATCGCCCTCTGACCGCCGATGCCCTTCAGTCGCGACTCAGAAGATAACCAGGAACCTTCAGAGAGCCCGAGCCCTGTCGAGAGGGTGAATAAGTCACGATCCATCCTGAGCGAGGACTCTTCGGCGTTCTCCCAAGCCTCATTCGCTTCTCCTCCTCCTGCTGGCTTCTACAATCCAGCCTACTCGGGGGCAGAGCATCAGCAGGCCGATTTGCACTCGGGCATCCCCCCACACTCGTCTCGGAACTACTACGCGCACGGGATGGACCAATCCCTCTCGCCCCCGTCTTCGCCGTGGCAGACGGGGCCGTACCATCAATTCAACCCGTCTTCTCCGACCGAGTACTCGCCCCACGCGCGACACTCGGCGCCTCAGCCAGGCTCGTCGCCCGAGGAGGGCACATGGGAACTGCGCGGCACGGGCGTGTCCTCTCGCGCCCGTTTGGGCGACGTGTCCACAGGGTGGCCTCCGGAAAACTCTGCGGCCGTGCTCGGACAGCCGCCGCTTGCGTCACTCGGACTTCGACCTCAAAGCCCGGGTATGTCCACCCCTGCACGCACGACCGGTATCGCTTCCTCGTGGAGCTGGGACGGTCACGGCGCCAGCGTGGGATATCAGACTTCTGCACACCGAGAGCATTCACACCGGACTGCCTCAGGGCATCGGTCCAGTTTCTCTACTGGTCAAGTATATGGAGAACCGTCGTGACCCAGGTTGAGCCCAGGACTTTCCATCGTCAGCTGTGTAGTCTAGTACGCTCTACAAGAACTGGATGTACGTACGATTTCTATTCTCGCTCTCCCTTCTGATGCCCCGTCATCCCTATTTAATTTGACTGTAGCGATAGCACTGCAGGCTCGAGTGTGTTAGTATCTGTTAGTATGTATATAGAGCCTTGTTCCGGAGCGGCGGGAGCCCAGGCCCGCTATCAATTCAACGTATCCGAGTTTGATTTTGTCACATCCGAAGTGGAGCTTAGAGAACACAGTAACAAGAGCACACATTAAGCATTGCCGGCCGTCCTCCTCTCGATAAACCCTCGGATGTTCGGATGCCCCTCCAGGGTGCCGAAGAAACACCGCCGACCTGAGCTTTCCCATAGCACGACGCCTAACTGCTTCGCGTAGTTCAATACGTATTCATAATCAGCCTGTGACGCGAAGGCCGTGTACAAATAGCCTGGACAGGACGGCAGATGCATGAGAAAAATCGTCCGAAGGAAGCGGCTGACCGAGACGCACCTTCCTGTGACTTCATCCTGTTCTTCTCCAGCTCCCAGAGACGTATCTGATCTTGCACGGTCACAGGAAGTAGCGGTTTCTGTTTAGGAAATATATAGGCACTGAACCCCAAGAAGGAGCCGAATAGAATGGACCCACGTTCTTGCGCATTTGCGGGTGCGCATGTGTCGTGAGATAACTGATGATCTGTGGTTGAATTTTTTTCTGAATCAGCGATGCCGCCGCCCGTAACATGACCTGTCGACTCGCCTGATCGGCGGTAATGCCATTGGTAAGAGCCTTCTTCACGCTCTCACGTGTGATAGCCCCGACAACCAGATTCGGATACCGCGACTTCAGTGTCACGAAGAGATTGAGTACAGCTATCTGCAAAGGGTTATCTGATCAAACGTTAGTCCGAACACTCCTCGGACATGGTAATTAAGCTACCCGTGTAGGCGTATAAGCGGTAGTTCGTTTCCAGGATAATGAAGCCTTGGCCATGTGCGCTTGCGGATACGCCCCCCGCAGCTGGAAGCGGGGGTGAGGAGGAAGTCAGCGTCGTCGCCAGCCGTGTTGGGCAAAATCGCTTCGACGTTGCCTAAAGACACATGGGTTCAGCCTCGAGATCAGGCCATGGACGGCGGAAAGCGACCCCACCCTACGCTGCCAGATGATGCCGTAATCGCGGAGATCCTCGAGCATTGCGGTTTGAGTTGGACTCAAGTGCTCGACGGAGTATTCCTGAGAAGGTCAGCCCCTTGCGGGAAAGATGGTGAGAAGCACGGACGTACCCGGCCAAGCTCCATGGTAGACAGCATGAATAGGAAACTGAGCACCTCGACAAGGTCCATCTGCCGCTCCTAGGGAACTCGCACGTTAATGCAGCCGCCGAGCGTCGCGGGAGAACAAGAAGACCACAGACCTCGACCATGTGTAGGTATTGCAGCAGTAATTCCCATAGTTGCGCGTGCGGCGAGTGGAGTAAGAACTGGAATCCAAGTGACGTGATTTGTAGAGAACCACCGCTTTCGAAAAAATACCGAACCAATCAGAGCTTGCGGCCGTTCTATAAGCCTGGCGTACTCACTGGATGCTAGCCATGAGACCGCTTCTCTGAAGCAGGAACAGAACGCCCTGCGAGGGTCGTGTCGCAATGCCAGAAGAGACCATATAATGCAGGATCGTCTGACATGCCGTTAGTGATCGCCGAGCCAAGGTCAGGAGGCCACGTAGCAGGCAGCGCCTTACCTCCCAACGTTCAAGGGCATAGGCATCCAACACTTCAATGGAAGGCGAAGAGTGCTTCTCATCCCGGGTCGCAGGTACGCCAAAGCTACCGCTACTACCCCTGCGGGGGATGAGGTCGAGATTGACACAAGCATGACGCGAACCCACCCGCCAATGATAGCATGTCTTAGACTCGTTTTGAATGTTGGGTTCAGGGCCAGCTTTACTGCAGATTGAGGCAGTATGTGAAGCCGCGACAGGATCGACAGGGAGTTCTCATACGTCCTAACGTCGCGGGTGAGCCGTCGTACGTTCGCGAGCCGCAAGAGTACGGACGGTAGCCTACTTTCTGACCTCATGAGGCACCCATGTGGCCATGGTCGACGCTGGTATCGATGATTCGAGCCACAAGAGATTCATCACAATCTGCCTCTCGAGCGGGCCCAAAAGCCTGCGGTGCCAAAGTTGCCAGGTGAATCGAAGCGTCCGACTTTGCAAATTAAATGAAAGTGGACCTGAATATGGATAAACATGAAGACGGACGCTGATAGAGGCGTGTCAGGGTGTTTTGCGACTGCGATTGCAGAAAGGCGAGCAGGAGGTGGGAAGGAGCTTCAGAGGCGGTCGCCGAGTCTGTGCTGGCCTGCTGTACGGACGGCATCACGTAACCAAGGGAATACTGTGGAATATTCCGCGTGCGGTTGTGGAAGTAGAAAAGAATGAAAAGGGCTCTTCGCGGATGCTTGAGCTTGTGTGACGGGAGGTTGATGCCGCGACAAAGGTTAGATCTGCTTCGACCGTCTCGGACCTGGTAGTTGAAGTATAGATCTTCATATGTGAGTGATTCAGCGGACAAGCATTCTTTTCATGCATACCAACTCTTACCGATTTGTTTTGATCAGCGGCGGCAGCCAGCACTGGAAATGTTCAAGGTGGCGGAGTCTGAATCGCGTGAACCGATTTGATCACATGTAATTGGCGCGTACGCGTCGCGCTGCGCTTCCGAATCAAGACCCCGCGCCCTCGTTCCATACCGTCCCTTTGCTAGGCACATATCATATCTTCATTTATCATTCACCTCACATGTCCACATTCTCAGTGCACACCGCCGCCCTGAGTTGTAAGGCACTGTGGTTTATTCTCTTTGTGTAGATGCCTGACTGGTCGTCATCCAACAGGCCAGGCTGGGCTGGTGCGCACACTCATCTCTCAGGACCCGAAGCTGCTCAACGCACAAGATGTGGTCAGTAAGCTACCATCGACATCTCTTATCAACCGCATCGCCGACAGTTGGTACCTGAATAGGACGGCAGGACCCCCCTTCACTGGGCGGCGACCTCTGGCTCCCTCGAGATTGTTCGCTACTTGCTTGATCAGAAAGCCCAGGTGGATCTGCCCGACAACTCCGGTTGGACGGCACTTCACATTGCCTGTTGAGTGGTCTCGCGTTCCTGGGCAGCACACAAGGGTCGCTGACATTTTCACCAATAAATCGCAGCTAGCGCAGGCCACGAAGACATCGTCCGAGAGCTGCTTGGAGCCGGCGCGGATGTCAAGAAACCGAATGACAAAGGGCTGACTCCTCTGTGCGCTTATTGACTAATTTTCTCTCGGATCCAGCACATTGATTACAGACTGGCACACGGTCACCAGGCACTACGCCGCATCGAAATCCCGTGTCGATGTACGTGACCTGGCGACACCCACTTGAATTCGCATTGCTGACTGAATTCGTACACAGATAGGAAGATTGCTGGTCGAGAGAGGCGCCGATGTCCGTATGCCATATACTGTTTCCGGCAGTCTCTCAATCGCTGCTTACTGAACTTATTACATTGCGAACTCCCGCACAGATCAATGTCCGAGACAAAGCTAACCAAACTCCCCTGTACGTCATAATGTTCCCGAGTCCAAGCTTCTGTGCCTGATGCAGTAACTGAACAAACGGCGGACTCAGACATCGGGCTGCTACCACGGGCTCTACCGGGTTCATTAACCTTCTTCTTCATCCGCCGGAAGGGTCCCCTAAGACGCGTATCAATCCTGCGGACCGTGTAGGTGCGACGGCATCGCATCGTTACTGGCTGAGAAAATACGAACAGATTTGTTACTCTCAGGGAATATGCCGCTGCACTTGGCCATGGAATCTGCACATGCAGAAGCCGCCTGTCTGCTCATCGAAGCAGGCGCAGACCGAACCAGAGTACGTAGCCGCGGCCTTGTGACGACCCGAATAACTCATCACTTTGGCTCAGGAAAATCTGGACGGGGAGACTCCGGAAGGTCTCGAGGGCGTGGGCGGTCAGGAACAGCGCAGGGCTAAGGCCTATGTCATTGAACGCTGCGGCCAGCCTTGAGCGGGCCGGATTTGTTACGTGGAGCGGACAAGTCGCATTCAACGAAATTGGATGTGTATATTTTGGTCGCATTGCTATTTTAGCTTCTTACCTGCCAATCACGCGCTCACGCATGTCTGCAGACACGACATTGATAGGGCTGCGCACGTACCCGAACAGAACCTTAGATATCTCGTGCTGTGTGCGAATTGCTCTCATACCCGTGTGGCCGGGTGAGCCGTTCTGGTTTGTGTCTTGCTCGGTCTGTCGCGACCATCCGCGGAGAACAAACTTGACAGTTTGCCAACACGCCGTTTGGCTCACGTTACATTTTCCAAGTACGCTATCGTCCCCGGACCACACGTAAATGGCTTGACTGTGCAGCCTCGCTCGAAGCTGCCCCGGAAGATGGCAGGCACTACCATCACCACCGCCGACGCACTACTGTGAATAAGCTGCGTGAGGCCCCACTGATAGTCATCATGATGACGCGAGGATTTTGTCTGTCGAGCCCGGAGTGTAGCTGACGTCCCTGATGTGCAGAGCCCCTGGCCGCACTTCTATCACGGATTGACCGGCGGACCCAAACGTGTTTACTAGCCCACAGCAGCGGTGGGTTCCATTGCAGTGTCTAAATTCAATCTGCCGAGGTGATAGCCTTCCATGCACAATGCAGAGCAGAAATCACTACGTCTTCGTTGCGCAAGGCACGGAAGGCGGCACACACGGGGCCGTGTTCGCCTCTGATGTTTCAATGCTTATCGTCTCCACGGTGGGTCAGCTGCACCCGTAAGGAACAAAGGTCATTTCACATCCAGTGTGCGCCGCTGCACGGCCTGATTATTCTAAGCTTCGGCATCACATTCCAAATGTAGGCAAAAGCACAACCATCATGTGGACCTCGGCCGACATGGGCGTTTGGCAGGACGTGCGGGGGCACAGTTAGGTCGGGCAGGATAACACAAACGGTTCTCCCGGCGCGGACCAGTATGCTGCTGGGAAGAGCGGGAGACACACCGCGCCCACGAACACCGCGCCCCGCACGAATTGCCCGTCCGCGTCAGAGCTCCAAGCTTTCCAACCGACGATCCAACAGGTTCCACAGGAGCCGACAAGCGCAAATAATGGCCATTTGCGGGGCCACAGCGTGCCTACGTAGCATGCGCACGGGCCCCACACTGCGATATACGACTCAACCGGCCCCGTGGCGCTCGAAACAAGCATACTGACATGACCGGCTGCTTGGGCAGTGGGATTTGGGCAGGGAATCGGGGGCTGTACGAACTGGCGCGAAGACTCGCGCTTGGCGTGCGATTCGGACGGATAAAGCAATTCTCTGGACTGAATAGTTCCAGGTTAGTACAGGTTAAGACTGTGTATCTGCTTTTCCATTCGTGCAAGGTGTCCTGTCAAGGGCAGGTCGTCACTTCCCAATCAGTGACAAGAGCTTCAATAGACAAGCTATTAGCGTGACGATTACTCTTCTCGACAGACACCTACCCTCATCGAGGGTGTCCAGGTGGTCTAGCTCCTCCTGTGTGAGCTCAAAGTCGAAAACCCGAGTGTTTGCAATGATGCGTTCCTTGGAAGATGCCTTGGGGATAGGTAAGTAATCCTATATAGACGTCTCGGTTGAGGTCGGGTCGTGCACGAAGAGATTTGGACACGAACCTTCTGGATGGAATATCGAAGGAGCACCTGAGCTGGCTGCTTGTTGTACTTTTTGGCCAGACTGGTGATGGAAGGGTGCCTGAAGCGAAGACCACGCACGAGAGGTCCCCACGCCTAACAAGCTATGAAAATAGGGAATGAGACAGGTCATGCGTAGTCATACTTCGAGCGCAATATTGAGTTTGCGGCACATGTCGACAATCTCCACGCGGGTCATAAAGGGATGCAGATCGACCTGGTGACTTTCGACGTGTAAAATACCGGTATCTACATCCAGCGTCGGCCCGTACCTGGTTGATGACAGGAAGCTCGACGCCCTGATCCACCATCTCTTGCAGGTGGGCCACACCATAGTTGCTAACGCCGATGCTACGAAGCTTGCCCGCTTTCTTCGCGTCGCAGACAGCACGCCAGCACTCGCGCCTTTTTTCAGGGCCCCCGATGGCAGAGTGAAGAAGGTACAAATCGAAGTATTCAAGGCCGCAAGCCTTGATAGATGCATCGATCTCTTTGAGCGTTTGCTCGTAGGAGACGTTGGTCATGAGCTTGGTCGCATAGAAGATCTCTTCTCGCGGCGTGCTTGTCTCTTTCATCCAGGCTCGAATCGCCTCTCCGCATTCCTTCTCGTTATAATACCAGGTAGCACAGTCCTGGGACGTGGTGAGATCTCGTGGTGACATAGCTAATCTGAACAAAACTCACAATGTGACGGTAGCCGGCCTGGTCGGAGATATGTTGTCAGATCTACCGGAGATTGCAAGCTTTCGGGAGTGCACCAACATCCAGGGCCCACCTGACGGGCTGCTTAACAGCGCTTCCTTCAAGCTCATAGGTGCCTGCAGAAAGGAATGTGATAAGTAGTATGTTCGGCAATGATCGTCGTTACATCAGCGCGAGCGGTAGTTTCGTACCGAAACCGAGGATAGGTATCTCATTTCCATCCGAAAGCTGTCACGTGAGTGAGCATCTAGGCGAGCCATTGAGCTTCTAAACCCACTTTTTTCTTCGACTCCAGTGTGAATGTGGACATGGTACTGAGACAGCGGTGTAGCGGCCCAATCCAACTCGGGCGGCTACTGGGGAGGCTCAGGGATCACTGTATGAAGCTGAGACGCCTACTTCAACATACATGCAAGTTATTTGAGGATGAGAGCTTCGGTTGAGGCTGCGCAGCGAAAAGATGCCGGTGTGTGCCCCGTATCTGGTCTGGCTGCAGAGTTGGTGAATCATCGCGCTTTCTGTTTGTACTTGCTTGTGCTCCGCTTGTATTAGACGCCCATGCGCCCTTCCCACGGGCTTAACCGTGACGCGTGACCTCTCCTCATTCCACCGTTGCCGGGGGCGAATCAGTTTGTGGCCTGAAGAATGTTACAATGTGCAATGCGATTTTGAGCAGCAATGTTTTCGACGAGCCGATAATTAAAAGAAGTTCTATCTCCGAGGTCGCTGCTAGGACGGACCCGGCATTGTTAACTAAAGACAATAGGGTCACCACAGGCAAATGACAATTCAAAGCAGCCACGATGGCAGCTACCCTTATAATCCCTCGTGCATGCGAGGGCTACAACGCTTTCTCCCCTGGTGGGCTGGTCCTCCTTCTCATCGTGCGCCGCGGTCGTTTTCGTTTATCTCCTCAAGATGATGTCCTTGCTGGCTGTGCTCAGCTTTTTCACGCTCCTTTCCACGACTGCTCGGGCGCACATTGGTGTGTATCTCCGCTCCGGCTTTATGCATATCCTTATTTACCTTCTTGTGTAGCCATATGGCATCCCTCCATGTGGGGATTCAACGTCACTGCCCAGACGTACAGTTACGATAACCGGCCGGTCACCCCGCTCATGAACTATACCTTCCAACAGTGGTGGTTCCACGGCCATCTCGATCATCCGCCTAACCCTGGTGACTTTTTTGAGCTCCCGGCGGGCCAGACGACCACGGCTGAGCTTGCCTGTGATAAGGGAGCCACGACCTGGTTCAACTCATCCCAAGGTGGAGACATCCGTGAGCCGAGCAACCCTAACGATCCTTGTCCGGGCTCGCCCATGAGCGAATATCATACGACCGGTATAAATGACCTTTTTGGATGCTCGATGGCGATCGCATACAAGAGCGACGTCACGCAAGTACAGCCCGAAGACTTTACCGTGTTCAGTGTCAACCAAACTTGCGTTTGGACCCGCTTCACCGACTTCCAAGTACCTGCGGCGATGCCCTCATGTCCAGAAGGCGGCTGCATCTGCGCATGGTTTTGGATACATTCCCCCGATAGTGGCGGCGAGCAGAGTAAGCATGCGTGGGTTCGAAGTTGGAGCGCGTTGCTGATACACTGTCATCAGATTACATGAATGGTTTCAGGTGTAACGTCACGGGTAGCACATCGAACGTTGCTCTTGCTAAGTCTCAAGTACCACGCCGCTGTGGGGCAGACCCAGCCAATGGCAAGATGCAAGCGGATCCTGGCAACTGTACGTATGGTGCGAAGCAGCCGTTTTACTGGTTCCAGCTAGAACAGAACAACGTAAGCGATAGCTATATGATCCTAGTTGAGATACTGATTATCTATCCTCCATTCAGATGTTCGAAGGGACTTATTCTCCTCCGCGGTATCTGGATATGTACAATTTCCCGGACGGCGCCCAGTTTGACATCTTCGAGAATTCTTACCCTAACGGCATCCCGCCACCTGGTCCCAATTCTACCGTAGTCCCAACTCCAGTGCCGTTCAACACCGCCGCTCCCTCAGCTACTTCTGCACCTTCTCTGTCGTCGACCGCCTCGATCACCTCCACCACCGGCTCCTCGCAGCCCTCCAGCTCAGGTACTGCATCTTTCTCCACTGCACAGTCATCGTCCGTATCAGTATCAGTATCGGTCTCTGTTTCTACTGCCACTGTGGTCAGTACCGCAACGGTCACACAGTCGGTCCCAGCTCCGGCAACTCCTTCGTCCGCTGTTCCTGCCAGCACGAGCACTGTTACTAACCTGGTGTTCGTGACTGTGACTGGTAGCGGCGATGGGGCATTCTCCACACCGTCTCCTTCCGCTTCCTCGACGTCTACCATATACCAGACGGTTTACGCCTTCGTCACGGGGACGGCTCCGGCCCTGGCTGCCGCTACGTCTGTCGCTGCACAGAGCGCGGACACCATCTTTACCAACAACACAGTGCCTAAGCAGGCTTTCGCTGAACTTGACGTTTCAGATCCTCCCAATTCGAACTCGACATCCCAAGGCAGTGGCCTGAAGATGTGGTAAGTGTTGCTCCAGGATTTTCATTCGCCCTCTCGCTAACATTTGCTCCTAGTAAACGCGATGCGGGCTTGAGTAGTTCTTCGGGGCCCAAATTATTTTCACAGTCCATGTCGTTCATATCTGTGCCTGGCTTGCATAGTCATCGCAAGATGAAAACTCGATCCTCTCTCTGGAACGTCTTCTGATACCCTCCACTCACTTGTAACGAATACCATACGCTGTTGTATTTCTAATTTTTGCCTCTTGTATTGTATCTACATGTACCTAAAACAACGTAGACATTGTTGATTATAGTCGTCCGGACAATAGTATATCCAACATGTTCTCCAATTCGCTACGTAGTCGGTCCCGGCTAAGTTTCGGGCGCCTAGTCTAGAAGTCTCAAGGACGCATCCGTTTTCTGCTTGCTCAGAGCGAGCCTCCGCACTCTCTCTTGATCACCACACACTATATCCAACACCATGCCGCGTGAGATCATCAATGTACAGGTACTGTCTGCCACAAAGCCCTTTCAGTGTCACCAGGATTGATCTCAAGTACGATGACAGGCTGGCCAGGTCAGTAGGCGACGTCGTGGCGTCCACGGTGCGCAGAGCTCTGATTGAAAAGTGCGACACGTAGGCAGGAAACCAAGTCGGGGAGAGTTTCTGGAAACTGCTGCTCGCGGAGCACGGGCTAGACGAGGCTGGGGTAAGCCAACAAGCTCGCTCGTGTCGCGTGTCTCGCGCTTACGGTGTTCATATCACGCGTAGTTCTACAAGGGAAATGACCCACAGCAGCTAGATAGGGTGTGTATGCGTCCGATTAGTACAGATCCACGACGTGTAGTGCTTAATCGTTGGGCAGGTTGGAGTATACTTCACAGAAGTTGACTTACCGGGCGAATCCACGAAATATGTGCCGCGCAGCGTCCAGGTGGATCTTGAAGAAGGTGTCTGCAATCACGTACGTTTTAAAGCCACTGAAGTCACGCAGCATACTTGACCGACCCATAGCTTCGTAGCGGTTCGATAGGATCGCTCTTCCGTCCAGACACGTTCATGACTGCCCAGACAAGTGCGGGCAACAACTGGGCGAAGGTACGCTTTGATCCCAGGAGATCCACATGAATCTGATGCAGTGAGGTGCAGGGCTTCTACACCGAGGGTGCAGAGCTCTTGGAATCCATCCTCGAGGTAGTCCGCAAACAAACCGAGGCGTGCGACGCTCTGCAGGGCTTCCAGTTACTCCACTCCCTGGGGGGCGGTACCGGATCGGGCCTCGGCTCGCTGCTGCTCTCCAAATTCCGAGAAGTTGTGTTCATATTCGTCAGTGCCGTTTGGCCCCTCATGTGAATATTGCAGGAATTCCCCGATAGGATGCTCGCAACGTTTTCCATTCTACCGTCTCCTAAGGTGTGTACTTATCCTCTGATGTCGAGACGTTCCTGATACAGTCGCGCCAGGTGTCAGAAACTGTGGTCGAGGTCAGCATAATTCATGATCCCAACGAAACATACAGTGACACGCCTCATTCAGCCCTACAATGCTCTTCTCTCGGTACACCAACTTGTTGAGAACAGTGACCTGACTATCCTCATTGACAACGAAGCACTGTGCGTTGCCTTGGTAGCAAATATAGCATGTTACTCACGCGGTCTAGGTACAACATCTGCACTTCGACGCTGAAGATCAAGGGTCCCGCCTTCGAGGACCTGAATATCGTACGTGTGGTCGTTACTGGGTTGATTCTCTGTTCCCACCCCGTATTCTAGCTGGTCTCGCAAGTCATGACCGGTGTCAGCACAAGTTTGCGTTTCCCCGGACAGCTGAACGGGTAAGGCGCAGCCCTCTTCTCTGGTATTCCGGTTGCTGAGACCCAGGTTTGCAGCGATCTTCGGAAGCTTGGCCTGAACCTTGTTCCATTTCCACGAGTACGCCGTTCATCGTTCTTGGTCAACAAACTCAGGGTATTCACTTTCTCCGACAGCTTCATTTCTTGATACCGAGCTATGCACCGTTCTATAATCCGGCAGACAAGGCGTTCATCCGCATGTCAGTACCGGACTTAACTCAAGCGTAAGCTGCGATCTCGCATGTTACTTGCATTGGTACCCACATCCATGCAGTGTGTTCGATCGCAAGAACTTGCTCGTTGCATGCGATCCCAGATATGGGTGCGTCACTTCCCGCTGGCGCAACTAAGCCCTTGTCGCTAATCACCTGTATCATGCCCTAGTCGTTACCTCACCGCTGCTACCATCTTTCGTGGACAAATCTCCTCGCGTGAGGCTGAGGTGAGTTCTTCATGCACAGCGTATCTTCATTCTCGACTAATCAATGTAATCAGCACGCTGTTGCCGAGCTGCAGCGCAAGAACTCTGCACAATTCGTAGAGTGGATCCCCGACAATGTCTCTGTGACCCTCTGCACCGTCCCCCCTGTCGGCCAGACGCAAGCGGCGACATGTCTTGCCAATTCTACTGCGGTGCAGGAGCTCTTCAAGCGCACTCTATCGCAATTCACTGCCATGTACAAGCGGTATGTAGTGTTCTCTAAGCCTGCAATTCCTGATGACATCTCTTTTCAGCTCGGCCTTCTTGCATTGGTATACCGGAGAGGGCATGGACACTATGGAGTTCTCGGAAGCCGAGAGCAACGCCCACGATCTCGTGTAAGTCTTGACGAAATTTATTGTTGAAGACGCTGAGCGACATGCATGTCGTAGTTCCGAGTATCAACAATACCAGGAAGCGACTGTTGAGGACGAAGAAATCGAAGAGTACGAAGAAGAGGTTGCGGAGGAAGTCGGAGAAGTCGAGGAAGTTGGAGAAGACGGAGACGAGCAATGATGCCGACCAAACCGCGTTCGCCGTTCATCTATCTAACCTTGGAATACCCCAGTGGTTCGCACAAATCTTTACACTCGCTAAGTTAGAAAATTCAGCATTTTACCCAGATAGCTAATTCCGTTATCTCATACCAACGCTCCTTTCCGCGGACTAACTCCCCCCTACTTACTTACGATGCTCTGCCCCTCGCTGTCTTTCCACAAGTCGATCACTTCTTTTAGTTAGAACACGACTCCGATCAAAAAACGGTTGGATTATCAATGTGCTAGCGTGATGGGATCGTCAATAATTCTCCCCAGGCTCTTGTCAAATGACATAGGGCTGATCATGAAGCGCTTGCATGTATCAAAAAGCACATTGTTTCAAAAAGTGCTATTAACATAATGTACATATATTACTATGTTGCTTTACCACGTCGCGTACTTCAAGAACTTGCCGCTGTAGACCCCAGGTTGTAAGAGACCGGCTAGGAGGACATAAACAGTACGCACTCGAATGTAAGAAGGACGCGGTCGCCCTTAGGGTCTTCCTTCTTGTCGATCTTGACCGTGCAGTCAATCATAGAGATGATACCATCGCCGAACTACAAAATGCCAAAAGGCGTGAGAAGGTTCTCATATGGTGAGAACTAGAACCCGCCACAAACCTTCTCATGGACGACCGCCTAGGGAGTAGAGAGCCAGATCAGACATGGTGGGTGAAGCCGCATGATCATGGTAAACTGACCTTGATGGCGTGTCCATACACCAACACACCCTGAGAAAAAGTTACGAGTTAGCTCAGGAGGCGTAGTCATCCACATGGTGATAGCACATGGTACACACCTCGTATAAACGGTAGAGAACAGGGTCAGTCGGCGGCATCGGTCCGAGACCGCGACGTGGCCACCAGTTTGGACCGAGCTCAGCCTCAAGCTGCGACTGGTCGATGTCGAGGACCTTGGAGAGGTTCGCGATGTCCTCCTTGGTCAATTTCGCCTGGGGGACGATCAGACATGAAGGTGAAGGTGCGAGGCAGGCGGGGTGTAGCGAACCTGCGCGTAGAACGCCGCGGCGACCCAGACCTCGTCACGTCCTATGGCCTTACCAATAGCCTCGAAGGACAAACCTGCGCCACTCATGAGCACTACTCGGACGCGACGAGAGGGAGGCCAGGCATACCCTTCCTCGCCTTCGCTTCGACGAGCTGGGTGCAAATCGACGGTAGGCTAGCGTAGGGCTCGGCTTCGGGGTTAACCCTCTGTTCATGGCTCAACATCGCTCCAGGATAGGAACAACAAAGAGACACGCACGAGAGCGGAGGGGTTAGAAGCGTTAGCTGGGGCGGACATCGTACAGGAGCTGTGGTGGTCGCTGCTCGTGGCAAAGGGGCCGGTGGTGGTAGTAGTAGTGGGCTGGGGATGGAGAATGCAAACTGGCGACCCGCACAATATATAGGCCGTGCGCGTGAATGCGTGAATAAGACCGGTCTCATGAGAGGAATATACCGAATCTTTCCCGATCGGGCTGGATTATTCTTTTCAAAGAAAAGAAAAAGGAAAAAAAAAAGATTGAGCTGATCAGCGCTTCAGCGGCGCGCCCAGTCGCGTGTCAGTGAATTCTGCCTCGTCTATGGGCCAGTAATTGGCACAGGGGAAACAGTCCTCGAGGAACGTTGAACGGCTGTGCCTAGACTATTCCGGCTACCGAGCGGTGTCGTGTACCAGAGGGAGATAAGAAGTTCAGGAGTAAACCCAATAGTGCTTTAGCTGTGCTGGTGCTGACTAGGCCCTTTCCCGTGAGAGATAAGAGCAGGGGGTGTTCTTTCTCATCAAGTACGCACTAAGGGCGTACAAAATTAATTACGACTGCTTCTTCTCCGCAGAGTCGTCCTCTGCAGGAGCAATAGGTTTCCAGACGTCCTTGGTAACATGCATAAGCTCATATAATTGTCCGATTTGCTCCGCAGACATCTGTACGCCTATGTTGTAAGAGAAGCGCAAGCACTGCACCATCTGGGGAATTACCTTCTCAATAAGCTCGGGATTTAAGCTGCGCCCTTTGAACGGCTGATCTGGGTCACTGGGAAGAGCGTCCAGGTACATCTTCCATTGCGACAAAAAACCAATTATGTGAAGAGGGTTCTCCACACTCCTGTGACTGCGAAACTCTACCAGGCATAGAGCATTTGGTCGCCAGATGCTGTGTTGACAAAAATACAACACGCACCTGACTTAATGTATGCGTCTCCCAGGGATCGCATTTCGTATGGCAGTCGTCTATGCGCACGTAGAAGAGCTCTGTACAACCTGGGAGCGCATTGCGTTAGTGAGGCTTTGGTAATTCGAAGTGATAGGAGACTCACGGTATCGGAGGAAGCAGGGCGGCCTGAGCTTGCTGCAGCGTAAGCGGAGTTCTTCCAATTGATTCAGCGAGCCTCCGCAAAGTTCTTTGCATTTTTAGTTCGATTTGTATATCAGTCCCGAAGTTTAAGAGACTATGATAAGGGCGAGAGTTGGTTAGTCGGACGTAGAGCACTTCGATGAATGAATAAGGTATGAACCTGGTCGCGGTTCTTCTCGAACGTTGTTTATGTTTATTTGACCAGTGCCGGCGCCCCGCGAGCAGTATACGCACGACGCCACGGTATCCGTATGTATGCTATCTACCTCTCAAACACCTCAATACATCACGAGTATTACCACAATAGACTAGAAAGCGGGGAGAACGAGGCCCGGAGCGTGTCTCCTGGGAAAGTATTTCTAGACTCTTGTTGTCGACTGGAGTCCTGCCTACGCCACGAGTCATCGTCATATCCTGCTTTCTCAGCTCAGGAACTCGACGGCCCCACGTTGACAGTAGAGATCAGCAGTGAAGTCACTGAGAACTGAGATCGAGCGAGAGTTGCACACGCTACGGCATTTGGACCGGAGGATGACTGAGCGTAGTTCAGCTTGGAGCGATTGCACCCGCCCTACACCGTGTTCAGATAAGAAGATGGGAAAAGGATGGTTTAGAACATACAACTATGCCTGATTATGGCTATTTCAGAAAAGTCTAGCAGTCTCCGAGTCTAGGCTACGCATCATCGCCGAACGAAAGCAACTTCTTCGAGTTCTGGTTCTTCTTCGGCTTCTTGCCACTCTTGCTTGCTTTGCTAGTGGCAGCATTGTCGTCATTGTCGTCATCTGCGCTACCGACGGCCTTTCGTTTCTTGGAAGTTGACTTCGCAGCTGAGCCGCCGGATGAGAATGATAACGACTGAGTCTTTGTCCTGTTGGTATCTTGTGGCTTTGCTGCGGGCTGCTTCTCGTCCGGCGGTGCGGAGGACTCGTCCCCTTCGGGAAGCAGAGGAAGCCCTTTTGCTATGATAAATATAGTGTGAAGTTAGAGGGCGTTAGAATAGCAAGCAAAGCGTGTACTCACCCTTACGTTTCTCGTTCTCAACCTCCCGCTCGGACAAGTGTTTCCCTTCCTTTAACACCACGATCTGCGGAGCCTCGTCGTCTTGGTCATCTTCGCCTGCAATTCCTGGCTCGTCGTCGGGACGCGTAGGTATCGGAGGCCTCCTGGGGATCGGTGGACGGCCACTGCCATCATGCTCGTACTCATCATCATCATCTTCGTCGTTGGCAGTGCCCGACACCTTGTTCTGTAGCCTCTGCAAGAAAGCTGGGACATTCGACTGGTACGAAAGTTTGTTTGAGTACTGATACCGTGTCGGTTCTTTGGACATCGTTGCAGAAGGTGTGGAGGTCAGGTTCACTCTGCCTGCATCCCAGAGGCGCCACCAAGGTGTTGCCTAATTAAGATAGTCGATCAAATAGTATGACACGAGTACGACGCTACATGTTGACACTTGGGCATGGTATAGGAGAGAAAGCTGCAAAAGAAAGCATAGACCAACAACGATAGCAGCAGGAGGCAAAAATCGATGATAGAGGAGCACAGGGTCGCGTGCGAGAGTCAAGCAAAGTCACAGGCAGAGAAAGAGAGAGCAGAGAATAAACCAGAGCGAGGCCCTTATCCATCCCGAGACTTGACAAGACTCTTCATGCCTTGACTAATCTTCTTCACAGTCTGCATGAGGCTCGCAAAGTCCTTCTGTTGTCCGCGATCGCGGTAGACGTATTCCGGCCTCGGACCCCCGACTGTTTGGCTTCGCTGTCTCGAGAGCGCCATCCGCAGCTCGGTCTCCCCGCTGAGCGAACAGCCGCTCGAGGCGCGGAAATGACCGCGGCTAGGTGCCTTGGGGAGCAAGTCTGTAATGTCCATTCCGTCCTCGTCAGATTCGGAGAGGGCAGGCTCGGACGTGATACTCGTCGGTCGTTCGGCTGCCGGCTGAGCGTGGGGGGAGACAGAGCGAACAGAGCCAACGGAGAAGAAAGAGCTATCCGAGTCCAACCGCTTTCTAATGGCAGTGTAAAGAGGCCGAGAAGGGGAGCCGAGACGAGCCGAGACGACAGAGCGCGGAGGGCTGGGAGGAAGACGTGATACCCTGGTAAGACTGGTACGTGTACTTTCCGGTGTAGTAGGTCGTGCATCGATAGTGTCGGAGGGAGGGGGCGTAGGGAGCGCGCCCTTGGATGGCCGGCTTCGCAGAGAACGTGACGAACGACGCCGGGCGATGGACATTCGTTTGCGCCTGCGCAAAGTTCGCATCGGGGTCAGGGACGTCCTATTCTCAGTCATATCTTCTTTCGCCGGAGAGGCCGGTAGATTTGGAGATGTGGCAGCCTCGACCGCGGATATAATGCTGGACCGCAAAAAAACTTCCGCGCTGCCGTTCTGTGAATAACAGAGTAAACTTGGTACATGCGCAAGAGAAGCAGGCGCCGCTCACCGTGCGCACCATCCCCGTAGTAGCACTGAGGGTATAAATCGCCGCATCTCGATTCTTGTGCCGTTTCACCGGGGACATTTCCGTCATAGGCACAGTCTGACTGGTTATGAGTCCTCGGATGATAGCCGCGTTCTTCTCGATGAGGCGCAGCTGCTCTTTCTGTGCGTCGTTAAGTAATTGCGGCGCACTAACCCTACGACGCGCGGCAGGCGTGTTGCGGATGGGGTCGCAGGCATGACCGCACCAGGTGCAGATAGCACCCTGTACGTTTACGGCTGCGCAGCGCTGACACGCGAAAAGGGGACGGTCGGAGGGTGCTGGCTGCGACGTGGGCATTGACTTCCAGCGACGGAGCTGAGGTCGGGGTTGAAGACCGGATCTCGAGAACAGACCAGAGGTGCACACCTTCTTCAGCCATCTCTCAGGACTCTTCGCAATGCGCGCAGGTATCTTCTTGCCACGCTGCTCGCCACAATCAAGATTCATCAAGGTGACAGTCATTCCCGGAGAGAGACACGAAGTATACAAGTCGTCAAGCAGTCGAATACCAAGCACGCGTACGGTGGCGGTCGAGAGGAAAGACGAGGTGGGGTCCCACGAGGCCGGAAAGGTTATAGCGTACAAGAGCTGTCAGTGTAAAAGGGTCCATTACCATCTGCGGCGAAACGAGGCTGACATGCGGGTTGTCCGTGGCCACTTTGGAGTGCCGAAAGGAGGCCCCGCCGCCGCCTTCCTGGCCCAGATCACCGTTCATATCTGAATAAAGAGAGGCGTCAGCCTATACAACGCGACCAACGCCGCCCTTACAGCATCGTGATGGCCAAAATCGCGACTAAGGCAGCCTCTGCGGGGTGGCTGGTGCCGGTGAACATCGAGTCTCGGCGAACGCCTCGTGCACAGAGCGGACAAGACCTGGCCTGACGTCAATGCACGTGGGGATCGAATCGAGACAGACAACGGCGGAAAATCTGCGCCTTGGATGGAAATGTGGCCTTGGCGCAATCGAGACTCGACGTTTGGCTTGAGGCCGTCGCTTAGAGTGACAATCGAAGCAGCAGAATGGATTGAGTATACAAACAACGCAGTCCACAAAAACACTCAATCCTTTCGAAGCGCAACGCCGGAGACATTGTGTCTGTTGTACAAATAAGGTCATTAGACAAACAATGGGATCGCACCCTTGTGAGGGTCCATCAACCATTCAACTTCGCCGGCCGGGAGAACGCTGACATGCTCCAGGCCGCAGTCAGGGACTGGGCACTTCCAAGTGTACCTCTGCCGACGACTCTTTCGGCCCTTGCCCTTAACGGTAGCACCCGGCACTTCTGCAATGGAACCTCTGGCACGTTTTGAAGACGGCCGCAACGTTCGCGAGCTCGACGAGGCTTCTACCTCTTCCGGCAATTGGGACGGGCTCTGGACCGCGACACCAGGATCATGACTGAAGCCGACAACGCGACGTGGGCGAAGGCGCGAACGTATGGACCCGTCTTCCTCGTGAGGAAGGATGGTACTGGGTGCGAGATGGTCCGAAGCCTTGCCTTTGCCCTTGCGGTCAACGATAGGCACGAGCTTGGCATCGAGTGTCTCGCCGGCGTCCACCTCCATCTTCGCCTCAGCGGGCTCTGCATATGGCCGCATGAGGTTGGTGATGCACTTCCCGTCAAACATGTGACCGCATCGGAGCGACCATACTCTCCGCTCCTTATTCTCTTCAGTAGACGCCGCCTGTGCGGGAAGGACAAGCGGGTCCATGCACCGCGCGCACACAAGCGTGGCGGTCGTTTGAGGAGCGGACTGTGAACTGCTCGACGCGACTGCCCCCTCCTCATCGAGAACAATGACTTTCTTGGATGATTGTGCCGCTGTGTTTCCGGATACGTCGGAATCGGCAAAATCCCATGTGAACCCAGGCGGTGGTGATCCGGGGTGCGTGTACGACTGCTCGTATGTGGTGGCCTTGGGTTTCGGGAAAGGAGGAGGGGGCATCGCAATTCCCCCTTCGGCAGGTATATCCCAACCCCTGCCAAGTTCCGCTTCTTCATGACCCCACGGGTCATCGAAGTAGCTGATCCATGTCCGGTCCTCCTCCTGGTGCTGATGACCGGAATGACCGAACAGATTACGCAAGACGTTAACGACGCTACCGGCAAAACCGGTGGTACGTTGACTGGGCTGCTCATTGCCGTAGAAAGTTGTGCGGCGAGTTTGTGGTAATGGCGGCGGGTGATGGCGCCTCCGATAGGCGTCTTCCGCCGCAGCCTGGCGGTTCATCGCGATCATGCCACCACCCAGTCCCATAGCGGGCTGGTGGTGAGAGCGTGGAGCAGCTTGTGGCGCTGGGGCGGGGACGGGCGCGGCGGATCGACGCGGAGGTCTGTTGAGCATCGCCTCGAAACCGAAAGGTTGTGCATTGGGGATGATGGCCGGCGGAGGTGAGTATCGCTGTGGCCTAAGAATATCACGATGAGAAGGAAGTCGTTCGAGACGTCGCACATTAGCTGGGAGATGGCGACGTCGAGGAGGGGTATCGGCTGACGACAGTGTGAGAACACACCCTCAGCACACGATATACGGAGTAGCATACCAAAAAGCCCCCTCTCAACCTCTTCATCGCTGTCGAATATCACGATTGGATCTTGTCTCGAAGGACCAGCAACGGGCGGGACAGCCTGCGGGACAGCCTGCGGGACAGCCTGCGGGAGACCGGTGTTCATCCGCCTACGCTGAGCTGGACGGGCGTCATCGTCCGGGATTGCGTCGACATCGATAACTTCTACAGGCCCTGGCCTGCGAGAAGGGATAGTTTGGCTGGATGTTGAAGCTTCAGGCATCGCTGTGGATGAGCTTCAGGGGGGGTTTGTCGTCAGGAGGCGGTCGACCGCGAGAATTATGGAAACAACAAAAGCAGCGCCCGCCGTTTGGCGCCGATTAGCGGGCTAACGCGAACCACAAACACACACAAACAAACTATACTGCAGAAATGATAGTTCTGCCATTCTTCACCGCGCAATCTTTCTAACACATCATAAGAATGCTGCGTGTGAAATGGACAGAGTAAGAGGGTCCTTTGCACAGAAACTCGCTAAGCAGAATTGCGTCGGCGTCAGCGAGTAAATATGATTAAGCGCCTGTCCTTGTGGCGTCCGTACTCCCGCTCGATGTCCTCTGCCTGCCTGAGCTCTCAGACTCGCCATGACTGGAAGATTCGCCTTGGAGGCGAAGAATGTCAAGTC